CGTGCGTGCGTGCGTGCGTGCGTGCGTGCGTGCGTGCGTGCGTGCGTGCGTGCGTGCGTGCGTGCGTGCGTGCGTGCGTGCGTGCGTGCGTGCGTGCGTGCGTGCGTGCGTGCGTGCGTGCGTGCGTGCGTGCGTGCGTGCGTGCGTGCGTGCGTGCGTGCGTGCGTGCGTGCGTGCGTGCGTGCGTGCGTGCGTGCGTGCGTGCGTGCGTGCGTGCGTGCGTGCGTGCGTGCGTGCGTGCGTGGGTGCGTGCGTGCGTGCGTGTGGTGGGTGGTGGGTGGTGGGTGGGGGTGGGTGGGTGGGTGGGTGGGTGGGTGGGTGGGTGGGTGGGTGGGTGGGTGGGTGGGTGGGTGGGTGGGTGGGTGGGTGGGTGGGTGGGTGGGTGGGTGGGTGGGTGGGTGGGTGGGTGGGTGGGTGGGTGGCTGTGAATGTGTGTTTGTGTGTCTGGCTCCCTTTACGTTGGTGTGCTTATCGGCCTGCTTGCTTGCCTGCTCGCTCGCTCGCTTGTTTGCCTTCTCGCTTGTTGGTGTGCTCGCTTGTTCGTGTGTTTACGTGTTGTTGGTTGGTGGGTTGGCGAGCGGGCACGCGGGTTGGCTTGCGTGTCTGTGTGTGTATGTATACTATGCGCGGTTGTGCTTGCATGTCTGTTTCTTTCATTGCTTGGCTGGTGTTACGACTTGGATTCTCTGACAGGTTGGCTCTGGCTACAAGTTGTCGCCGGTCGGTTCTCGACATTGGAGGCACGGACTGGCTTTGACAGGCACAAGGCGACTGGCAGGGGTTTATGAATGCCTGTAAAGGAGAGCACCTCGAGAAATCATGAACACACTCCCAAATTAGCCCGCTGCCAGCATTCACAGCTACGACCAAATGCCAAACGCCACAATGCGATTCTCAAGGATCGCGCGGCCCGAATGCATGCCGTCCAGCTGCTGCGCTGTCGCATCGTTCTGGGGAACCTGTCAGCAGTTGCGCGGAATGGCTGTGGGTCAAAAATAGGTACCCAAAATAAAGCCTCGGTACACATAGACACGTTGACTAAAACCCGCTGTCCCCTAGGGGTTTAACTTTGACCCATGACTTCTGTGTATCGTTTGAGCACTTGCTGGCTGACGTTCGCATGGAGGCCCATTGGCATTCGGGAGTGAGTCATTTGTGGCCCTGCAACGCTGTCAGCATGCAGGGATTTACCGACTGAACCTGGCAAGTGCTCAAACACAAAGTTGCTTGGTCAGGCAGGTGTGCTCTCACATCACTTCCTGTTCAAAACATGGTGCGCACCTCCTTGAAGGATTAAACTGCTACAAAAGCCGGTGCAGAACTTCCCTGTACAATGAAGTGCTTAAGGCCATGTCTGAGGGGGCAAACATTAGCTAAGCAAGTATAGGTAGTTGTTTCCGTCGCCGCATCACTACCGTCCATACGGTATTATTTCTCGTGTGCCAAGGGAGAATGCACGGGTTGGGCCCCCAAATTGATACTACTCCCCTTTTACGTGATGTAGGGGGTGAGGATGTTACCAAAGCCATCCAAAAGCCGCGACCAGCACCAGCACACCAACACCCAAGGCAGCCGATGCTGGCATCAATGAACTCACACACAGTGAGAGTTGCAGGCAGCTCTTGTTCCACTTCAGCCAGCTGCAATATCACTGATGGACTCCCCACACATCCCATGAAGCAAAAAAACTACACGCGGAGCTGCTGACTCTAGTCGTGAATGGAGGAGTTCCCCTAGACTTGGGGTCGTCCTACATGGAGGGCCAGCCATGTTTGCAGCGCCAATTGTCAACAGGCCTTGCAAATTTCTGGCACAAGAAGCTAACGTTGCCTTTGAGCTTGCCTCCGACCGGTCAATTCCCCATTCTACGCGCAGAGAGAGGCACGCCCTCGCCGATCTCGTGCATGACCTAGCAAAAGCGTAACCAAGTCTCGTCCGGGACACCTTGAGGGGTTACACTCGGGCCGTCGAACTTCCTACTTGTGTCTCAAGAGGCAAATGGACCAAGACCGGTGCCAATACACGAGATAACACCCGGCAGAACTGGGTTCCATGCTCATCCGTAGAAGGGCAGCTTAGTATTCCCTGCTTCCTCCAGCACAATAAGGAATATGCCAAGTCAAGCACTGAAGTAAGCGACTAAGCTAGGCCGCAAACTCTCCTCAATTGCACCAGGAGCTTGACTGTGCCCCAACACATGGCCCATGTTGCTTCAAAGAAGACATTGTTCGGCTCCAGCGGCATCTACCACCTATTCAGGAATTCTTATTCTTGCCAGGGAAGTGGTTTGGCACCTTCGCTCAACAGGGGCGCCGGCTGAAGCAGCATGCCCAACCATTGTTCCACACTTCGCGCCCTAGAAACGCTAGAAACCTGTTGCAGTGTTTGTGCATCAGCTTGAAGCAAATTCATACCCAATACGCTAACAAAATGTCCATGACATGCAAAGTATTTCCCCCTCAGAAGCGGATTAACAAATCGACTCTCAACAGCGCGACCTGTTTCTTTGGACAGCATCAACCAGACCCAGCTACCACTTGACCAGGGTAGGAAGCCACCACATGAAACATGTCACTTCATGTATCCACAGGTTGGTGACTGAGCTGCCGCACAGGTAGGTTTGGGGTTGGCTGGACGGAGGATTGTATGTCAAGTTGTTGAATCTGACGCCAATGGTCAGTGACTGGTGGACATTGCGGTTGCTTGCCTGTTACCAGCGAGCAAGCATGTGATGTGGTCCTGAGCAGTCGCTGAACAGAGCCGAGTCAAGCTGAACACCTCTCTTTCTGGCCATACGCCCTGGGCGCACACATGTTGTTCTTGTGGAAGCCTGCACAGCCCATAATCTTCAGCTCGCTTTGTGCCGGCGCCGCTTTGCCAGCGGCAGAGCCCAAAGGCAACAGGCCACAGCTCGTCAATCATGCCTAGCCTGCAACAAGTGTCCAACTCTGCTTCAAAAGGCCCAGGCGACTTCACCCAATCTCTTTATATATACATATATGACAGAGAGAGAACCCTCCCTTGACCAATGACCCAAAAGAGTGATCGTGAGTTTACTTCCCCCAATTCTTGAACCGCCCTACCTGACCTTCAAGAGAGTGGTTTTTTTTTGCCGCTCTTAAGAGGGAGAATTCTGGTCGTCTGCGTCTCCGGGCCGCCGGGCGCCCAGGGAGTACTGCGCCACGGGGTCCCCCTCCTCCGCGCCCCGGCGGAAGAGCTGCGCGGCGCGGCCGACGTCCCGGGCCACGCCGTCGCCGCTGAAGTAGCAGGAGCCCAACTCGGAAGCATCGAATTCAAGATTTGAACTGCCAGGGTGCAGGCTGTTCCAATATTGCCTGGTCATTTTTGGTCATTTGCTTTTTTGGCCCAGGAATTGGACCGCATGTCTTGGTCCTTGATTTGTCCCATTTGCCAGGCTTCGTGACCTAGAATCGGTTAATACCCGAGTTGTTTTTTCTGTAGTAGGGGAACCCTCCCCAAAAAAGGGGTTAAAAGGGCACTACTGGGGGACCTAGGTGTGTCCTGCTGCGGAAGGTACCCCTTTCTTGTGGTTTTAAAGGGAAACCAAGAGACCCTTTTAAGAGCTTCCCTTCATATGAAGGCGCGTCCTGTGTGGGAAGGTACCCTTGTTTCGTGGTGTTAGATGGAAGCCCGGTGGCTAAGGAGTGATTTCCCGTCCGTCAGCAACCAGGGTTCAGATCCCCAAGCCACAAATCCCAACCCACTGGGGTTCACCAGCATGGAACCTATGGAACATTAGAAACCATCGGAGCTCATCGCCTTTCGCCGAATTTCCTTTTGGGGGTTTGTGTTGTGCAGGTGGGGAAGTGCAAGGAGGCACTGTCCCATGACGCACCTTGCTCCTCTGAAAGGGCGCTTGGCTTCAAACGGTTGTGGGTGTTTAAAACCAAGTTTGCCCTCAAATCGCAAGGGCTCGTGAAATGCTACCGGAAATCCGCCCGGGCCGCTTTCCAGATTCGAAGGGGGAACCGGCCCCCCGGGTAACAAATGTCAAGCAAAGCCTGGAAAAGGTCAGCCTTGAGCAAGTGAGCATCCGTGGGATTTAGCTTGGCCACTGTCCTACGGCAGCCACAGCTTCTACCAAAAGTTACCGTTGCCGGGCCTGTGGAACCAACATCCAGCTATACCTTCTGGCCTGGGAAAGATCAAGCTTTGCCTCGAGCAGAGTCCCCCAGCATCCAGCCCCAAGCTCCTGGCCTCCCAAAACTTGCCTCAGCAAGACGCTTGGAAAAGGTTTACCAAGGGTCCTGATGTCTGTGGTATCTGACAACACTCCCTGCCAATGCCTCCCAAAGGCAACGACCCAACAAAACTGACATGACGACCGAAAACAGCGAAGCCTTCTGAAGGAACCCTTTTTGGGGTTAAGACTTCTCAGGAGAGTAGGTTCACACATGCCTCAGCGTATGAACCACTGTTTTGAGGATATCTTTCGCTTGGCCCCCTTTGGTGTGGCCCGCTTTGGTGTGCCTGAACTTGGACCCCCTATTTGTTGCCCTCTAGCGGCCAGGTACCCCTTTAAAGGAGGCTTCCTGTGGGAGATTCCATGCTGAAAAGCGACAGGATCTCTATGATGTTGGGTAGCACGGGTGAATGGGTTGTAACAAATGAGTGCTCGGATGTGAGTCGATGCTTCCTGCGCAAGCTGGGGCCCTATGGGAAGTCGAACGGGTCCGAAGAACTTTCTCCAAGGGTCGAAGTACAACGCCTCCGGCAGGCCCTGCGCCGCAGCCTTCTCGATGAGTTGCATGCCTCTGGCCACATCCATCTCCACGCCTGAAGCGCGCAGAATCGGGCTCACCCCCCCCCCCCCCCAAAGATGAGCATGCGCTCCATAAGCCCCGAAACGTAGAGAGTTCTCCTTTCTGGGTTCCCCACCAAGCTGCAAAAGGAACATACTTCCTGCCCAAACAATGCACCTGTTAAGGAACAACTCTGTGAAAATGCCATCACTGCAATGGTTGATCCTCCCCCAGGTCCCTGCTCTTTGTAGGCAAAAGGTTCCCTCCCAAATGAACGTTCTTGATATTCATGTACATGTTGCAACACTGAAACATCAACACCGCAAAGAAAGACCCAACTGTCACACGCAATGGCACAGCGATGGAAGCAAAATGTCGACATCCTCGATATCAGCCAACCTTCGGTTTAGGCAAGGCCCACAACATCTATCAGCCCATTTGCACCCGCCCCCTTGCCACTTGCCACGGTGCCAAAGCCGCGGCGCAGTGCGAGGCCCAACCTGGTGGTGTGTTGAAAGGGGGGGGGGGCCAACCGGAAAGGCACCCCCTTTTCCAATTCTGGGAATATGGGTCGGTTGGGTTGACTCACCGAGTGGAAAACCAAATTGTCAGACCAAGCAAAGTTTGACCATTTGCGGCTTCAGCCGCAGCTTACCGCTTGGCTACCCTGGTTGGGGAGAGGGGTATGAACATCAGGCCTTCTGGGTTCATGTGCCCAAGGGTATGTACAAGGGGTATGTACAAACACCCCCGGAGTGTTGCGTTTTTTAAGGCTCGCCCACTTTGAGGTGGTGCCAAAGGGAAACCAACAGGGGCCCGTGCGTCTGATTCATAGCAAAGGACAGAAATTCGGATCTTTGACTTTGAACTTTTTGGGGGAGTTGTACGCATGTTCCCCACCAAGCCGCAAAAGTTGCAAACTTGTTGCGCCGGGATAGGCCACCGTGTGCTTAACGTAGTTTGCGACGGTGGATGTGTTTTCATTGCCGTCACTATGGAAATCAACAGGGGATGGAGAATGGATCCCACGAATCTGTGATCGAAGGTCCCCCAAAGACTACCCCGCCATGAGAGGGGATTGGTTGGAGAGACGGATTGCCTATCACAGAAGTGGTTGGAGAAACCCCGAGCGATCCCACAACCTGTCTTGAAGACCAGCTACGCATTGCGAGAACCACATGCAAGGCGCCGGTCTTGATGGTCTTGGTGTGATGGTCATCCACCACCATTGGTTCCAGGGTAGCAACATGATTCGCCCCTACCACGACCAGGAGAAGCAAACTAACGCATCTTGAGAAGTAACCGGTCAAGCGGCGTCCATCTTGGCTTGCATGAAGCCAGGATTTCGCGGAGTGGAAGCTTGCTTGTGCCAAGAGTTTCCCACATCCGAAACTTCCAAAATGAAAAATGGGCGCCAACAGCGAGCCCAAAGGTCTCCCGTCTGACCTAAACCAGGGGCCCAACACATTGGCCCCATTCATTTGACGCCCAAAAAAGGAACCCTCTGGCGGAGAATCATATCCAGCCTGCTCAGTGACCCTGAGTCCAAACTTCCACTTTGGGCCAACGAGAGAAGGAGGACCCCCCCCCTGCGGCCGAGACTCTTGTACTGAGCAGCGTGCAGTTCGGCTTGGGCGGCCTTCCTGGTTCCATGTCAAGCTCTGAATGATTCTGGGCAAGCTCAACATTTGCTATACTTCACGAGCCTCAATCAAGGAGCGTTCCCATGTTCCACCAATCAGTGATCGCGTTCGGCAGAATCCACCGGGGAGGCCTTGTGGAAACATTTCTCCCCCAGGCTCAAAGGCGGCGTTCCCATGTTGAATGTCGATGTGCCGAGAACTTGAGATTGACGGCTGCCGAACAATCCCGACAAAAGGCCTGCGTGCTTTCGTTTGAGGTTCAACAACGAGTCTGAAGGGAGATTCACACTTCCGAGGTGCTCGAAGAGCACAACACCGCGCTCCAGGTCTTGTGGAATCTCCGCATCCCAAAGCCTTGGAGAGGGACTTGTGGATTCTTGGTCCTTCGAATCTAGGGATTTGAATCTGGTCCGCCAGCACTATTCTGGCGAAGGGGACACCAAAAGCCATGGATTAAGAAAACTCGCTTTGTGGAACAGCCCAACAAAACCAAACGGCTGCCCGAGCAGATCACCGTTTTCGAGACCTTCGAAATCCCCGGTTGCCCAGTGCTGCTGCTAGCCCCCTCAATGGCTATGTTTAAAGAGCCTGGAAGCCACTGAACTGGATTCCAAAACTCCTTTGGCCAAGCCAAACATGTCTTGGTTGAAATCAGCTAACAAAAGAGCCCTGTCGCAACATGGCAATGATGCTTCGAATTGCAGTTGTGCTTTGGCTCTGTTACTTGGATGTTCGGGCAATTACTAAGTGGTTAGCCAATTGGGTTCTAACCCACTCACAAGAGCGTTAACGCCACTTAACTGGACATCTTGGTGAAGGGATAACATGGGCCAACCACTCGCTCACTTCTCCGAACATCCAAGTAACACTCGGCATCGGCCATCCGAGGCGCATCTCTCCGAGGTTGAATTGCGCCTCCGCGTGGCCCAGGTCACCAGCTCGCTGGAACCAGCTGGCAGCTTCCTGAGACGGCAAGCCTTGTGGCATGTTGCCGTGTTTACACATGTTGCAACGATTAAAACGTTTAAGCCATTGGGCTGGAGACCCGCAAAAAGAAAAAGGTGTTGGAGCTGGTTCCCATTTTGCGATGTGGTTCGAAGGGAACCACATAGAAACCAGCCATGTCGCACGGTCGAAGCGGAGACAAACCCACCACTTAAGATTCCTACCCCGGTTTCCTTTGCAATCGTGACCTGGGAACTCAACCAACATTTGCAATGCAAGGTGATGGTTGAACCGCCTCAACAGTTTTCGGGCGGAAGAAGGCGGCATGTAGATCAATGGGTTCGCCCCCCCCCCCTCCCACCAAACAAAAAAGACACTAGTTGAGAGCACTGTGAGGGACAAAACAAATAAACATCACCTTTTTGGGCCCTCTAGCACTTGAGTCTCCTTTGAAGGTAGCAACCCCCGTCCTCCTTGCGGATCTCCACCCCCAGGCCATTGCGCAGCATCGTGCCCAGGCCTTTCCAAAGGAGAAAACCGCCTCCCTTGGGAGCCGCCCAGGCGTTTTTTGTGGCTGCCCGGAATCGATGATTTGAACCTTGCGGGTAATTTGGCAAACCTGGTTAGGTGGAAGGGTTTGGGCCTTTGGAGTCTGCGGCCCATGACCAAAACATGCTCCTGGCATGTTAGCAGTCCCAGGGAAGTGGGCTGTGTGTGCCCCTTCAGTGTCTTCAGCATCACGTTGCCCAAGCACTTTCTTTCCTGAATCCCTGAACCACGAGGTCACGAATTGTAAACATACGTATGTACATGTTTAGAGAGGTGCACCCATATGCCAACCAATCTTGTCTTCTGTCTGCCTTTGGGGCTGGACTCAAAGCCCGTGTCCTGCTTGCAAAGCACAACTCCTGGTTGAGCAACAAGCGGCCTTGATCAACGAGCATCACCCACTTGGGAAAACATCCCTCCACTTGGAAGCATGTCCAGAGTGAACTGGGTGTTTTCCATTTCATAACTGGGTGTTTTGTTAGCTGGTGCTTTTATGCTGGTGCTGTGCCTTGCCGCTGTGCAGCTTTTGTTGACACAACCATACACCGCATCACCCTCTTCCTGGCAACACGGTATCCAATATCGTCAGCTACTTGACAGGCCTGAACCTGCCACCCCTGCAAGCTGAAATTGTCCCTTCTGCAGCTTGGGGCCTTGCAATTTAGCTTTCTTCCGGGCATTGCTGCAGTCTTGCACAAGTAGTCAGTTTCAGGAATTGTTTTTGGCGCCGTGCGACTGACAACAGGAAGGACGCCTTGAAGTACACCCCCCCTGCCAGCGTTGAACAAGCTCGCGCAAGGCCACACATGCTAGCATTACAGAAGGGCCTTTCCTTTGCTTGCAAAAACATTTGCATTCTATGGCTGCTTAAATTGCGGTTCCTCTTCCTTTTCTACAGTTCCTTTGGAGCAGGAAGTGCCGCTTGCGGCCTTCGCAAAGGGCCCACCAGCAAGCTTGCAGGACCTCCTCTTAGTGACAAAAAATGTCTCCCAATAAAACAAACAGGTTCGCCAAGCACCCCAACATCTACCAACCAGCCCCCTGAGCCCTCCCAACTATGACTGAAGTAGAAACCCACCTTACATTCCCTGGAAAGAGTGTTCCAAGTCAGTAACTTTGAAAGTGGATTCAGCCTGAAGCTAACTATGATTTATATGTGAATGGAAGTTGCAGCCTTGCATACTCTCAAGGCCTTGGAAGGTGGGAGACCTTCCGTAAGATTGTAAGAACATGTGTGCGACCAAAACCCTTAAACATAGGGGTCCTCTAATAGTAGAGCCATTCATGTCCCTTACATCTTGTTTTCATGCGTGCTGTCGTTTATCACTTGTGGGGCATGGTTTCGGGGTCGCACTCGGGTCAACATTCATGTTTTTGAAAATGCCAGCGCGACCGAGGCCCCAGAACAGTGCCGGCTCAATCATACATGGCTCAACGCGGTGTCCCAGGCCAATCAGGCTAAGCTTTCAACCTTGTGCTGTTTATTGCGCAGGCGCACGTGTGCAAGAGCCCGCATAAGTCATGCCAGGCTCCAAATGAAAAGCCCTCGCGCAAGCCGTGCTGTAGCCTGTAGCAGCATTATCACTTAATCAAGGCGAGGCTTCTTGAGGGTACCTGTTCCATACTCTCGCACTGATCACCACCGTGCAGCCAGCTAATGTGGGTGTTGCAGCACAGCAAGTCCAAGTAAAGAACAGTCAAGCAGTCATTGCTTCATCAGGTGCGGGCAACAGGCTGCTAGCCAAGGGCCTGCTTGGGCAGCTGCTGGCAGGCTGAAAGTTAATTCTGGGAGTTTGAGGTTTGACAAAACCGTACGCTGCGATATGCTACGTTGCGTGCTTGAGGGCAACTATTTGTGCTGGTTCCCATTTGATGTGCGAGTTCTCGCTGGGTGTCTCTGTCCATTCGCCTCATTCATTTCATGAAAACAGACGCCGTTTTCTGCGTAGTGTTGCATTGATGAACGGGGCTACCACAATTGGCTCAACCAGCCAACTTGGATCTTGAAGAGTAACATATTTTCCTGGCCAACTTGGCTCAACCAGCCAACTCGGACCTGACAAAGTGACGGATTTTCCTGGCCAGGCTCAATCAGCCAACTCGGATCTGTCAGTGTGACGGGCTTTCCTACTTGGTTCAACAAGCCAACTCGGATCTGGCAAAGTGACGGGGTTTCCAGAAACCCAGTCACAAAACCCCAGCCAAATGCGTTCAACCAGCCAACTTGCGTGCCTCAGAACAGATCACAACTCCTGCCCCCTCAGTCCAAGTGAAATCGTGACTGGGTTTCCAGAAACCCAGTCACAAATTGTGGGCTTTGTGGCGAACCAGTCGCACCTGCTGCACTCTGTCCACCATCAGATGTGTGATGGGTGTTACAAGTTCAAGGCTAAATTGTGACTGGGTTTCTGGAAACCCAGTCACGATTTCACTTGGACTGAGGGGTCAGGAGTTGTGATCTGTTCTGAGGCACGCAAGTTGGCTGGTTGAACCCATTTGGCTGGGGTTTTGTGACTGGGTTTCTGGAAACCCCGTCACTCTGCCAGATCCGAGTTGGCTTGTTGAACCAAGTTGGCCAGGAAAATCCGTCACTTTGTCAGGTCCGAGTTGGCTGGTTGAGCCGAGTTGGCCAGGCAACCGTCACTCTGCCAGATACCCCCCATCATTGATGTAACACTACGCAGGAACGGTGCTTGTTCATGAAATGAGTGAGGCGAATGGACGGAGACACACAGCGCAAACTCGCACATCAAATGGGCACCAGCACAAATAGTTGCCCTCAAGCACGCAAGGTAGCATATCGTAGCGTACGGGTTTGTCAAACCTCAAACTCCCAGAATTAACTTTCAGCCTGCCAGCAGCTGCCCAAGCAGGCCCTTGGCTAGCAGCCTGTTGCCCGCACCTGATGAAGCAATGACTGCTTGACTGTTCTTTACTTGGACTTGCTGTGCTGCAACACCCACATTAGCTGGCTGCACGGTGGTGATCAGTGCGAGAGTATGGAACAGGTACCCTCAAGAAGCCTCGCCTTGATTAAGTGATAATGCTGCTACAGGCTACAGTACGGCTTGCGCGAGGGCTTTTCATTTGGAGCCCGGGCATGGCTTTTGCGGGCTCTTGCACACGTGCGCATGCGCAACAAACAGCACAAGGTTGAAAGCTTAGCCTGATTGGCTTGGGACACCGCGTTGAGCCATTTATGATTGAGCCGGCACTGTTCTGGGGCCTCGGTCGCGCTGGCATTTTCAAAAAACATGAATGTTGACCCGAGTGCGACCCCGAAACCATGCCCCACAAGTGATAAGCGACAGCACGCATGAAAACAAGATGTAAGGGACATGAATGGCTCTACTATTAGAGGACCCCTATGTTTAAGGGTTTTGGTCGCACACATGTTCTTACAATCTTACGGAAGGTCTCCCACCTTCCAAGGCCTTGAGAGTATGCAAGGCTGCAACTTTCAGTCACACAAAAATAATAGTTAGCTTCAGGCTGAATCTACTTTCAAAATTATTGACTTGGAACACTCTTTCCAGGGAATGTAAGGTGGGTTTCTACTTCAGTCATAGTTGGGAGGGCTCAGGGGGCTGGTTGGCAGATGTCGGGGGGCTTGAGGCAGCAAGCTGAATCAGAGCTACCCTTGTTCATCATTCATTAGGTGAGTAAACAAGCAGTTCATGACATGCGTCTCTGCGGCCGGCGGCTGGAAGTGTCTTGGGCATTAGCGGGATGTTGCTGGCTCTCTGGCGCAAGCAGCCATAGAAAGCAAACGTCCGTGCAGCAAAGAAAACCCTACCGTAATGCTTGCATGTGTGGCTTCGCTGGCATCGACAGGGATACTTCAAGGCATCCTTTCTGTTGTCAGTCGCATGGCTCCAAACACAATTTCTGAAAGTTATGACTCGCGCAAGACTGCAGCAATGTCCGGATCAAAACTAAATTGCAAGGCCCCAAGGCTGCCAAAGGGGCGACTTAAGCTTGCAGGGGCAGCAAATCGAAGCCGGTCAAGTAGCTGACCATCAGGGATGCTGCGTTGCCAGGAAGAGGGTGATGCAGAGTAAAAAGCAGGATGCCGCAAACAAATGCATGGTTTCGCATTTGGATTAATCAAGAGTCAACAATGGGAACGCACATCTTTGCTCAAAAACAGGTGCACAGCAGCAAGGCATAAAACCAACACACAAGCGCCAGCCAGCAAAACATCCAGTTACAAAATGGAAAACACCCACTTCACTCTGGACGTGCTTTTGGATGTTCAACCCTTAGCAGGTTGCAAGCCTGGCTTTTTTCTGTCAACCAAATGACATGTCCTTACTCATAGCTATAGTCATGACCGAATGATAACCAGTCTCAGTTGCCCAGAAAAAAAAACATCTTAACTTTTGGGGGTCATGATTAAAATCGGCCAAAGCAGGAAAACCGAATGGTCATTTCAGGTCGATTCGCTTCTCCCATTTGCTTAACTAACTAGGTCCCCTGGACAGAATAAACATGATTCCAGTAGTGATAGAATTTGCTCAACACCAAGAGGCGAACATGACTCAAAAACGTATCAGTACTAGTGATAGATTCCAGCAGGGAAACCTAGTGTTTCAAAGAAGAAAAAAACATATACATACACATATCAGTATATACTATCTTTATCAAATGGACGGGGCCTTGGGGTTCCTGTGAGGTCATTTTTTTCCCGCCGAGGGGCAGTTCATGGCCTCCAAGTGCCCCAGCTCTGCGGCGCTTTGGATCCAGTGGAAGCCCTGGCCGCGGTCCTTCTCCACGCCGTTGGCGGTGACGTACATCACCTGAGGGTCTGTGGGGGGTACCAGTCGAACCAACTCACTTGTTTGGGGGTGTTGAAGGGGCCTTTTGGTTTCTAAGGACAGGGGTTGGGAGGCACCAATCGAATCAACAGATTTTTGAGGCATAAGGCAGTCCTTGGATTGGGCTTTTTGGGTCCAAAGATTGGTGCTTGGAGGTACCTAAGGTTTTTTTGGTGTCTAAAGGACCGGGCTTGTGGTGGCACCAGTGGAAACAACTGGGGGTGTTTAAAGGGTTTTTTGGTGTCTAAGGACAGGTGTTGGGGATTCAAGTGGAGTAGTTTGGACTAAGGAAAGAATAGGTTGGAGGCAAGTGGACGCGCGTGTCCCATTCGGCTTCCGCTCCTGGGGCCTGTGCTTGGAAATAGGTCAAGCTCCACAGGCGATCCAAGCGGACCCCATGACGAAACTGCGGCAAAAGCAAAAGCCAAAAAAGGCTTGTTTCGCTATGGTGGGCAGCTGTAGGCAACGCAAGAGTGATTCAGCAAGGATGCACGAAGGTCCCTTATGCATTAGTTTGATGCTCGGCTTGCAAAGCAAAGGGAGCGTATTGACTGCCGCCCCACGGCCACAGGCTGTCAGGACCGGCAACCGAGCCATCTCGGCAACAAAGCAACAACCAACCTTTCCGACCCTTCTGTCGATAAAGCACATCAAGAACAACACCAAAACCCCGACCCGGTGCTTCCACCTCCCAAACTTATCCCAAATCGAAACCAAACGCATCCAAACGGAGAGAAACACAAAAGCCGCCCACTTGGATGACTAGCCAGTAGGAGAGTGATTAGTTCAACGAAAGGAGCTATATCGTATAAATCCCGCTTAGGGATTCACTTAGGCTTGCTGACCACCTACCGAGCCTTCGCCCAAATCTGGGGCACGCAGAAAATCATACTTTCAGATTCTGATTCTATCCAGCGAACCCAGGCAATCCACAAATCTGGGCGGCCCTCAGATCTCCTACTAAAAGTTTAACTTTTGGTGGGTCACATGGAAGCTACCACTAAACCCTAAGGGGATGGTTGGAAGCCGCCCACACATTGTCATCATTTTGACGGAGACATACGGAGACCATAGGCCCCTCGGGTGCAAGGCGCGCCCAGCTGCAGCATTGCCTCTGCGCTGCCCTGGGCGCATTGCTGCTCCAGTCGCTGCTGCGCAGCACGGCCCTCCTCCGTGGGGCCGCCTTGGCGCGAACGGAGGGACAGCTTTCGGGCTCCTGGCTTTTTCAAGGCGGGGTGTGAAACCAGTGACACTCCCCAACAAATCGTGGTGTCCCAGCGTAACCTCGGCTCCCGCGAAATGGGAACTGCGCCCCCCACACGTAACAAGAAGCGGTTGCCGTATCACCTTGGCTGGCCTAGTACCGACCCAAACATGGCTACTCTCAAAAACAAGACCTATCCCCAGTTACTCAGTTGCCAAGAGTGAAACCCTTCTTGGAGTTGAACATTTTCCAATTTTCCGAGGGGAACGCCCCCCCGCAACCAAAAAAACTAGAAACAGGTCACCGCACATCTGAACGGTGCACGTCTCCAGGTTTCGCCAGCCCATGGAGTGGAGGGAAAGGTCGGCAGTGCCCGGCGTGTTGTTTCACACGGTCTGACTTCTCCAAGAGCCAAGGTCCCAATTGCCATCGGTGAGAAACGGAATGAACCTGCGGGTCCCCTTGAAGGAAACCTCCAGTTGGATGGTTGTTTAAGGGTCATTCCCTCATTCCCTACTGAGCACTAGCAAGCTAAGCTCTCACTTCTCTAACCCGTATCTTTATCTAACCTCCAACCTCTAACTCTAACATCCAAATTATATTTCCTCAAACTGTCTGTAACCTCGAACTTCTCTTACCTCTACCTTCTCTAACCTCCAATCTCTTGAGCCTACTAACCTCTAACCTCTCCAACTTCAGTCAACGCCTGTGAGGGAGTCGCCGCGCGGTCGGCAGAATGCAGGCGTCAGTCTGATGAATTCGGTCTTCAAGAACGTTGCTTATATAGCTTGAAAGAGGGAGATGACTGTTGATCAATCAAGCGGAATCATTATGGCCCATTATGACATTGAGCCGACGGTTCATTCGCAGAAACTACTTCATGCAACAAGCCCGCCATGCAGCCTACCCATCGGCCTTCCAAAATCACACTGATCCACCTTTTGTCAGATTTTAACGGAAGCCAAATAAACATGTTCGCAAGACTCTCCTGTTGGGGGTGACGCCCCCCTTTCGGGTTTCATGTGAATTTGCAGGGGTCAAGGCCAGTGGAAACAAGCGCATAGCGTGGCATAGCCCATCGCTCCGCAAAACAACAAATACAACTGGTTCCTAAAGAAAGCAAATACAGCCAGCCCGGAGAAAAAACAAACAAAGCAGTTCTACAGCTTGAGCAAAGCTGGGGCCCTGAATTGGCTTCGCTCGCGCAAACCTTAACTAAGCGGCCAAAGTCGTAGGCGGCCGCCTCGGCCTCATCCATCCTGAGTGCCATGCCCGGTTTTTTTCGCAACCAGCGACACATGGCTGTGGTTGTCAAAACCCAGGATACCCTGGTGAACATCAAACTAGGTGGTACATGGGTGCTCATCCGCCTTGAAATGGAGGCACAGGTTGTGACCCATGGCCACATGGAGCCTGAGAACACTCTCATGTGGCCATGGGTCACAATCCCGGTTACCCCCCAGCGAACATCCCAATCCCCACTAAAATAGGATAACATGGGTGGTGCACCTACCCAAAATGATACCATTGGCGTTGACCCACGGCCATGTTGTTGCAAGCTCACACGTCTTTCTACTTGACTCTTGGCTTGCGCCTGGTGGATCGTCTTGGCCATAAGTAGAAGGCACAGCTGACAGCACCAAGAATAGCCTTAAAATGACGACCACCCGGTCATCCAGTGCAAGGCTGCCCCTGCTTGAAACCGCCTCCTGTTTGCAAAAGGGCAACATGTTCAAACTGAGACCATCTGAGACTGGGGGATGATGGTGCCCAGTAGGCCGTGTAACAGGGCAACTTCTCACAAGTCTGGACCTCTGACTCTACCCAGTACAAACATGCTGGAGACAAGCAACAACCCGGTATGAATGGACAGACAGTGGTAGTATGGTGGATTCTGATTGGAGAGAAGGTCATACCCCCCAGTAGGTTGGCATGGAACCCAACAAGAGGGTCGTTGATCTCCCTGTCTCTGAACTGGATACTTGGTTGGCTTCTACTTTCATCAGGGATGCACAAAGGAAGCAAACATTTAAGTGCGTGCGTGTTGTCTTACATTTGAACGCTAAAACATGTAAATTGAACAGAGCCTAACTTTAATGAGGGATTTCCTTCTGGATGCGGCCAACAAACAAGCTAAAGGGAAGTGCCTATGAGGCCCATAAATTCAATCCTATCCCTCACATAGTGTGATTCAGCTGCTACTTTTTGGGTGGGGCGGACCCCTTTATCGTGTGTGCTTCCCGTGCTTTTTTGAGACAAACGCATCGTTTTCTGCTCCAGCCAGTTCAGTTTCATTAAGAAGTGAGGATTCCCCTCAAAAAGCCCCCCCCCCCCCGGAAATCCAGGGACCTTCCATTGATGGGGTTTCGAGGTCTGGATGCTGGTGTGAGCGGAATACAGGCTCCATATCTCCAAAACCTGTACCTGAAATTCTCCCTCACGTCTAGAAGGTCAATTAAATCAACTGGCTCCCATTACAAGGGAGCAAACACCCATCGCTTCTCTCCACACTTCCCCCCCTTCCCCCCCTCCTCCCCCCTCCCCACACCCCGCCCACACCCCCCACCCTCCTCCCAGCCTTTTGCCCACTTCCTTCCCCTTGCCCTCCCCCTTCCCCACACCCCCCACCCCCTCCCCGACAGTCCCCCCCCTCCACGGCTTTCCGACTTCGCCGAGGCGTCGTCTGCTGCGCCTCCGCCTGCGCCAGGTCCGGCCAGGGCCCGGAGGCCGCCAAAGCCGCCCAGGCGCGGGCCGACAGAGGCGGCAGCTCCGACCGGAGCTCCTCGAAGTCCTCGGAAAAGTCACCGAAGGTGGGCCCCAGTTTGACAAATTTGATTGCCTAGCCTGTATGCTCAGGAGACCTTGTCCCCCCCCACCACTGTTTAGACTGAAGATTGGAAAATGTCGCTTTGATGGGTCTCTTCAAGTTGTGAACCCCTTTTCAGAGGGTGGGGGTGCCTGGTGCAAACTGGGTGAACGTGATCTTGAAAAAGGGTATGTCCACTGGTTGACCACCAAGCAATATGGTGCTCTAGCAGAACTTTGATTTTGGAACCCTGGTGCTCTTTTTGGACCAAACGGTGAGGTAAATGGAGGAAACCAGGCAACTTCAGGGAATGACGGCATCTCCAAAAATGTAGAAGCCCCCCCACCCCACAACAGCAAGGGAATGGGGCGCAAAGGCGTTATCTTGGTTGGGTCAAACCGAAAGCATGTGCAAGTGAGACCTGTTGCCCTACCAAAAGCAAGCACATCAACATGTGAACATGCTAGCCTTTCTTGGAAAATGATGGAAACGCCCTTCAAAGTGACAAAACATGGTCGCAAAAGGATGCCTGTAGTCTAAGCCGCCGGTTGACGGGAGAGCATCTGTTTGCTGTTTGATGACCTGCCTCAAACAATAACACGTACCAACCACAAAAGCAGGGAACCCTGCAAACAAGCGCATCTTCGCTGGATGCCAAGCTTCTTCCAAATAGCACATGCGTCTGGGTGTGAAATAGGGGCCTTGGCGAAACTAAACGTTATGTTCTGTGTAGAAGCCCACACCACAGACTCCAACTGGTAGCTCGTTCATCAATCACCGCTCACAAAGCGAGCTGGTCATTGGTCATCCCGGCTTCCTCAAAGGATCCCCCCGAAATCGTCTGCTTTCCAACAAATCCTCAAGCAGCTGGTAAACGTGCTTGTTCTTTCCAAGCTGGCCCGAAGGTAGCCTTGGCACGGTGAAAGATGGACACAATTCCTCGCATGGGGGATGCAAAGACCGAAATGGGGGAGTTGAGCCAGCCCTTTCAAACCCCACCTCTCAGAAAACTCCGAGGGGCAGGGAGGGTGCGGGCGACCTCCTGAGGCCAGCGGTCTGGGTGCCTTCGCAGCTGGTCCACGGTGCCCTCCAGGCGCTGAAGTACCACAGCTTCGGCCTGCAGGCTGCGTCCGTTCTGGGCGCAAGAGCTCCCGTCCACTAAGCTGGAACCCACCAAAGGGTTCCACCTGAAATGCAGGAAGGTTGTCCTCCCGGACAGCTTCATGGGTAGGGGGTCTGGAAGAATCAACAACTTGTCCATCCACTGTTGTTGGCTATGGAAATCTAAACCCTCAAAGCGAGCTGCGTGCTTAAGGAGTCTGTCCCTTAGAGTGATCATGTTTAGCGGATCTGACAACTCCTTTTCGGGCAGGAGCCCCGTTTAAAGCACCACTTTAGAGGGAAGCCATCCAAACCAGCCCCAGCAAACATAGGGGGGTGTTCGGTGTGTACTGTCTTAGTGCAGTGGATATCCGCTTGATAGCCAGTTTATGACGGTGATAAATAAATACATATATATATATATACATATGTGTATACACACAGTTTGCCACTAGTGATAGTGCTTTACAAGGTGGAGGTCCATTTGAAGAGGCGAACCCAAGGCCCCTGCTTGGCCTTACCAATGTTTGGGGGCCTTTGCAGGTGACGATCGAACTGACGACCTCTGGAGGCGTGGGCTTATGAGGTCCCCCATCGACCTCCATGAAGCTAAGCCCGGGCTTCGGAAAACGCACAGAGGCTTGACAAAAATGCGCGATCCTTTTGAGCGGCAAACCAAAACTAGGGTTTCAAAAGAACCTCAAAGGGTTGTTAGCCCCTATTTGAAATAAATCACACCCTCTGGTCCTTCACAACTGTTACATGTATCCTGGTCCCCTTGCCAACCTATGCAGTTGCAGGGCCAGTCTTGCAAAAGTTGCTGGGTGCGAAGGAACGTGTGTCAAAATGCAGGAACATGTGTCAACATCTACTATTTAAACTAACTTAAACGTGCTTCAAGCTCGTTGCATACGAGACACGGGCAAACTGAGCATGCAGAACTTCTCGAACTGCCCTGGAATGCCAAAATGCCACAAATCCGGGATTCCCCAACGGCCCCCACTGCCCTCACCCCACCTCCGCTCCCAGCTCCACCCCCACTTTGCGGCCTCCAAGGAGGGCCGCTGGAGCCCAGAGGCGATGATCTCCCCCAGGCCCAGCCGAACCTGGCGCTCCCGCGCGCACAGGCTCTTCATGATCAGCTCGTGCGCCAGGACCTCCGGTCACAAGACATGCACCGCCCAGGGAGCGTTCGCGTTGGGCGATGTGTATGGCCGCAAATGCGACTTGATGCCGCGGATAATTGGTGTTTGCCTTTTGGCAATCCCGAGATCGGTTTAACGAAGTTGGGCCAAAACTAGGCCCTGGCTTGGTCCATGTGGATGCTCGCGGGTAACAATCCTGGCAAAGCCACACTGGTTCATTGAGTTCTGTGAGTTTGGCAAGCACCACGATTTTCTCCAAGGCGCCGCATCAATGTCCTCAGCTCCCGGCCCCGGACAACGCAAATGTAGGGCTTGGGCTTGAACTTCGGATTATGACTTTTTTGGAGGGTGCTCCGTTTGGGGTTTAAAGGGGGAAAACCAACTTTGGGGGGCCGCCCACTGATGCGTCAGTGCTTGAGACACCACAGGTCGGTCATTTGACTTCTCTGTGTCAATGGGGTGATCGTCAAGCCAGCCCCTCAACAGTTCTGTTTGAGTTCCACTGAGAACAAGCCCGTCAGAATATATGTCGGCAGAGAATCCTACTTGTTCACCTTGAAGACCAGCCTGAGGCCGGCGTTTCGCGATTTGCTTCCCCCAATCCCATATCTTGGAAGAACAACCTGAAGGAGCTTCAAACACAGGAAGTTCTGGGTGGCGGTAGTGGGCAACAAATTTCAGTATCCCTTCCTCGCCAAACAAAATGAACATCCCATCACGCCCGTTTCATCTGCAGAACGGAAAAAAAACTGCACGTGTCAGGCTTTTCGAAACTCATTCGTGGTGTCTCTATGGTTATCTCCTTTCTGGAAAAACCCACAACCTTACCGCTCCCACCACGCATGGCTTGCTGCACCGGCTCCCTCCAAGAAAGAACCGATTAAACCGAAAAGAAGAATCAACAACAGTTGCTGGTGCCCAGCAGGGGATGAGAGAATGACCCTTATAAACCATCCAACTGGTGGCTTCCTTTAAGGGGACCCCTGGTTCATTCCCACCTTCCCTGAGCACCAGCAAGAAAAAGCAGGACTGACGTCTTTTTTTTGGTGGGGGGGGGCTCCCCGATTGGCCCCTTGACATCGGAGGTGCGACCTGCTGCTTCAAGCGCACTGCCCGAGGGGAGAGCAGTGCCTTGGCGAGGCCTCGGGTGGCGCATACAGAGTCAAGCCATGAAAATCTGGTAGGAAACTGCACGGGTATAAGCTTCAAAGCAAAGTGCGAATATAATATACGCATGCCGCATAATATGTACATATATATATATATATATATGGTGTATGGCAAATAGTAGGCTTGTCAAACCTCAGACATCATGCGTTTCTGCCCAAGCTGTCTATCGCATAAGGCCCTGTCGGCCCTTTGGAGCCGGATTGACGAGAACTGGGTTGGAGTTCGCCCATTGGGGTGAGCGCTTCCCTTTCCTCTTGCCTCTAGGTCGAACAGGTGATCTAAATGGACGCCCTTTCCTCTTGAAACCTCACCGGAAACTCGCCTTAAACATCAGCACTGAGGTAGAGCCTGGGAACTTCAACGGCAAGCCAAAACTCAGCTGCCCAAATTTCAAAGGGCCCAGACTCAAAGGTTAGCCTTTTGGCACCTCTACTACAAATTGACCAAAATTGGACAACGAAAAGGTCAACAGGTCGATTCCCTTTGGGCAAGCGAGTAAAGGGTCATGATTGAAACCAAAAGGCGACATCTGAGAATGTGTTGTTTTGGAGTTGGTAGGCTTTTTTGGTGGCTTTTGCGAATCCTAACCAAAATTTGGAACACCAGCAGCTTGGGTCTAAACAAGTCTCACTTCCTGAGTGGATTGGTCGGAAACGTCCAAACCTTCGCTTTACCACTAAAATATACTAAGGTGGTCTCCCCAAAAAGTGTCAACTCCAGACCTCCAGGATCTCAGGCAGTGAGAAGCGCAGACCCATCTCCGATTCCAGGGCGCTGGTCGCCGCCTCAAGGTCCCCGCCAGCGCCCAGGCCCGGGCCGAAGGCGGCGGAGCCCCGGCGCGCCTCATTGATCCCCCGCCCCTTCCTTGCCCGCAGTTTTGGATATGAATGGGGGTAAACCTAGGTCGGTGGAAACCCGACCAGGTACACAATAACCGCGTTTGGTTCTGTAAACTACCTAAGTTTTAAACTGTGCTTCTTGGCCTTTGCTTGGCACACTTGCCTCTTCACACTTGAGTGGATTTGAAAGAGAACAAGTTCAGACTTGCCGTTTAACACAAACAGAGTCTGTCCAGCTAGCTGTAAGTCCACGAACTCGGCAAGTGAGCCCCAAAGTAAGACCATAATCAGGTGGCCATTTAATAACTTGGATTTGTCTCAGTTCCTGAATGAGTTTTCCGACCCCCGTGGGCCACCCCTCAAATGCAATTGAATTGAGACGTGGCACCGACTCCATCGGGAAGCTTTCCAACTGGAAACCACCCTGTCTTCTCTTGGTCCAACCCGGGCTACACCAAAAGTATATAGAACGTCAACCTTGAAACGAACCCCAGTTCTGCGCGCTGAGCCTGCAGGTGTTTACTGCCCATCATCTCTGCTCGTCCTGCCGAGGGAAAGCAAAAAGCAACCGGTAAAAACAAAGGGATAAGATGTCGCCACCTGTGTTCCTTTCGTGTCCAAATACGGGGTGGCCACAACTTGGTAGCAACCAACAGAAACCACAACCCAGGCAAACAAACTCAAATCCGTGGAAGAAATGATAAGTGCGGCCACTCCTGCCTATGGCGTTTGGCAGATTGCACCGGCGTGTTTCTTTTGCCACCTTTTCGGGGGCAAGTTTGGTCATCTGTATATATCTTCAAGAGCAATCAATCCTTTTTGCGGGGCCAACATTTTTCCCAATGAGGTACAGTAGCCCCACAAATGACCCGGATTAAGCCTGGGCAGACCACTACAATCAGTACCCAAATTAAAGATGAGGAAATCATCGTAGGCCAGATACAAGGAACAACCACCCACAGCCCCGAAGAGCCTCATCTCACCAAGCGGCCGCAGCGCCCAGAAGAAAGACTGCCAATGGGCCATCTGCCTGGCTCCACGTATCTCCCTCCAAGACGCAGTTGCAACCAGTGACCCGAAAGCTAGACCGTCCTTTTTGGGCTGACCATGCGCACCGGGGAACCCGCGGCTGAAAAGAGGAAACATACCTAGAAGGTCAAGATGTGCTTCAAACCAAGCAAGTAAAGGGACAATTTGACTAAGTAACTAAGGTTTCAAATGACATCAGCAGGTCTCTTGTTCGGGTCCCCTTTCAGTCGCCCAAAGGGCCTGGAACTCAGAGGCTCCCCTGCGAAGAGCTCGGATTCGGTGGATTCGCTGAGTCGAAGTCTTGAACACCATCCAAAAGCGGAGCACCATTTTGGGACCCTCGAGTTTCGAAAAGGATGGGTGTTGCAGGGGGGATCCGCGCCCAGCACAAATCCTCTTTGGGCACCCCTGTGGGCACATCAACATGGCTTCTAGTTAGCACTCAGTTGAGTTTCCCTCGGATATCCCCGTGCTTCCCCACATCAACATCACCTCACCTCAACCAACATCCTCTCGGGTTCATCCCCAACATCCCCAACGAAATTCGCGCCATCATCCATCATTCCTTTTCCCTCCAAAACAACGTGATTTGAACCGGTTTGGATTGGCGGCTTTTCATGTTTACCCTCTCAAAAGCCCCAGGAAAAGACCTCAAATGGGTATGGGTCAAACTTAAACCAGGAATTGGACCGCAGATTTTAGTCCATGTTTCCATTTACTTACTAGGGCAAGCCATTTTGGGGTTTCCATATTTTGACTCACAGCCAAATCCCTGCCACCCACGCACCCGGGTCACTCGCTTCGCCTCCGGGAGCCGGGTGTAGCTGGGCCGATCCACCGGGTCCGCGGCGAAGACCTGCAGCGCTCCGAGGCCCTGCTCAGGCACGCCGAAGAGCCGGCAGCCCTCCCCTGATTCAGCGCGGCCGAGTTGGGCTCTCTCTGGGGTGTCTGGGGGGAAACCTCCCAGCGAAGTGGCTGAAATGCTTGGTTCTCCGGTAGGTTTCTGAGGCCGAAGACGCTTTCTGGTGGCAAAACTCCACAATGAACGAAGCCCCAAAGTTGAAACGGATGAGTGCAAAAAGGGTGAACAGAAAGCGAAGTCGAACGGACTAATCCCTCCCAATGAATGTGACTTCTCTCTGCCAACCTGTGGGGGGCCCCAGGGCCAGTGGGCGGCGTCACTGTGAAGCCCCTGGCAAAGGGGAGGGCCAAAGGGCTAAGGAACAAGGGGAGAAGCGGAACCGCATCTTTCTGAACATCAAGAGCAGCAGGCAGTAGCCGGTCCCCAAAACAAAAAAACTGCAAATGGGGTCAGCATGAAACCAAACAACATACAAGATTTAGGTTCTTAGGAGGCGGCCGGCGTGCGGTTAAGTTCCAAGAGCGTCCCCGTCCAAGCGTCGAATGTCTTCCCACAATCTCTGCAAAGGCGACTCCGGCTCGGAGCTTTCGTGTCGAAGCTGTTGCCTCAGCACGACAGGTTTCAGCCAACTGACCAGGTTGGGACTTGTTGCGATGCAAAAAGGCATCTAGGGCGCTTCAAATGGATTGACCAACATGCCATCGACCTTTTGAGTATAGGGATTAGAGGAGGCTCCACGCCAAGTAGCGCGGCAGCTATGCCGATCTGAATTCAATTGAGCTCGTGCCTGTGGGCCGTCTCTCCCGCTACTGCCAAACCAAGATTCAAAGGAGGATGAGGGCACGAACTCCAACTTGAGATCAGCGGGATCACGAAAATTGAACATCAGCATCACAAACAGCAAAGCCCATAGCACACGATGGAACTCCACAGGCCCACAGTGTACTTCCATGTTTGTGGGAGGAGTACCAAATTGCCCACTACCCCTTCACCAAAGAGAATACACGCACCTCATGATAGTGAAACATACTGAGTCATGCCAAAGGAGGGTACTCCAAAAACAATGGCTTGACTTCCCGGATCTGACACATGCGAGCCATTCGTGTTTGAAGTAGTTACAGCCACTTGCAAACCTCAAACAACATCGGCTCAATGTCTTTATTGTTTTCCCTCCTTACATGTCAGTCAGCCTTTCTTGCGATCTCGGGCAGTCCCTAAATCAACCAGTCCAATTCACCGCGGAAGGCGCATCATTCCGCCGGTTTGGGGTCCCTTAATCCAAATGGCTCGAGAACGGGCCACCCACACAGTGGCAACGTTTGCAGGCTTTCGAAAGGAACCCGCCAACAAGCAAAAGTAGGCTTGAACAGAAAAGGCGTCTTCCAGGAACCTCCTGTCGTCAGGGCAACGTCAAGTGAAAACTAACAATAAGCCGTCTAACATTGTAACATGTCACTCTACCCCCGCCCTGGTAGAAATAGAGGGGCCGGGTCACCCAAGGCGGTGTTTTTGCGGCACAGTCTCTTCTTTTTCGGGGCTTCCCGTCCCGAGTCGCGGCTCCAACCGTACCACATCTCTGCCAAAAGCAACGAAGATCTCAGCAACTAGGCAACGATGAAACAGTCATGTAATCAAGCAATGTTTCACCAACAACACAAAACCATCTGCCAAACAAGTTGCTCAACCTGGCTCCTTAACAGGGGCTACGCATCCGTCCCCTTTCGGTTTCTTGGGGGAGTTGAAACAACATCCGGGCTCCACAAATTCTTCCCGCCTAAAACACGGGGAGTGGGGGCCTCAAAGTACTGACTCAACCGCCGAAAACAGAGGCCATCCAGTTAACTAAGTGATGATTTCAACCCTCAGAGAGGGAAAAGGGTAAACTTTTCCTTTTTCACCTTGGACCCTTTTTTTACCCTGACCTTCTCTTGGGTGCTGTAGATTCCCCGGCAAAGAGTTTAACCTTTTGCTGGTAAAAAGGAAATATGAAGGGAATCCAACAAGTTGAAGTCTAAAGATCCAACCCAATAGAGAGTAGAACGAATACGGGGGAGCAGGGGTGGCGCTCAAGTGCCTGGCCGCGCTGCCACAGCTCCGGCGTCAGCTCCGCCGCCCAACGGCCCTCCTCCGACGTGAGGCGCATCTGCAGCACCCCTTCAGATGGGCCTCGCGGAGGAATCCGTGAAGCCACAAGTTGGTTGGGGTGGTTGGTTGGGGTGGGGTTGGTTGGTGGTTGGTTGGTTGGGTGTTGTTGGGGTGGTTTGTTGGGGTGGTCGTTTGGGGTGCTTTGGGTTTGTGGGTGGGCGGTTTGGAGGCAATCCCAGCTCCCAGCTGCAAATTGGAGGAATCCCAGCTGAATCAAGACTGTTAAAATGGCCTACCCAAACCAATGTAAAGAACCATGAAGGCGGCCACACCCAATTTTGGCTGGGATTGCCCCGGGTTTTGATTGTGACTCAGCTGCCCAGTTGCCGATACACAAAGGGAGCCCTGCGTGGGGTGGTTCTGCTCTATGGGTGCTCCGTGATTGTTGTTTTCTTTTTTTTTGGGTGTAGTTGGGGCAAGCATTGCCTGGGCGAATACCGACCAAGAGGACGAAAGGGACTTGGCGGGCCACCTCTAACTTGCATCAAGGTTTCTTGGGTACGTGCAATGTGACTCCTGCGCTCCAACATCTACTTGCTAATATGCACCTGTACATTCATTCACTGGGCCTTTTTGCTGGTGATACTCGATGATGCATTTCAAAACCTGGAAACCGCCTACTGCGTGGTGCTCATCCAGAATGAGTAAATGCCAGTTCCTGATCCTTGTAGTGGTCGCTTTGCTCCGAGTTGACCTGCCAATATTGAGGGTTGCCTCAAATCACGAACTTCTCTTTGCCCCCCGTGTTTGATGACTTTCGGGAAACATCATAGGCCCGTGGCCAACGAAGAACTGGGGCCCGTGTTTGGTTGAGCAGGTCACCTGGCAAGGCCCACCCCCCCCCCCCGCCCCTGGGCAAAGCCGCGCCTGTGAAGTTCAGGAAGTACCGCCGCTGCGCCCAGGACAATGCGGTGGCAGCGCCCAGGTTCAGGCCCTCCGCTTCAAAGGCCACCTGAGAACACGACTCGGCTGCGAGTCAAAAGCTTGAAGAGCCCACGAAATGGCGGGGCGCGCCTTTGGTTTTCCCCAAATGCAACCTGAAAAGGCTACACTTGAAACACACCTGGTTCACAGCCTCAAGTTGGTGATACACAGAATTTCAATCGACATACGGGGGTGGACAAACATATCCCGAAACTGCTATCCTACATATGAATGAACACGAACACCTACGCATGTGCATATGCATTTGCATGATCTACTATGCACGCACATCACGACCTGAACATGACTCCAGCATCACACGTAGTCAAACGTATTCGCAAAACACATACGTTACATATGTATGTTGAACATGGACCTCCTTCACAACCAGCCCAACACGCACCCAAACACACAGACGAACAGACGAACGAACACACAAACACACAGACACACAGACACACAAACAGAGACAGAGACAGAGACACGGACACGGACAGGGATACAGACACAGATGCAGACGTGGAGGCAGACGCACCGACACCGACCGACACCGACACCGACACACAGACACACAGACACTCAGACACACAGACGCACAGACACACAGACACACAGACACAATCACAAACACAGACACAGGCACAGACACAGACAAAGGCAAAGGCAAGGGCACGGACGCAGACACAGACACAGACACAGAAACACACAGACACAGACACACACACAGACACAGACACAGACACAGACACAGACACAGACACAGACACAGACACAGACACAGACACAGACACAGACACAGACACAGACACAGACACAGACACAGACACAGACACAGACACAGACACAGACACAGACACAGACACAGACACAGACAGACACAGACACAGACACAGACACAGACACAGACACAGACACAGACACAGACACAGACACAGACACAGATACAGACACAGACACAGACACAGACACAGACACAGACACAGACACAGACACAGACACAGACACAGACACAGACACAGACACAGACACAGACACAGACACAGACACAGACACAGACACAGACACAGACACAGACACAGACACAGACACAGACACAGACACAGACACAGACACAGACACAGACAGACACAGACACAGACACAGACACAGACACAGACACAGACACAGACACAGACACAGACACAGACACAGACACAGACACAGACACAGACACAGACACAGACACAGACACAGACACAGCACAGGCACAGGCACAGGCACAGGCACAGGCACAGGCACAGGCACAGGCACAGGCACAGGCACAGGCACAGACACAGACACAGACACAGACACAGACACAGACACAGACACAGACACAGACACAGACACAGACACAGACACAGACACAGACACAGACACAGACACAGACACAGACACAGACACAGACACAGACACAGACACAGACACAGACACAGACACAGACACAGACACAGACACAGACACAGACACAGACACAGACACAGACACAGACACAGACACACACACACACACACCCACACACACACACATCCCAACACAGACATCGACACAAACGTCGACACCGACACCGACACACAGCACAGACACACAGGCACACAGGCACTCAGACACACAGACACACAAACACAGAGACGCGCAAACACACACACACACAGACACACAGACACACAGGCACAGACACATATATACACACACACACACGAAAACGACAAAACCCGCCTGTCCCATACCCCAGTTGATCCTGGCAAGTATCCCACCATACAAATGTGTACAGCCACATCTGCAGCGGCCGGCTTTGTCTGACTGCCGGCTGGGGCGCTCCCAAGCTGCGCTCTGGCTGCACAAAGAGGGCATCGACATCCGCCACCGGCGCCGCAAAGAGCTTCTCGTAGACCTCCTCGCAGGCCTCGAGAACATAGTGCTTGGTTGACATGGATCCCCAAAAATGCGACTATTGAGAGGAAGCTCTGTTTGGGGCCTTCGTTGTTGGGTTCCATGTTTTTGGCGAGGTAATTGCTGCAAGGTTGCCATCCTTTGGCTGAGGCCATACCGACGGAATCTTATTGTCTTCAGCGTCGAATGAGGGAGGGGGTGAAAATCCAGGGCGCGACGTTGGTGTGAGTCCCTTCTGCCATGAGAAAGCAACAAACAACTGAGTATAAAGTTTACCCTTTTGATAAACTTGCGCTTGTTCGGACGAAGTCTGCCGATCATTATTTTCCAGGGCCTTGCCACCCTTCCAAAACTTAGGTCACTAAGAATTGGCAACCCAGTGATGGTTGACAGAAAAAGGACCGCATGTCCCCCCCCACCCCACCCCACACCTCAGGGGTAGGACAACGCTCAGCACCTCTTTGCCTCAAAACATCCCTTGCGGTTCATGATCCCCAACCACACGCCTGTCTCAATCCCAACTCAAGCATGCTGTCTCCAAAACGGACACGGGAAGATTCGTGAGTACCCTTGTTCAGTGACTTGGTGTGTCCCGCAGACAGGCTTCCCAAAATAGGAGACTCATGTAAAAATGTATGCTTCAGAGGACCAGCAAAGTCAAGCTTCACCGTAATAACGCACTGCGGGGACCCGCTAGCCTTTGCGACGCTTCGAATGGCGGATGCCCTCAAAATGGGGATACATGTTTTAATCTAGAAGCACTTATGTTCAAGTGGGTCTTTGTCAAACACTCACGATTTGCAGTTTGTTAGGGGTCAGTAGGCAATCTGCAAAACACCCGTCCATGTCAAGCGTGCTTACGTTCCCTACAAAGATGCTGATCAGTCTACCTGTCTGGCCGGTGCTTTGATAAAGTCAAGAGTAAGGTTGTTCTCTTGGACGGTGCCTCAAGCAAAGCAAATCCATGTGTAATTGCAGAGTTCGCGCTACGGACTCAAACGTCCGAAGTAAAAGGAGAAGTAAAACAGTCGCCAAGGTGTCAAGGTCATGCAGCAACGCAACCAAAGAAGGCACTGAGTGAGGAGTTACAAAATCAAATATCGGCATGAGCTATCTTTTCTCCAGGTCTTTCTTTAGCCGACCGCGATCAAGTCTTGCCCACCCTGTCAATGTTCAAAATGATCCAACAAAGTATAAACCAACGGTGGAATCCTCCTTTGCAAAGGTGTTTTCAGCTTAAGGAAGATCCAACATGAACATCTACCGCTTTTGGCAGCAGCAGCCACAAATCGGTGTTGTTTTCTAGCAAAGCCAGCCAAAAACGGACAATGCGCAGGGGGGGGAGTGCGGGCATGTACTCGATTTTAGGCCCAAGCCGGAAAAGCAACCAGCCAACCCACCAGCGAATCGAGTTGAGGGTCCCCCACCTGCAGCTTCAGGAAGCCACAGGGATAAAACCTAAGGCCCCACTCAGAAAAACCATCGGACTGCCGAAGAAACCTTCGCCATAGCTCGTCTTACCACTGTCATCTCCCGCCTTCATGGACCTGCCGCTGTCGGCGAAGACGAGGCACTGGACGTTGTCTTGCAACGAGCGTCGGTGCTCCACAGCGCTGTAGGCCTCTTTGACCAGCTCCACGCCCTCCGCCTGGCCCAAGAAGCACTTCAAACAAACATATGAAAAACACACACACACACAACACAGAAACTGAGAGAAGGTCCCTCAACAAAATGGTCCAAACCAGGACCCAGTCAGGTTCATTGCAGGTTGGAGGGGAGGGTATTTGCTGAGTTGACTGGCCAAACAAACGTAAAACGCTTTGGGCTTGAAACAAAATAAACAACAAAGGGCCAGAACAAAGTTGAACGCCGGCCAATACAGCAGGTAATAGAAAAAACTATGCTTCCCTAACCTGAACTAGGTTAGGGTCAATTCCAAAGCCCGTCACCTGCAAAATATGTTTGTTGAGTCCCTGAAGCAGTTTCCCCAGCATCATTCCAGTGGGGCCTCAGCTGCAGCTGTTCGAAAAAAGGCATGCCCACAAAACGGGTGCACCATCATGCACAGCATAATTCCTGTTTGGACGCAATCACATCCAGTGTTTGGCAGATGCTTCTCAACGGTCGAATCCTGATGCCCTTGAATTGGGAAGCGTGAACGAGGATATTGAACTCTTATAATTGAAGTTCAACAAGATTTGAACAGGTGAATTGCCTTTCCCCCACCCTACTCCCCCAGCCCAACAAAAAACACCTGACTTGCCCGGCACGCCCCTCTTGCCATTCTCTCGCATGCCAGCATCCCAGGCCAGTTCTGAAGCAAAGGTTCACGAAATGAGGGGACGCCTTTCAACATAACATGATTTCAACATAACATGGATGAGGGAAGAGACGGGCATGCTACAAGCATACACCCATCAAATGTTTGGAGCCATGAGATTCTTCAAGCAATCAAGAAGGGCCACAAGTGGGGATGCTGGTTTTGGCGTATGGATGGCTGGTCACAATGCCCGCTCCGAATGTGTCGGCCCTCGCTTTACACGCGGAGCCTGGTGCTTCCATGATAAGATCCATAGTCAAGGCCTTAGCGCCTGATCAAAAACGCCCACGATACTACTGTCGACCACGGATTCATCGACCTGATGGAATATTCGGAGTCTTCCCCTAAAAAGTGAGGGATGCCCTTCAAAATGGGACAGCCCCCCATGAATCGACCAAAGGTTTTCTAGTACTGGGTTCCCACAATGGTGCCAACAGTCGTGCAAAACCGGCCTCCACGACCCAGTCGAGGAGTGCTCGCTTTAGCCGGCCAGTTGCGACATTCCGCGGGAAATCCTCCTGGAGTCGCAACGGTTGTCCGGGCCGTTGATTCATTTTTGTGTCTGGGTTTGGGCGTGAATCATTGTAAGGTGTAGTTTTGGAATCCGTGCAAAGCAAGCTCTAGGGGAAGCCGCCTGAAGCAGCAATCAATGCATGTTGAATCATCTTTTCAGATGTCGTGTACTTAGCGAGCACAAGGCATACCTGTAATTCTACGCCGAGCACGCATCATTCCAGGATTGAATTGGTGCATCCCGAGGCTGATTGTTTGTAATCGGTGTCCACTTCACGGCATGTTCCCGTGCGAAGCAAACAATCACCACTACCCACACATACACAAGTAGGACAAACGACACCTTTCTCATGTGCCCTGGAATTATGCCTGACGATGAGGGGATCAGCCATATCATATTCTTGTCAGACTGGTCTCATCGAATGTTAATTTTGTAGCATCCAGCCTCAGCCCCCTTGAGAGCTATGGGCGATACCGCTGAGGTTTAGGCGTCCAGTACCTTACCGACTTACCGAGGTACAAACTTTGGCGCTTGGTGTTCAACGAGTGCTTCTGGCTGAGGAAAGGCACCTACTGCAACTCCTTGTTTTTGCATGCGGTCTACGTATCCAGAGAGCTTGCAGCTAAGTTTAGGGAGTCCCATTTTCCACCAAGCGACCAGCCAGCCAATCCGAACTTCCGAACGCGGATTCCCCTTCCGTCAAACTGAAAAGGCTCACAGGCAGCCAGCATCCGTGAAAGGGAAAGCACACGCTCTCATAGGGCTTGCTTAGGAATGGGGTTTGGAGCTGTGGTTTTTTGTATCCTACATCCAGATCCTACACCCTGCGGTAGCGGCAATATGTACGGCCTCCTGCAAGAGGTATAGCAACTCCATACCTGTCAACTGCGCAAAATGACCTGGTTGGTTCTTGGTAGGCAATGCAAAATCTGAATCCGGTGCAAGGAGCGGATAAGGGCCGTTATCACAAACACGACCACAAGTAAATGCAGAAACTCCTGCACAACCCAACCCGAAAGTGTGCCTTCTTGATTCTGGGCAGCCTCAAATCCAGGGACCTGGCTGTTTTCGGCCGTGTCCTCTTCGAGAGTCCTTCCAGACTTCTCATGCTGCCGCTTGGGCCACTGCTCCACAAAGCCTGAGAGAGCCAGCTGAAAAAGGGTATTGAATGCAGAATCGGTTTGAATGTTCTTTCCAATGCCACTTCCTCTCTGTTGCTCAGTGACCCTGGAAAAAAAGGGAACCCTTTTTGGGAAAGACCACTAAAACAACTGAGTCCTGTTTCGCTCCCAAATTCAGCATTACCGGTCATTTGGTACCCGGTGGCTTGTGTTGCTCGTCCGGAGTGGAACATCGTGCTCATTTTGGCATTCCAAGCTTCTTGTTGTAAGCGAAGGGAATGATTTAACTTACAGATCGCGAAGCCATCCATCCCTCCCTCAAAGACACCAAGTGCCATGCATATTCTGTGCGTGTGTTGTTACATGGCAGGGAGATGCCTGAGTTTACAGCATGGGACTCACTCACAACCAACGGTCAGAAACAAAAAACAAGGTGTTGTCGGTTTAAGTGCTGGCAGTGCGATCAAAATGAAACTGAACAGACGACATGTCGCTGGATTCCAACGGGAACCTCATCCTAAGCCAGTGTGAACAATCATAGCTGGATCCTTATCCTTATCCAGCAGAACATGAACAAAGGAGACGTAGAGTTGATCAAACAAAGTCAACAAAATGTATCAGCAACAAGTGCCGGGTATCAACGGTTCCCCACCCCTGTGATGTGGGAGACTAACACCGTTGGGGCCTCATCACCACCACTGGTTGCCGCAAAGCGGGTCTGAGAAAACAATCATCCCCAGTTGGCTTCCTTGCGCAGAGGGGAATCAACACAACATAGCTGGTATTTAATTCGCACCAACCCCAATCGAAAACCATCTTCTGAAAAAACGAAACACGATCCAAGCCCGTTGAATTGGAAACTGATTTTGCAGGTTCCAAAAACCGTAGTTCAAAAAGCGAAACTCCCCAAGACCTTGACATGTGACGACAGACTTGGCCTTGGCTCTTTCGGGAATGGGACGCCTCATGGGAGCATGGGGGGGGGGGAAGGGAGGGGGAGGGAGCCCAATTATCCCTTATTAGCCTTAACAAGGCCTTATATAGTGCTTATTTGGCTAAGCCCCCACGAAAACCGGCTTTTGGCCGGGCCACCAACTCGTGTCAGCTCCTTTCTGAAGGCCTCTGGCAACTCCGCCCACACCACGCCCTCAATGGTCGCCACTGCCAGATCCTCGAGATCCATGGATTTAGATCCCATGAGTTGATGCAATCATACAGGTTGGTTCCTTCTAGATTCTAGAGATTTATCATTCTATGTAAGTCATCAAACCAGATCTAGAAGCAAAAAGACAGGGCCCCAGAAAAGCCGGTGTCCCGCGGCGTCCCTGGCGTTCCTGATTGACAAGAGCCACCATTTGTGGAGGGATCCCCTTTCGGGCGAACCTCTTTTGGTTTGCCAAGGGTCAAAGGCCTCACCATGCCTCCGAGCCATATTATATAAATGCTGAGATCAGGGAGGGCACCTCACTAGCATTCCCCTGCTCCAGGCCCCAAGGAAAACAAAGCACACCGCAAGCAGCCCCGTGGCCGAGACATGCCGAGACTGAGCACCACATCCAGTAGACACAAAGGCTTCGCCAAATATGACCTTTACCCATCGCAAACAACCCAGATCCTGTAAACCGAGAGGGGGCTTGTAGACCCCAACGCCTGGCGGCCCAGCCTCTTTGTCGCTCTTCTGGTCCTGGCAGTCTTGTGAGCAGTATGCCCAACCCGCTTGAGTCATTGAGAACAAATATCCCCAACCAAGGATGTACCTGAGCCTGGCTTAGCAACTGAGTCAACATACCCTTTGCCGGCCATAACTCCTTACCACCACCATTCATATACATATTCACAAGTTATATGCTTTCGCGACCCCCAGTACTACATCAGAACTAGCCAATACTAAACCAAGCCCAAAACAAATCTAAGCCAACAGATTCGCCGTATTTGGGGGCTGGCGACCAACATGGGCATTTCATTTTTTGGACGCACGGCCTCGGTTCAAACGATGTCATACAGCTTTGCACGGCTTTTTGGAGCAGAATGTTGGAAAGGCACCGGCGGCGTACAGCCAAGCCCGGCCGTGACGTTGACAAAGTTGGCGTACGGGGGAAATCGTCAAATACGGATTCCGGCGAAAAATGGACATGGACACACAGGCTTATAGGAGGCTCAGTCAAAGTCACATGAACAAACGCTGATTAATTCTCGTCGAGCCTTGCAAGGTTGAATAGCCAGATCCCCAAAAATGCTTTCAGCAACTAGATTTACATCCTTATTTGCGCATAGAACAGCTGGGGGGGGGTGCAGGGATTTGTTTGCAGGGGGAAGGCACTTTGCCAGAAAGATAAGGCTCTAAGCATCCATCAACCACCAGCCATGATATTGCAGCTGACTGCAGTACACTTTGAACAGTAGACTGCACGTAATTGGGCGATTGCATCTCACAACCCATAGCTATTTGATGGGCGACAGCAAAAATTGTTTCACACTGGCATTGGTCACGTTGGACGCTCGTCTCCAACTTGGGAAGCATCCTTCAGTTTGAAAGGGAGACCAGAAAGAAAGCAAACACGAAGGGTTCCTACATTTTTCCGACACGCCCATGTTTGTTTTCAATGCAGGGCATGGAAACCTCTTCCCTGCCTCGTAGATTCGCACTCGAGCCACCTTGCTCTGGCTGATGCCTGCGCAAGCTGGAAATCAGGGCGGGCAATCAGAACGGCATAGGGCTGAGGTGAAGGTCCATCCCAACATTGCCAACTCTGCTGCATGGCAAGGAGCAAGAACGCACAAGGGAACAGAAACACAATGGCAGCCCTCTTACTTTTCAGATCGTAGCCAAAACTCACAACGGAAACATACCTAAACATGTTCAACCTCTACTTTGTTCCATCTACGCAGCTCAAAGATCCTGTCGTGACAGGAAGCGAAAATAGGGGGAACCCATTAACAAACCATTGGTTGATACATGGAGGGTGTCTCGTTTTGAGCGGGACCTTTGAATGGGGCAGCATCCCCCAATTCCGCCGCCAGACCCATGGATCCGGGGTCAACATTCCGCGGTGGAACCACCAAATGGCGCACCAGTGGGGGCAAGGAAAGGGATGGATAACTTCTCAGGCACAGGGCCGGCCCATTTTGCCGGGTTGCGGCCTATGAATGGAGCTCACCCAAACAAACATGGAAAACAGGGTGAAACCCACTGGACAATCAGATTCAAACTGGGAATGTGCATGGAGAAAAGCTTCCTCTCAGACCGGTAAAGCTGAACATAGGGTGCCCGAAGAAGCATTTGGCAAGGTCACAGGCTGTGTGGAGACATGCCAAGACACGAATTTGGCAAAGCCAAGGTGAAGCCCCAAAGGCGAATGCCCAAAGGGCACAGGGTCCGATGCTCCGGCCATTGCTGCACACGTCTTGCCCCTTGATCATTGTCCGAGGCACCATTTAACTGTTCGCAAGCTAGCGCAAGGAGCACCGCCAGTGCCCACAAATGCGGCACCCTCGGCTAAAACCGGAAGAAAACCAACTTTGAGGGGCCACCAAATTGTAGAACCGGTTGGGTCTGCCAGAGCAACTTGCTGGAGCGCCCCGAAAGCATGTGATCCATAATCCTGATCATTCAATTAGTTGCCTCCCTTTCTTTTCTTTTTTTCTCCGGGAAGCATGGCGCCTGCTTCCTGACTTTCCGGGTTGGCCTTGCAGTGCTTTTTCAACCAATTGACCATCATGGAAACTTCTACATAAAGCACAACATCACACTAGCCCAACATGCAAATACCAGCAGGTCATTCCCTCAGAATTCCACAGAACCAATTCAACCAACAAAGGCCAAGAAGCTCGATTCCCTTTGCCCTAACCTTGGAATGTTTTAACGCCAGTTGCTTCAGGTCACAAATAGGTACCCCAAATGGAACTCTGCTAAGTGGACACATGGACCAAACTCTGCGGTCCCCTGTTGGTCTAATTTTGACCCACACCCATTTGGCTATGTGCCAAAGACGAGATGGGTGATGTACCCGGCCTGCCGCCAGCAGCATGGCGAGCCAAAGCCCAGTGAGGCTGGCACCGGCGATGGCCACTTGTACCCCAGGCTGTGGCTGACCTGGATCGCTTCTGGGCGAAGATCTCCCCCAGACATGCAAATGGAACCAAGTCTTCCAAATGGGTTCTGGCATCTTCCTTGTTAGCCTCGGAGGGTATGGAGCTCGTGTAGGAAATGCGATTGTTGGTTGTGCAAATGTTTGCTTGGCAAAGCGCTGAGCCCATTTTGTGGCTTCCGGCGTGCACGGGACAGGCGAGCAGTCTAAATGGGTGCGGTAGCTTTGGAGTACCCCTTGGGGCGTTGAAAGGAAATCTAAAGGTCTATTTGCTGGGGTTCCCTCATTTGAGCACAATCCCATCAACAAGTAGGAATCACTCAAAACTGCAAAAACACTTCAGTTGCTCACTGATCCTGGGGTTGTCATTTGTTGCGTGGAACCCACGTGACCTCAACACAGGCACGATTGGACAGCTGAAATAGACAAAACTCAACACACTAGATGTTTCCGTGAAAATTGTGCTTCCTCAGGCTTCACCTGCCTTGTTCTGGGAATGTGTCAAACCAGCGCCCAGAATAGATTTAAAAGGACGTCAGAAAGAGAGCAATCACCTGCAGGGCGCCGAATTGGCAATGACGCATTCCAGGTTTAACATAGTCTCTCGCCAAATGGGCACCACGCCCACCGTGTTTTGTTGGAGGTGTCCGTTTGGCTTTCAACAAAACAATCAAGGCCTGCATGCGTCCATCCATCCCACGTCCGAGGGCCAAAACGATGAGCAAGCAAACTAACCCTGGCAAGATATCATCCCGGGTACACGCAACGGGCCGGCCTGGAGGTCCCCAAACGACCATCTTCCTTTTGAGGGGCAGGTGACGGAAATCCCGGAATCAACCCTGTCTGGTTGAAGAGTGCAAGGCCTTCTTTCATCCAAAATCAACATGACTGGGATGGGTTCAGGGCTGAGTGCGGCCAACCACCTGATTCACCGTGCGTCAACCATCCAAAATCAGTCCCAACATTACCTCCTCTAGTAAGGTGTCAAACTGCCTCCTCCAAATCTCCAGGCCAATGGGAGCGTGTAAACATTTCCTTTGACTATAGCGTTCCACTAAGATATCGCAGAGATGGCAAAGCTCGCAAAAGGCTTCCTCCTACCACTTCCCCCAGAGAATGCTGGGGTGGGACTCTCCATGCAAGGAAGCCGCGGAACTGAGGCCACAAAATTCCGTTTCACGCCTGCGCTTGGAAGACCCAGGCTAACACTCTCCAGGGACACGTCCACGGACTCGCGCGCCTGGGAGGCGGCAGCGTGCCTTCAGGAAACCTAAGGCCTCCCCATCCATTTCCTGGAGACCTCTCTGGTGAGCACGCGGCCCTAGTGGTTCTCCTGGGTTGGCTCCTTGGTTGGAAGAGAAGAAGCCCCCCCCAAAAAAAGAAAAGAACAACGAGGAAGGCATCCAAAGCAACGTGCCTGAGGCAAAACAAGGTGATCCAGGGTTCTCCTCCTTGCAAGCGACCCTGTATACAGGGGTCACGTGGTTGTCTTCAAGGCATACCTTGCCTAGAGGCCTAGTGCGCGGCACACATCTAGCAGCACATGTGTTTGAGCCTGACATGGAACTCAGCGCGTTCAGGTTGCAGTCCAAGCAACTTATCAACACTAAAAGACAACATCATATAATTCTGGGCCGTTTAAGTCACTAGGTTTTATCAACCGTCATGAAACACCTTGCAACTCACATCTGGATGAAAGGTGACTTGCATGCAAGCTGCGTTGCGTAGCTTTCCCAACTAACAAATGCCCAACAAGATACTGACGCTTTTATCTCGAGCAAATGCTCGGCCAGGCCATCAACACAAAACAGAACAGCGTGCTGTCCTAATGCGTCCCACATAGCATCAAGTGACAGTGGGATTGGATGCTCGCCTGAAAGCCACCCTGGTGGAATTGCAGTATCGTGCAAACCACACCATCTAACCTCTTGTGGCGGTGAAAAGGAAAATCAAGCATTTCTCGTATCAACGGCCACGTTCAGGTTAGTTTGCTTGCAGTGCCACTGCCATTCGTCACTGATTGATAAGCGAGACCGACGCCAAGCAAACCAAATTCACTCCCTTTCACCAAGATAAAAAGGTGACAGAAGATGCCCTCAACAGGAACATGCTCACGGGGCCTTCAATCAGGTTCCATGTTCGTTGGTATGACCACACCGAATCCTTCGCTAATTATTGCTTCCAAGGCAGATTGATCCCATCTCCAGAAGTCAAAACGCCTCATGTCCTTGTCAGCAAGCCAAGGGTTTCCCGGCTTCCCGCCCTGGGTTGGCACTGATGCCAAATCTATCTCCAAGCTGAGTATCTGGGAGGTTAAATCTAAATTTCTAGGAGACGAACTCGAAAGTGGGTACACATGATATATACACTAAGGATCAAATCTGAGATAAACCTCCGACATGTGTTTCTTCAATATCTCCTAGACATGGTTGGCCTCTGACGCCAAAAAGGCCAGGCCTCTTTGCGTGGCACATCGAAGCCGCGCGGGCGCGCGAAGGCGCTCGCGGACAGTACGCCTTGCACCAATGGGTTCGCTTCGGGGCTTGCCACGGTTCGATATGCTGCTGTGTTTGCGGACGGAATGTTTTGTGATGCATTGCAGCCTGAACCCGAGATGATCGAACAAATTCAGACTCCAGGCAGGAACGCACACTAACACAACACTGCCACTCTGATTGATGGCAGCAACTGCATGCTGAAAATCCTTGATTGATGACCACCGTGGGAAAGCTGTAGATACATCTGCTATGCCGCATGCGGGGATGACAACCGTTTGAAAGCTAAGGAGTGTTCGGGGAAATAGACCATCAGCACTCACGTGTTGATGAGTTTTGCCCGGCGCTCATGAAAATGCAATGTTGATACGCACCGTATCTGGCTCAAAGTGTTCCCATCACCGTTGGAGCTCTGAGGCTGTTAAGGTCAAAGATCCTTTGATGATCGATGCTTTGGGAGAGAAACATCAGGCCAACATGGTGTTCTTGCAGGCACTGAAGGCCAAAGAATTTGACTAAACATAGTCCTCCCTGCTGTTGGGTGTTTTAACAAAACCATTTGTTGTTGGACCGTGCTTTGTGCAGTGAGGCGTCAACTGATGGTTTTGGGAGCAAAACGGCTCTTGCAATTGCAACCAGACCCTTCTAGTATGGAACGTTACCTGCAACGTGCTGTTAATCATGGTGCGATGCAAGGGTACTCCGAACAAATCCAGAGAAACCCGTAGAAACCCACAAGGAACGGCGCCTTGGAGCCCAAACAGATTGACTTCCAAAAGCAAATGGCCGACTCGTGAGATCAAGTCATCTGGGCACATGCTATGATGGGCCCAGCAAAAGATACCCGCGAGGCCGCCCGTATATATTTGGTTGCAAAAGGGTTATAAACCCATTCCAGCTCTGTGACACAAGTTGTTTTCTGAACTGGGTGCCCCTTTTACTTTTGTCTGAAGAGAAAACTACGGGCACACATAGCTGTGGGTGCAGGGCGTCAGAGCATCAAAAACATGTTTCTGTCTGTTTGAGAGCATTTGGTTGGGGAAACCAGCCGTTTTCCGGGGTCCGCAAAGGGCCCTCAGCTGCGAGCCTGTGGCAAGGATCAGCAGCAAAGAGCCTGCGGAGGCATCTGGCGGATGGGCGTGGAACGCCCAAAGTGAAGACCGTTCGTGCCGTAGCATGTGCTGCACAAATAGCTGGAAAATCCATTTGCTGGAAGGAGCGGTTTTTTGGGGCTCCAAAGACAACGTCACAAGGGCAATTAGAAGGTTGATGTGCCGAGTACGACCAATTCAAGACCAGCGGCAAGCGTATCGACTTCCTCGCTTTGTCTGATTGAAGGTTGATACAACGGTTTTCGAGTTCGGATCTTTAGAGCCAAGCGCCCCTTTAGGGTAAGTTTTCAGGCCCCGCTACTTCAGCCCAAAAGCGTTACCCAGGGAAGTTTGGAGTATGCATCCAGCAAGGAACAACTCGGCGGCAACAGCAGCGCTGGACATCGTCGGACAAACATCCCCAAACAGGAATGGACTTGATCAGCTTACCTGAGGATGAAGAAATCAGGCTCAGTGAAATTCTCGCAAAGAACTGCAAATGATTACTCCCCCTAAGGAGAAAAATAAGATGGGGCCGGAAAACCCAACATTTCGAGGCTCTGAACCAGAAATATCACGTTCATGCACGTGCGCCCCTACAGGTAGGGATTGAACAAATTTGTTCTGGGCCGCCACAAGCATGATTGCTAGGCGATGCAGGCTGAAACTTCCTTGCTAGAACCACATTCGGGCCCCCGAAACTTGCCAGGAGCATGAAGGCCATTATGAATGACAATCCGTATCATGGCGATCGTAGCCAATCCCAGCCACCCCCCTCGAAAGGGTCACACATGAGCAGCGCCAACTCCCGTTTTTTCCAGCGACCTGGGTATGAAGGCATATATGGCCTTACTACAAAACGTCTTTCACAACAGCTGCAGTTTTTACGATTCATAGCAAGCTTCAACAAGCAGCCAGCAAAGAACCTGCATAGTGCTAACCTCCGTTGCCAAGCCTCGCCCCAGCTTCCGCGGTTGCGGAGAGGCCATGAGAGCGGAAGGGCAAGCTGCCACTTGCACAAAGCGCACGGAAAGCTGAGGATTGGGTCAGTATGTGACAGTGACTGAAAACGGACCAAACGGACAAATACAACATGAACATGTCTGTGTTGAATGGGTGAAATAAAATAAGTAAATACAGGCTGACAGGCTCGTCTGTCTCAAGGTGTGTTGCTGGTTGTATGCTTTCATTCTTGCTTGCTTGTTTGCTGATACTGTTGGTCTGCACGCCATACTTGATAACTTAACTTGCCGCTTACACACACCAGCTTGTCATGATTTGGGGTGCTTGCCCGCAGGGGCTTCTTTCGACACAGGCCTGCACCAGGTGTTGACTGTGTGTTTGCTTTCTAGCTTCAGGCCTATCTTTAAAGCTGCTGTTGCAGTGTTTGTGTATGGAAAATCCGCTGCATACCCTTTGCGCGAATCCGAGTGGAGCAAGGCTTTGCTACCAGTGCCAAGCCAGCTACTGCATGGGCGGTGCTATGCTTGAAGCTGTTGTCGAGCTTTTTTTGCATATTGCTTCCGAGGACGAATAAGAAAGTCTGATTTGCTTTTTGCACTTGGCCTGCTATTCTACCTGGCTGGAGAAGCCAAAGTGGCTGCAGATAGTACACTAACTGGATGAAGGGCATGGAAGGCACATGTCAAAAGCGAGGACAAAACATCAAACACGCGCGCTGAACAAGCAGTAGGCTGGTTTTGTGTCGTTGTGGTACGGTAGGTGGGCCACGTGTGCCTGGAAACAAACCCTTGTTGAAAATGTGTTTACACAAATGCTGCATTGCTACCTTGAAGGAGGCCTGGGCTTGGTTGTTGATACAACTTTGCCTAACCCTGGCACAAACCCTTAGAACATATCACACCTGGTCAGGTGGAAGCAAATCTGGCTCTGTCACTTTTGATGATTCACTCATACGGACTCATACGTGGCGCGCCGGAAATACGCCGAGAGCAAAAGCACCGCGTGACTACTAGCACTGGCATCTTTTCCACATGCTCTGGGCACATGCGTATACGCCTGTGCACTCCAAAGCTTCTTCCTCCGGGCAATTCATGTGAACATCAAAAAACAATTACTAGGTGTTCATATTTGCGTGGCCTAAGTGCGCGGCGACTGGCAACGTTTCCAAGCTGAATTGCAGATACAAACGCCCAAAGCCACTCTAGGAAGTTCCAAGCTTTCCCCAAAACAGTTGACAGGCGCTTCCTGGCTAAATGTGTGGTTGGCCAAAGCATCACGGAGCAAAGGCTTCAAGCGACCGTTAGGCTGAGACATGCACCAGGCCGCATATGCACTGGAAGAACCTCAGCCACAAGGAGCCCGCTGTAAGCCACGTCGCCTTTGTGGATTCACAAGCACCAACAAATCTTGACCCATATGAGAGGTACACAACAAATAGTATGTGTTTATACATATGTACATGTTTTGGGTCATATCTGGCCGTCTACCTCAAAATATAACATTTGTTTGGCGGAAACCCCAGAAAGGCAGGTCGCAACCTATGCTCTGGAGCAATGTCTACCGGCATGTGTGGCAGAATTTGCGTTGCTTCGAGGTCTGCAGCTGGGTGTTGCAAAGGGATTCGGAAAACACAATATACATCCCACCTTGAGCAAAGAAAACCTCCGAGCTTCTTGGTGTTCCAATGTGCATCCCCAAAATCATCGCCACGTGCGCGTTTCACAGCTGACAGAATCTTTGTAGGCTCCAAACCTGCCATGAGGTTCGCGAGAGAAGGCCGCTTGGCATGCTCATCGAATAGGGACCGCCCATGGCTGAATTTGAAGAAAACCAAACCCATGGAAAACGAAAAAGGTCCAAATGCTAGTAATCGAGTAGCTTTATGAAAGAAAATGCAAGCAAAAGCAAAGGTCATAAAAGCGGGCAACAGCAAACGCCGGAATCAGAAGCAGACAAAGAGCACAAATGATTTGAGGCACAAACAAAACAGCGAACAGAAAACAATGGAACACCCCGAAGCCTATGTGTTTGTCAGCACGCGGTTCACCGGTTTCTGCCAAGGTGGGCAACCTCGGGGAAACGCCCGAATACATAGACATTGCAGCCAAGCAGCACGATACCCATGCTGAAGACGTCCCCTCTGGGGAACCAAATCCCGGTCCTGCAAACGGCGACTGGGTACCTGTCTCCAATCAGGTAAGGAAGGACCACTTTCTTGGGGGGTTTCCCACCCCCCACGTCAGTGTTAAAACCATGATAGGTTCCAAGAACTTTGTGCCAGAAGCTTTGCTTTTTCGAGGCCTTGGTCCCAAGGCCTTCGGGTTGCAACTGAGGCCTGGCAACTCCCTCTGGCCCAGCCAACTGAGGTAACTGGCAACCAGTGAGGCTTGATGGATGTTTCTCCACGCCTGCGTCTATGAAAAGCTGCTGGTCCCATGTATATAACTTGAAAATCCGTTGGTGCCACTTTGGAAGACCAAGACCCGCCGTTTCCACGGGGCCCTTGACGCCCGGGTCGACACACCAGGCCTCCAAGTCTCAGGCGGAATGTAGCCCGGAGTGCCGCAGACGCCCTCGCGCAGGCTGGTGAACCTTGCATTTTTCGGGCCTGCAAAGTGAGAGGATTTCTCAGGAATGGTTCCCTCATGCCAGACCTTGCAACCCCATCTGGGACACGGCGATAAGTGAAACCACTACCATCTGGCAGGATCTTGCGGGAATCTGGCGGATTAAATTTGAGCAGCGCAGTCCCAGAAAGTCATCAGCATACGGCCACTCGAGTCACAGTCGACCCAAGCCCATGAGAGCCAGAGCCAGAGTCAGTATTCAGAGTGCGCCGAGCTGACATGTAAGGAAACACCAATGGCCCCACAGCCCAAGGCCTTTTGGAACCCTTGAAGGGGCTCGTACAAGAGTCTGATAGCCACCGCTGATGGGCAGAGGCCCAATGTCTGGCCTAAACATTGGAGCTTGGCTGAGTTCCTAATTTGGCAAGCGTGCCCAAGGTCATCCTGTGCTACGTTGCACTTGTGCGGTTCTACAATTTAATTGATGTGGCGTGTTGACGTAAGCCCTGTCTGCCCGTCAATCAGCTGCTGTGATTGTTGCATTACTCTTGACGCCGATTTTTCCGAACGATTGCACAGACCAAACATATGCACAGCTTGAAACAGCTCTACTAGATTAGTACTGCTGCCAACTGTCCCGGTATCTCCCTGAACATCATCATAAACTTGTGCTTTTACCACCAGCAGAGACACTCTTTTGCCTTCTCTACCCTTTTCTTGTTGAACACACCTCCTAAGGTTCGTTCTCCATGTTCTTGATCCATTAGGGCATTTGCTTGCTCACAGATCTCGCAGAAACGGCCGTTTCCACCCCCCCCCCCCCACGCGTTGAAACAAACTCACTGCAGAAACACCGCCGATTGATCAGCCTCGCGGTTGCCAGCTTCTCTTTGAATACTTACTGTAGGACGCTGGTTCAACCCCGGCTGTGGCAAGTTGGTGCCGAGCCACGCCGTGGAAAGCCCGAAGTCAATCAGCACGACACGCGGCACCTCACACTTCGAACAATGCACCAGGTGTGTGTGTGTGTTGTGTGTGTGTGTGCCCCCGGCTGGTCGACAATATGAAGCCCGCCCCATTTATAATTTAGTCAAAAGACAGCCCCCAACCTGTTGGCAAATCAGAGCACCCAATGCATCAGGGCCATCTCAATTCGATTCCCCAGCAAGGCCACGGCTGGATGTCTTGACAACCTCACGGCTCTGAGCCAGTTGCGCATCTGGATCTCGCACTGTCTAGCAAAGCGTTACACCGTTACACCCGTGTAAACCTCAAAGCAAAACCCCACAACCGTACCCGCATTGATTAACGAGAAACTACAAGCTTTTGGCAAGAATACATATATACATCATATGTGGGCTCCTTACACATATATATATAGATATATATATAAACATATACATACTGCATACACACTTGAAACTGGGGCAATTAAATGGAGCTGGTACGCCCTGCTCAAAGCGCGCCTCATAATCAGTGGTGGCAATCATGATGTTTGGCTCCTGCTGTGGGACGGAAAGACTCGCTAGAGGTTCGAGTCAGTGTGGAAACCCACAGCGGCGCTGTGCGATGCTGATCTGAAATTAGGGTGCAACCGGCTGACTTCATCACACCACCTCTCCAGAACCATTCGATTCAAGAATTGCAGACAATGTACCTTGCATGCCCACCAGAAGCAGATAGGTAGGCACAACCAAGTTGCCACATGCGCGGGTGTCGCCAACACTACATTGCCGCACCCAGCAATTCTAAGCCGGCTGGCGGCGGCTGCAGCTAAAGCAACAAACAAACAAGAAACAACAGCACTCAGTGCCCGCAACAAACAACAATGTTGAGGACCACAACCACGAATTCAAAGTTTAAAGTTCAAACCTAACCACTAATGAGTATACTGTCAATGCAAGAACTTGTCCGCGTACAATTCATGTTCATGTGACCCCACAATCACTCGTTACGGTGACAGTAACCATTGCCTTAGCGCATCAGGAATCCACACAAATGGGCCTGCCGAGTCATGTCGAAAGTGTGTTCATGTTGAAATTAGGTGCTGATCGTCCTTTGTAAAGATTCTTGAGTTGATACCTTTGTTGCGCTCGCGGACTGGTTTCACTATTCTCCACCACTAGACCTGGTCCTTGATGTCACAGTGCATCACGCCCTGGCTATGCAGGTAGCACAGCCTCGGAAGCCATCACAACAGATCACAACAGTACCAATTGCACCAGGCTGCAGTGTTGTTTATTTACTATTTTGCCGGCGCGGCGTGCAATGTACCAATGGGACCTGGGGAACCACAAAAGGCCGTGCAGTCGACAAACAAACAGCGCACCGCATAAACAAGTCGCAGCTGCTTAAGGCTTTGGAATTCCCAGTTGTCCCGTGACCCTGGTGAAGAAAAGGGAATCCTTTCTGGGGTTCAGCGGTACATCTGCGTGTAGTAAGGAACCCACAAAACCAAATGGCAATGGCTTTGGATCCACATGTCATGCTGGGACCTTGCCATTTGCCTGTGAGGAAGCGTGACACCGATCAGGTATCCTTAATTCCCACAAACTCACAGAACGGTGCCCCTCTTGTGGTACGGTTTGATCATCTTGACCCCTGATGAACAAGCAACTGCATTCTTCAGGGTGTTACCTCAGGATTGAAAGCCAAGAGGAAGGAACCCCCCACTGCAGCCGACCCCTATGAATCACACATGGGAAGTAAAGTCAGGGATTACATCAATAAGGCCAAACAATCAAACAGCCCACAACGAGGCGCACTCCCCCCCTCCCAAACAAAAAAACCAACAAACAAAAAACAAAAACAAACAAACAAACAAACAAACACACACACAAAAAAGAAGGCGGAACACGAAGATTCAGGCGCAGCGGCACTCAATGAGCTAAGGAATCGGACCCTTCCATGCATTGCTTGAAGATGCCGCGCCACCAGCTTTCGCTCATCCTCACGGTCCCGCTGGTTACTAAGCGCCTCTTCAACGCCAACCGACGAGCCAAACCAACTAACCACCGAACCACTAACTAAGTGGAGGAGCCCGAGTAAAAGATCAGCCCCCAGTTTTGTTTTAACACCTCATCCGCAAATGACAGGAGGCCGAAAAGCGTGATTTCAAAGGCAAAGGGGGATGGTGCGTTGAAAGTGTCAGCGCACTCCTGTGCCTCCAAGCACTCCTCATGCTTCGCACCAGCTGATCCATTCGCACTGTCAGGTGCTGGATTCAACACATATTCATGCTCTGAGCCAACTGTCAAGCTGATTGACCTTGCTGTTTGTTTGGTTGGTTGGCTGGTTGATTGCTTGGGCCGCTGGCAAGCTAGTTCATTCGTTGGGTTGGGTTGGGTTGGGTTGGGTTGGGTTGGGTTGGGTTGGGTTGGGTTGGGTTGGGTTGGGTTGGGTTGGGTTGGGTTGGGTTGGGTTGGGTTGGGTTGGGTTGGGTTGGGTTGGGTTGGGTTGGGTTGGGTTGGGTCGTCTGGGGTTGGGTCAGGTTGGGACCGGAATCAATGCACCGGTCTCCTGATGCCCTTCTGGTAGGCATTCTTCCCCAATTTGGTGAGGTCGCCTCCGAAGTAGGGCTCATTCACCTGCCAGTCCCCAAGCTTTCGAGCAAGTCACCAAAGTGGCTCTGCTTGCGGAATCCTGGAAGCATATGCAAGCAAACCTTTGCTCTCCCAGCGGTACCCTTCTGGACTGCCCAGAAGCGGGCACAATCCCCTCGTCAACCCCAGGGATTGCAAGGCTTGCCCGCTGCTCCCATGCCGGGCTGGCCAAGTAGTAGAAGGACTTGTCCTGAAACACCTGGCTCCGCGAAAGCATAATCTGCGCCAATGGACACCCACCAAAGGGACCCTTTTGGAGGAAAATCATCTTTCAGGGCCCCAAGTCAGGTTCCATGTTGCTGGGTTGGAGGGTACGTGATGGCTACGATGCAAATACATCACCAAGGCGTGCCTTTAACGTCCGCTCAACCATGCCAAAACTCATTCCGAAACAAAGGGCAAAGTAAGGTGGGTGGCTTCCCTTTTGAACCAAATCGAAACTGGGTGCCCCAAACATGCCAACAAAAGGAGCGCGCACGCACGCACATGCCACACACGCCCCACACACACACACACACGCGCAAAACAACGCACACACAGACAGACAGAGACACACACAGAGATACATAGAGACATACAGAGACACTCCGAGACACACAGAGACACACAGAGACATACAGAGACAAACAAAGACACACAGAGACACACACACACAGACACACAGAGACACACACACACACAGACACGCAGAGACACACCGGCACACACAGATTGTGACATGCGATACGTACAAACACAAACACACCACCGGGCTGCTCGCAGACGGTGAGAAAAAATAATAATAATATATATATATATATATGTATATGTATACTCCATGAAACGTTCCCAATGGTAGGTCGCGGACCCTGCTGAAGGAATCAAAAGCTGGCTGGCGCTTGGAAACCTCCAACTTGCTCGTTGCCGGCTGGTGTGTGCTCATTTGCTCTCCTAAGAACAGCCACAGAGTGTGTTAAGCGCATGTTTCACCAGGTGGGCCCAACCCTGCCACTGGCACGCCCCCCACCTCATAGGTCTTCGCAATATGCGGATTGTCCAAGCTGGACATTAAGGCGTACTCGTCCATCAGCTCCTGCTAAAATCACTTTGGTGCGCAAGCTCCATGCAAGCCAAAACTAGATTAAAGCTAGTGACCGACCGTGCCTGCTAGTACCTAAACAGGAGGCCTTAACCAGGCCATATTACATGTTGCAGCGTCAACAAGTCGCAGAGGAGGAGCCAGAACAAACAGGGGGAATAGCCGAAAGCGGTGCGCAACATGCTCATAAAAGCGCCGACAATCAGCCACACGCAAATCAACCGACAGGGCAAGCGTGCAGGCTTGAATGCATTCTGTGAATCAAAGGGGTCAACGACCTCAACGATAATGCAGTTGCATACGCGAAAGGCGAAAGGAGCCCTGTGGAATTGCAATGGGTTACACGACCCCGCTGCACTTTCTCAGTGCCTGCTAGGCCATGATAATTGGCTTCGCCAAGAGTTCGGGTCTGGCTGTGATGAAGTTCGCATGATTCAAGAGCCAACCGGTGACAAAACCAAGAATAGTTTGCAACAACACTGCCTCCCGTGTTCACATCCTCTGATCCTTGTGGAGCTAATCAATCCTCACTTGCTCCCCTTTTGAGCAAGTGAATTGAAGCTTGTTGGGTTTCTCGAGATTGGCCACTGGAGCAGGTGAAAGGCCAGCTGCGAAGGTCTGCGTTGGACAGGTTTATTACGGGTCCTTTAGGCCTGGTCTCTTGTCATGGCTTCTGACTTGGCCGACTGACAATGAAATCAGCCTAGCATGACACGCCCCTTGACACATTCATAAACTTCTCCCAAACATGCAACCTTCCATCTTTGCAACGGGGCGGATATAGCCCAAAGAAGAAACCCGCTGATCGATCCGTTTTAAACCTGATTGCTTGCCAGGCCGCATCCAGACCTCCGGCGTTGGCATCGGCTTTCCTAAGTGTCTCATAGGCTGTCGCGTGACTGCAATGCATGCTGCTTTTTGGCTCCCCATCGGGCTGCCAGCAATCCGTAAATTCTGACATGTTTGGTCATCTGCCATGCTGGACCTGGCTTTCCCAACGTCTATCTGCATCCCCCACATGTCCGAAAGAATCCGCAAGTTGGTGGGGGATGCAGATTCACGCAACTTCGCTGCTTCCGGCTAGCTGGTTTTGTTGTTTCCCCCGGCTTTGGAAAACCAACTCTCAAGAGAACTAGCTTGTGCAATGTCAAATTGTAGTTTTCATCTTTTCATGTTGGGGTGGCAAATGGCGTCTTTAATAAGGGGGTTGGCGCGAGCCAAACAAGGATCAGTTGCGCTTGTCAAACCTTGAAGGCCCCTTTAAAGTGATATTGGTTGGCAGTCAGGGGGGGGGGGGAAGGGCAGTCTTTAATAACGGGGAGTTTGATAATTTGTCCGGCATCAACAAATCTTGAGAATGTTACTTGAACAAGTGCAAAGCGACAATAGTAATTCACGGGAACAAGAGAGAGACAACGTAAGGTAACCTAAGCAAAACCCGGACAAATAAACCGTGCAAATAATCGAGAAGTTGCCTTCCTTTCAAGAATGGAGGTGTGCCCCTATGGGACACCCCGTATTCAACCAGGGGCTTCTGAATCTGGGTTTCCAAATCCGTTTGGAGCGCATTCAGCCCAAGCGTCTCGTAGAACTTGATGCAGTATTTGGACCTTGGTTGGCAAGGACCCTGGCAATGGAGCAAAGCGAGCCATGTGGGAAAGCTCGGCCCTTCTCATAGGCACAACTTGCTAGAATGACCCCGGATCTTGCAGGATCCCCAAGAAACAGCCTGAGGTCGCTCCAAAAGCGTGCTTCAGCCTATCCAACGCTCGGAGAGAGCGGTCAACCAGAATTGAAAACTCTAGTGTTAGATATGTGCGTAGAAGGCTGCCAGCCAGCAAGCTCCATGCAAATATTAACTAAATTAGGTGTTCGCCGAAAGTTGCGACGTGTCGCGGCAATAGAGATCTCAAAGCAGGCTCCTCAAGTGCTTGAACCAATAGGAGGGCCAACATACCAAACAGTGGAAAGTTTGTCTTCGAGCGAGCGGCTGTGTCAAGCTAGATATGCTCCCAAGAAGGTTGAATTCGGTGATCTCCTTTCAGATTAGTTCTCAAGCCATTCGAAAAATCAATCACCCATGATAAATATGATCAGTAACTCATTTTTTTTGAGAGGGGGGGTCCTGAAAAGAGCATGGGCCCCTTGGCTCGATCGGCCGAGCTGCGTCTGAAACCAGCCGCGCTTGGTGCAGAGGTACATGGTACCCTGTCCGCCTCGGCCAAGCTCCTGAAACCCGAAAGCTGGCGACGCACCACAAAAAACTGGGATCTTTCTTCTTCCCAGGGATGTTTATGATCAAATGTTTTTTAGAAGTGGGCTCATGTCACAATATTGGCAGATGGTTCGTTCAGATTTTGGTTGCCATGCGTGACAGACTCCTTCTGGCAGATTTGAGACAGACTTTAGATTTTGCCAGTAGTGAGTTCATGTGTTGGCAGACTTGCGCAAAAGATGCATTGAGACCTTGGTTGCCATGCGTGACAACCTCCTTCAGAACAGTGACAGACTTAACCTAGCAAATGTGTGACAGTTTGACTCAAGCAGGAAAAGGATTAGTGCAGCAGATGTGTTACATTGGCGTAGATACTTTTTTCAGGTTGGAGGGTTGTTGCAAAGATACATGGAAGACGTCAAGGTTGAAGAGGTCAAACAGTTCAGCCTTGGCGCCGCAGCATGGGCTAAGCTGCATCTGTTTTCGATATTCATTTTGTCCATGGTGACATCATAGAATGAGAGTAGTTCAGTAGATATGTCAGGATTTGGCACTTAAGGCACAAGTCCAAAGGAGATAAGGCGCGCACCCAAACAGGAATGGCTGAAAGCAAATGCTTTACAGCGCATTACAGCACTTTTGGATCCAAGATTCAAGATTCAAGCTCTAGATCAGGAATCTTGAATCCGGTCTGGGGCCCTCAAACGCTTTAAAGCGCTTCAAAACACTTTTTTTTAATCTAAGATTCAAGACTCAAGATTCACAGGACTCTGGTTCTTCAACCTTGAATCCACGAGCCACTTGGACGGAAGCGTTTTAAAAGGTTGTAAAGCGCTTTGGGGGCCCCATACTGGATTCAGATGCAGGTATAGTTAAATGGGCAAAATTGAAGCGTGGTGGGAATCACCCAAAAGTACCGTGTGTTGGGGAGGGTACTATGTATATCTATACTATTACTGCAACCTAGCAGCTGAGCACAGCATAAACACCCGTCTGACCAGACATCCAACAAACAAGCGATTGGTTGACGGGTCCCACCTCAATAACCATGAAACATGTTGCAGTCCTGAACTGCTTTCGACCCCGGTAAGGAGCGATAAATCACACAATTCAACATAAAGGCTGCTTCTTTCTCTGGCGGGGAACGACCGCCTAACCTCCCATGAGTCGCGCTTGTTGTCCGGGTTTGCTTGGCTTTGCAAAAACACGGCTGGTCACCAGATCACTCAGAGTCGCTCACTTTCTGAGATACCACCACATGTCTTTGATAATGTCAATTTGAACGGAAAAGATCGATCCCCAGAACCCCGAAACCTTGGGGAACCCCGTGAACAAAGAACCTCTTGGCTTCGAAGGGAACGTGAGCCGACTTTGAGGGGGACCCGCAGGATCTGCAAATCCCTGCTCGCGTTCCTCCCCAGATCTGGGCTCGGGTTTGGTTCCATGAATAAATCAACCCGGGCCCCACAGCCCCAAACCTCAGTTGGCCCCTTTTTTGCAGTAGAGGGACGCAACCTGCAAAAAGGCGGCGGGCGAAGCAGGGTTGTCCGTCTTCGCCGCCAACCAAAACGCTTTCCTAAATCCTCAAACGTCAACTGCTCGACTTGCCGTCCTTGACCACCGTGTAGCCCTGCGCCACAACTGAAGAGAAGGCCACCTTGATCTGGCGGCGTCCTGCCAACTCCTCGGCTTGCTGCGTCACAACGCCGGCATTCTGCCCCGCACAGGGATGACCCGTCGGGGTGGTCAAGGAGACCCGCCAAACACATGATCAGTTGTTGTTGTGTTTTGGGGGAGAGGAGCAAGAAGGGCATTCATTTCTGCAGCTATGCTACCATCTTGTTGCCAACTCTTCTGGCTTCATGCCCCACACACAGGTCTTCAATTTTCGCTCGAAAGGGCTTGGATGGCCCAACCAGCTTTGAATATAGTGAAGCGGCCTGTTTGAGAGTCTGAGCAAGGCCTTCCGTTTTCATGACACTGGTAAACCCCAGTTGTCCAGCGGGTCAGGCGGAGTATGACTATTACCCACAAATGGGATCCAGGATGAACCACACCTAATGAATACACCGAGTTCCATGTTAGAGGAAAAGTGGAACAATACCCATGTTCATTTGCCAGACTGGGACTCCAGGACTGAACTGCTTCTAAAAAGTTTGCATGAGACTGGAATTGGGGTCGGCAGGAAATTGGCTCCTTTGGAATTTATTTGGTATTGGCTAATTTTAGCTTTGTATTGGGAGATGTGGGATCTGGAAAACATATTTTCACTAGCAGGGTGTATAGATGAATAAGGGAAACTGAATACCATCTTTCCAACAACGGACACGGTGGTTGCCAAAAACAACCTGTCTTGCAATATCCTCATGCCAGCTTCCATGGTTGTTGAAGGAAGGGAAGTGGAAGAACTCGAAAGCTGCTTGACCACTTCAGTGAGCCTAAAGATCCCAACTTCAAAACATGTGCCACTTGCTCGTTCAATGGCCATAACAAGCTGCAAAACCGAACAAGAAACCATGGTTCCTCAACTGGACAAGGACACTCAACAGCACCACTGAGAAGTCAAACGATGGAGTTGTCGAACCAAGGGCCTCTACTGCTCCAAGGTTGAGGGACCTCCTGGCGCTTTGAAACTTGAATGATGCTAGATGCAAAGATGAAGCCATATGTGAACTTCCCACGCCTAAGGGGAGCGATGCAAAGGCCCGGCCATCCATGAGCCGCCCATCTGCAGTCAAATCACACTTCACCACCCCCTCCAACCCCTGCCCGGCGCTTGTTTTAGGCGAGAGGTGCGATTCCTTGAAGATGAAAAGCCAAATTCCATGCCAGTCTTGGCACGCTAGAATTCATGCACACGGGTATTTCAGTATTTCATGGTATTTCTCTTTGAGCCTCGCTGGTCCTGCTTCATCCCTCACCTGCGTACACACTGACCATGAACACGCAAATGTGAGTACAGTTGAAAATCTTTCCTATACAGCCAAACATGATATGCACACATAAATGCTTCTCTGACCTTGAGGTCCAAAGGGCCAGGCACTTTGTCCTCCCCGTCCGTGTCAAGCCGCTTTGGGTTCCAAACGAACACAACAAGCGCTAAAACCGACAACATGCGATAAACAATTGGAACAGGACCTGACAGAACCTTTGGCTGATACGAGAAAATCGCCGCCCTTGCCTTGGCTAAGCCCAATCAGCAACGCACCCTTTGCGCTGCTGGCGAGACCAGTCTCATTTGCATGAATCCGTTCTTTCTGTTCCAGTATGCGTTTAGCCGATAACGCAAGGGACCTGCGAAAGATCTGGCATCACGGAGCCCACGCCCGAACACTTTTTTGGCCAGGTGAATTCCCAAAACAAGGATTGTTTTCAAGGGTGCCCTATTCGCCTTAGCTTAAAGAGACTCCAAAAGGAACACCACCGCTGTTGGGGTCCCCCTATTTTGACACATGCTTCAATTGAACACTCACGGCCTGCTTTGGGGGAACCAGCCAACTCCGAAACCCTAAGGCCTCATGCAACCTCCGCTGGAGCGAGCAACTCGCTTGAACCAACGCCTTCAAAGGGGTGTCAATGAGCTTGGTTTCGCCTCAGAGCCCAGAAACAGCCTCTCGCGCAGAAAAAAAACGCGAGGCACACGATCTTCAAAGCAAACTGGCCGACGCCTGCTGTGATATACCGCGCCACGCTCAAAACGGAATGCTGCGCGTAGATAGTCAATGTGTCCTTCTGTCAGAGCAAGTGCAGCTGCAGACTTTTAAAGCTTCAGAGGCCCAACACAAACGCCCGCCCAGCTGCCGTCGTTGGACGTTCTTCCATCAACGGTTGCTCTGTGGGCAAAATTCAGGGCTCTGACCTGCAGCTTACAGCTCAACAGGCCCAAAGGCTCAAAGGATGACGCAAGGCTGCCGAAACATGTTCTATCCCAAACCTGAGAGTGCATGCCCGCCCAGCTGCCGTCGTTGGACGTTTTTCCATCAACGGTTGCTCTATGGGCAAAATTCAGGGCTCTGAACATGCCTAGCTTACAGCTCAACAAGGATGACGCAAGGCTGCCGAAACATGTCTATCCCAAACGTGAGAATCGCTCCGAGGATTCATGTCGCACAAGTCTCACAAGTCAAAGGGAGGATTGGAGGCGGTCTCCTCCCGTTTGAAGGCTACATGTGAGTGGGTAGCTTCTCAACACGCAAGTGAGTCCTGCTCAAGTGGCGGCCTTGTAAGCGCATCCCTTTGCGTCATGTGTGCACTGTGAATGTTCAACGTTGCATTTGTGTGCCCCAGCTGAAGCTTCACAAAATAAAACCGCCATTTCAAGCGACAAACCCACAGCCGCAGTTGTGATCAAACCAAGGCTCAACAATGGTTCATTGATCCCACGCTCTCAAAGTTGTCCCTTACCAGTGGGATGTGTCACACACCTCTTAAATTTTGAGGGGTGGCTGGAAACCACCTCCATTTCTCTGCAACACCGGAGCCGTTTCCTAAAGTTCCCTATCAGCACTCACTTGACGGGCGTGGTGAGCGCACCCACGCAGTAGAGCGCGGCGGCAATTAGGAGCATGTAGTGCACGTTGTGGAAGACGCCGCCATGGACAGAAACCAGGAGGCCTCAACCGCTAGAATAAAGACCCAATCATGCGTGAAATGACAGGGAGAAGCCGCTAAAAACACGAGTGAAGAAGAGCAAGCCAAGCACAAAACATGCTGGAGTGTGTGCAAAGAGCAACCGCATTCAACTCCTGATCGTTTTGCGGTGTTTTGTGCTTGACGCACTTTCAACCTCGAAGTCGCGACCTTTTCGGAAACACGCGAAGTACACTTTGGCAGCTCCACCTCGAAAACTGCAACTTGTCAGCACAAGTGCGCGCGAAGCTCATGTTGGCCTCAAAAAGCACATAACGAGGTTGTTAACGTTTTGTTTTTATTTTTGCTCAGCTGCCAAAAGTCTGGCCTGGGGGCTGCCAATCGGTGTCGTTCTTGTTTAACTCCTCATCGTTTTGCAGACGTGCCAGTCTTGGACACAAGGGACCTCCGATACGATTTGTTAAGCGAACGTCTTCTTACAACTTAGCACTTGGATATGGCCCCCTGTACGAGCAATCAGCTTGCGTAAAACATGGCTTCAACCGCCCCAAGCCCTCTTGTTTGTGTCTGATCAAACCACCCCAGCGGCTGACTAAAGGCGCAATCCTAGTCCTAGCAGAAAACAGCTTTGAGCAGGGGCTGTGGAAGCCACCCGCATGAATGGAACAGTTGCGCGTCGCGTTACAACATCTATCCCGGTGGTGCCAAGGAATTTGCTGGTGATGTTGGGTGTGGAAACCTAAAGCCACAAAAGCAACGGCCGTAAACACCAACAAAAGCCACAAAAAACAACGTTGCAGCGAGCTCAAAATCCTGAAGAAAAACAGAAGAACCAATCCTGAAAGCAATGGCCTCCGTAAAATGACAAGGGCTCTGATTAAACATGAAACACGAGAAACCCAGAAGGTTGAGAGGTAGTGGCCTTTGAGCATGGCCTCTTGGCCAATTCCTCCGTGGCTTTCACTGCCTGCAACTACCCCACACCCCTTGTGGCTCTATGGTGGTGTGTCTCCTTTCTTTCCTTTGGCAAAGAAATAGCAATGCGGCCTTCCTGAACAACTTGTCGGGCACATGCTCCTCTGCCACAATTTGGCTGCACACAATCTGCACATTCTACTACAGCTGTTCAACATGGACATGCAAAAGCTCTTGCTGACGTCTCACGGACACAAACCCGCCGGATTCCCAAGTAAAGCACTGACAGCGTAGTGCGCAACCCCAGCAAAAATACAAACACAACAAACAACATTTGACAGTGGCACTTCTTGCTTTCCCTGTAGTTTGCAATGGAAACACAGGCATCCTTGGTGATTGAGTTCAAGTCAGCAATATAAGGAATCGGGTTCTCGCACGCTTCTCCTGGCATGAAGGGAAGCCGGCTTTGCAGTCTAAACGTGATGCCTTGAGTTACCGAAACAGGGCAAAACCACCGCAACCCTGACAGAATCTGACAGAGGCCACTGGCCATTAAAACGCGGCCCGGAAGTCTTTTGGCCATGGTGCCGGCCAGGGACGGAATAAGGCCTGGCGCAAAAGCAAGGACGCCTGCGCTTCTTGAGGCTCAAACGTTCGCGCGGGCTTTTGTTGCCGTGGTTCAAGCATACAGCGCTCGATGTCTTGAAAATGTTCCCAGCAGTTCGTTGCGGCCCGGTTGTCGCAACTGAGTATCTGCCCTACATTTTTGCAGCCCAAAGTCACGACATTCAACATCGGCCGCGTGGCAGGCCAAGAAGCTCTCAAAAAACAAAGGCAGCCAAGTCGCTGCCGCTCAGATAGCCTCAAATGCGCCAAAGCCCGAAGTAAGACTTCCCCCAAAGCCAGCAACAGACTAAACCCGTTGGATACAGGACATGATGGAAAGCATACAAGTTTAAACTGCAATTGGGTGCGCCCGTCTTGCCTTCAGGGAAAATGAAACATAATTGTTTTAGACAAACAACGTAGCAGAAGCAGAAGAAAAGAAGAAGAAAGCCAAATGACAACCCAACCCAACATGAACAAAGAGTCTGAAGATCTCCAGAGGCTTCTGAAACCCAGTGCTTCAACCTCGTCGCCAAACCACTGGCTACCGCCCAATACCTCTGCGCATCTGCTCATTTGTCATGTTCCACCTGTGCAAACCTGCTCCACTCATCTGTCTACGCACTACCGTTCCACATGCCTCTAAAAAGAGAATAATTGCACTGGCAACAGTGTTGGGGCAGGTGTGAAGGAAGATAAGCGAATGATATCTCAAACATACAACAGATGCGGTAATTTAAGGGATTGCGAGAGCAAAAGCTTCTGTAAATCCTTGGACAAGATCTCTGAGGAAGGATCTTTGCAGGATGTGTGGATCGGGTCTCTTGGTCGGATCTCTTGGCAAGATCTGTGCGCAGGATCTCCATGTGAACCCTCTACAATCAAATCTGTAAAGAGCGTCCTCTACGAGGTGTCTCGGCATGAAACCTTGGCAGGCTCAAGGTCTCGGTGGAGGATCTTTGCAGGGTCACTGGGTAGGATCTCTTTTTCGGATGCCCTCTACAAGCTTTCTGTTCAAGATCTGTGGAAGCATCCTCCACAAGATCCCTCTCAAGGAAATCTGCGCAGGTCCCGCGCATGACCTGCATCATTAAAACATGTGCGTGATATTCACAGATCCAAGCGCAAGATGTCTGGGTAGGATCTTGGGAGGATCTCCTGCCAGGAGGCCTGTGCAAGGTACATTTGGTTGTACAGGATCTGTGCACAAGATCTCTTGAAGGATCTCTTGGCAAGATTTGTGCGCAAGTTCCATTAGAGGATCGTTTGTGCACAATTTCTCTGTAGGGGGCATCCTCTACAAAGCACTTGGAGGGAAACATTTCCAGGTCCTGCGCAAGAGCTCTTTTAAGGATCCCTGGGTCTCCTATGCACATTCTACTAATTAAATGGTCCTTTCACATCATATGTGGAAAGGAATTCCCCTTTAAAGCCTTTAAGTTGTTACACAACATGAAAGTTATCTTAGAACTATGTCCTACTTAATAGTTGAAATCCTGACAACCATATGAGGAGCCTTGTAAGGAGCTTGGAAGAGAGCTTTAACAGGAGCTGCGCAAGGAGCACCAGAAGCAGCTTTCAAGGAGTATAAGCTTTACAAGGGACTTTGTAAGGAGCCTTTTAGCCAGCTTTTCCAAGGGCCTTATAACAAGCCTTATAAGAAGAGTACAAGGAACCTTTTAAGGAGCTTTATGCTTAGCTGTGCACGAGGCTTAAAAAAAGTCTTGCAAGCAGCTTAAGATGTGATCTTCAAAAGGAACTTAGCAAGCAGCTTTGTGAGGAATTGTGAGCCTTGCATGAAGCCTTTTCACAAGGAGCATGTTCACTAAGGAGCCTTAAGAAGAGCCGTGTGACGAGCTTCAAAACGCCTGGTGAAGAGTTTCATTTGGGAGCCTTAACAAAAAGCTGTGTAGGAATAGGAGCTTCTCTAGAATGAGCCTAGGGAGCGTTTACATGGCGCTTTGTAAGGTGCCTTTACAGGAGCTTTCTAGCAGCTTGGGCCAAGACTTGGAAGCCAGGTCCTGGATTATAATCTATCATCAAAGATCTAGTTCACCGGTCACACCCCTTCACCGCGGCTCCAAGGCTTAATCGTGGATGGCAGCACCAAACCTGCCCAAAAAAGGAACAAGCTCAACAAACAAACATGAGGGAACACAAAACGACAAAAACAAGAAAAATCAAAACTCAACTCAAAGGAGAAGTGCTTGTTTGACAACAAATGTGGCTGTCTTGTTTTATCGATGTTTGTTGTTGTTCCTCAGTTTGGCTTTTTAGAGGCAAAGCTTAAAAAACAAGAAAACTGGGGAAACACGGAAAACCAAAACAGCCAAGGAAAGTTTGGCGTTGTGTCTTCTCGAGTTTTTTTGGTTGTTTGGTTTTCCCCCCAGTTTTGTTTTCTGAGAAAAACCAAACAACTCGAGGTTGTTTATTGGTTTTTGGACTTCTTTGATGCAAAACCTTGACAGAAGTTGTGAGGTGCTTTTGTTTATCCCCTCTTTTTGCTTTGGTGTTTTGGCTCTGTCCCTTCAACAAAAGAGGACTTTTTGCTTTTGTGCGAATGCCAGAAGGCAACAACCAAAAAACACCTCGTGTCTTTGTTGTTTTCGAAGGGGAGAGGAACAAAACTGGTGGAAAACAAAACAATACGCGAAAACCGAAAACAACTTTTGGAGAAAAGAAAAGAAAAGCAACTTCTCCTCAGAGGTTTTTTTTTCTTCTGGATTTTGCTTTCTCAAAGTTTTGCATCGCAGAAATCCAAAACCAACCGAACAACCTCGAGTTGTTGGTTTTTACTCAGCAAAGAAAAAAAACAAAGGAAGCCAAAGAACAAGCAAACAAACTTGAGAAAACACCAAACAACATTGCTTGTTGGTTTTCTCGAGGCGTTCTTTTCTGTTTGGGTTTTCCCGATGTTTTTGTTTTTATGGCTAAGTATCAAACAACACGCTCAACAGGGTCAACAATCCAAACACCGATGGTTTTTCCTTGAAACAAGAAAGCACACTAAAGCAACACAGTGTTTCGCGCATCTTTTCTCATGTGCTTTGGTTGGCCCAATTCGGGCCAACCATCAAACACAGAGTGAAATCAACAAACATCAACAAAACACGAGTTACATTCTTGCAAAGAGACAAAGAAAAGGTGGATCATGGGGGGGTGCCCACATACATATATATATATATTTATGTATGTATATAAAGGACAACACCTTTAAATTATTACAAGTGTACACGCTCCCCAAACAAGGACAAAAACGGGCGGCTTGCCCTTGAGCTAAAGCCAGGGACCCTCCAAAAGGAAGGGTGCAACTTTGGACCCCGCCCATCGTGCTTCCGTTTAAAACGGTCGCATGCCCTGCAAAACTCAGTGCCGAATACAGGCGGCTCTGGAAAAAGCAGCGGTTGTCCATCATCTGTTTGTGTGTAACCAACCGCACATTGTTTGGGCCTGCTTAGGCACATAGCCACACCACTCCACACCGGAACCTAAATAAGGCCAGCGAAGGCTAACGCCGTGCGGCCCAGCAGGCCCAGCCGCGCCAGCAGCGTCCCACGCTGTGCAGCGCCGGTGGCACAGGTGAACAGAGTTTGCCTTGGCTTACTCAGTTGGGATTGGTAGAAGACTAAACTTTTGGCCACCAAAAACGAGAATTCCAGAAACTCAGGAAGTGAGACCAACAAACCAGCCTGCAACCTGTTGACCCACGGTTTCAGTGTGCTATCGATGCATTTTAGGTTTTGGTTTCCTTTCAGTTCGCCTTTTCACACAAACAATGGGACCCTCCTGTTTCATTTTTGACCAGCCAAGGGGCAGCAGGTTGGAGGCATTGGCCTGCGCCACCAAGTGCGACGCACCCAGCAGACCAGCTGCCAACATGTGGCCTGCAGGGCGAGGGTTGGGTGATTGGTTATGCAAATCATGTTTTGCTTCAACTCACGTACACTCTGGGCTGGCAAGCAATAGAAGCATACAAAGGTGCTTTGTTCGTGACAATACTCAGTACTCATGTCTCACTACTATGGTGTTCACAAACCTATGAGAGCAGTAGCGAGGAACAAAATGGTGCCCTTTGAGTAGCGGCAGCTCAGGTCAATTGTTGCAGTACCCAAAATCAAGAAACGTCTCAGGCATTTCCGTTTTTGGAACATCCACAAGTGGCAGTTTCAAGGGAAACCACCAGTAAATTGCAACTTCTGCATGGGGAAATCCAGCGACCCATGCTTTATGACCGTGGAATGACGGCCCTTGGGTTTTCCGCTGGCAAGTGGACAATGTAGATTCATATACCTGCTTGACCCTGAACGGCCGGAACACAGGATGGAGAGAGAAGATGTGTGAGGGATAGACAGGGACGGGGTGAGCGTGGTGGAGGAAGGCCATCTGTTCGCTCTCTCCATTCATTCACATCGATCCCTTCCTTCCAGCCGTTCCTCGCGAGGCGGTGCGAAGGGAGACTCATTAAATGAGATACATTCCTAACTCTTAGGACTTCCCTCAGCGAGAGAGCGAAGAGAGCGATCGGAACTTTTCTCAAGTCAAATAGAACACCAAAACCCAACAATGTTCGCAAGTCAAACAGCAAACCAACAAACAAAAAACCAAAACCCAAGAAGCCCATTGGCATCCTCCGGCCCCTTTTTCAGCACCGGGGCGCCTTTGCACAGCAGGCAGCCCAGGCTCGCTGCACAGCCTGGCAGGCTTGAGGCTCGCATCATCCCAGATGGGTGCTGACATTTGTCATTGGGTCATGTGGCGCTGATTTTTTTGTTTTTCCGCTTCAGGTGTTCCCGAAAAAACATGTCCCTTTCCCGGTGCCAAATTTCCACTAGCACTTCTGTAAAAAGGACACCCTGGATCTATGCATGAGATGTTTACTTCCTATTCCAAGTCTGCGGATGCAACCTGTATAGGCCCATTCCTGCAGGTGAGCTGAATCTAATGTCATACATTTAAACAGTTTCAAGAAATGGTTCGCAATCTGCCTGTGATGGCTCAGAACAGTGCCGCAGCAATCGGAGTAGCAAACACTGTAATGCAAATAGGCACAAACATCAGCATTGCTTGCGGGCGCTGACCACCCGACCACCCCATCTCAGAAATGGCGCCTGCCAGCATGTTGATTCGCGCCCCCTGCGCCAGGGTCCTCTCACTGCTGGCGGCCGCCACCAATTGGCCGGTGGTCAGGATGCCCAAGATCTGGAGGCGGGAGGGAGGGAGGGAAGGGAGTGAGGGAGCCTCCTGCAGTGCGTAGGGCGACATTTCAGAGGAGCTAAATTGAACAACACAGGACTGGCCAGCCAAAGTAGGGGCTGGTGGGAGGAGCGGGGGTCCAGTCGTTGGGGCAGCCATTGCCCTGGCGCTTCACGGGGAAGCGAAAGAGCGCGTATCACTTGATTTTTGAAGGTCGATGAGGGGCTTTTGGGAAGAGTAACCAAAGAGGGGCAGTCCACATTTGCGGCGTCCGCTTTCGGTCCCGTGCCCAGCCTCCAGCACATACATCAGGAGCATCGCTTCGACGGCTTTGGAAGTGGAGCCCACCCAAATCTCAGCTGACTGCGAACTCTTTCTTTCCAGGGTTCACCATGCGCAGTGAGGAACCAACCAACCAACCAACAGAAAGGAGCAACGATAAATGTTGGTGCCTGTCTGTTGACATCCGTTTTGTAAATCAAAGGATGCTCCTGATTTGGGTGTTGATGCTATGTGGTCTCATTCCTTTGGTGTGGGAAAGCAAAGCGGATGGCTGAAACAAACTCAGAAACATTGCTGTAGTGGTTTTTGGGCGTAGGGGACACCATGTTGCTGCAACGAATGGACTCCTGCAAACTGGATGTTCCTTGCATTGACATACCACAGCTAGATTTGGAGCCTTGCCGTCAAATAGTTGGAATGACGTAAACAAGAGGACATTGAGAAGTAACAAGGGTAGTAATAAAGCCTGGTTGATTATGCTCCATGATTTCTCTTTTTGCGGGAATCCAAGTCGCCTGCCTTGGCGCGCAAACAAAACGCACATCATATGCCATCCAGCAGGCCGCTTGCAGCGGAACTTGGACCAGGAACATGTGCCGCACGTTTTTAAGACAAGAAAACAAAAGGAAACCCACCATCCGACTCTGGACGGCTCCTTGGACTAACCCCGGTTCAGCTACTGTGCCTCAAACAGATTGCCCAATGCACGCAATTGGGAGTTCACATGATGCAAAACTCGGCTGGGGTTCTTCAATATTAATTGGGGGGGGGCCTTGCTTCACACATCCGAACACGCAGGTCGTATCTTAGTGGTTCGTTGGTCCTTGCTGCAAGTTTGACTTCAAGCAGGATAGCCACAAGTCCCTCGCGCTGGTTCCCCGAAGATTTGCGTTTGAACTTGGCGTTTCACAAGGGAAGCTCTTGGCAATGGTCAACCCTGGCGTGTGCTCTGAAACGGGACGCCTCTTATGGTCGCACGATCTGAGCCGCTTGGCCAGGTCGGGACAAGTAAACGAACCCGAAATTAAGCTGGGAAGCCACATGTAGTCTTCCACAATGATCAGAACACCAACGTAACACTCTATCTGGCTTGGCAAGCGGCCGGCAACCAAATCTTCACCAGCGTGGACGCCGCTTCTCGGCACATCAAGGTGGCAGCCATCCTGGGAAACCAGAACACGGCACCCGCATGATTCGGAGCCCACGGACGCAGGGCAGAACAAAGGTTGACCTTTGCGGACGTTGAAACCCAAAAGCTTAGACCCGCGAAAGGGTACAGAGTGAAATGATTTTTCAGCTGGTCCCAGCTGGTATCTCTTGAGGAACTCTTGCTCTGTCCTGGAGGCAGTCCCATCTTTACTCCACAAATGGGCACGGAAACCCAAGGTTCATAGGTATCTCGGAAGTTCCGTGGGCATCGGACAAAAACGGCGCCCAAAAAACAAAAGGCAGAAAAGGGCGGAATCTCCAGCGTGTTCATCTTACCTGAAAGAACCGTGGCAGTCACTCCAGCGTAAGTCCAGCGCAGGCCAGCTACACCCAGACCAGACAGCTCAAGCTCAGCCCAATTCAGTCTAGCCAAGCCCGCTGTCCAGTCCAGCTCAGCTCAGCCTAGCCAGCCTGCCCCAATCGGCCGGCCCGGTCGTTACACGGCTGCATCACAGAAAGGTCGTTCTTGTTGTCGCTGCGGTTTGGTAGAAAACTAAGCCGGGCCAATGTCCCAGCGGCCTTGCCTCTCAGGGCTTCCTGCACGACTTCGGCCCTTGACACATCTTCTGGTCCGACAATACCGAAGCTCAGCGCCACTGCGTCGCTCTGAAGCCCCACTTGACCGGCTTTAGAGAACACGCAAAATGGATCGTGTTTTCCTGGTTTCCCTTTCAAGCTAGAAAGCATGGGCCCAAACACGGGTGTCCAGCTCACAGGCAAAGATTGGCGGGTAATCCCAGGCCCCGCTTGGCCCCCCCTTCCTGGGGAAGGATACGCGGCACTCGGAGTCCATTGTCTCCTCGGGCCCCTCCAAGGCCTAGCGGCAACCCTCCGCGCCATCAAGCAGCAAGCCCACAAGGCCAAGCCACCTCCTTTGCAAAGGGATCCTCACTAGCTGCCGTTGTGGCTTTCCCAAAAGCATTGCAAAGGGATCTTCAGGAAAGACCGGGAGGGGATTACACCAGCAAGTCTCAATGGCACTTAGCAGCTTCAAGTAGCACTAGCGTGTTGCGCTAGCAAGTAGCACTAGCAAGTTGCGCGCAAGCAGCACTGAGCGAGCGGCACTAGCAGTTCCTTTTTTACCGCATTCCAAAAAAGAGTGCAGATTTATTTCAGTTGCTTTTCTTTCTTTTTGGTTTCTGTTCTTCCCGTTTTTTTGTTTTCTCATTTTTTGTCTGGGCCAGTAAAAAGCCGTATCTTACAGCATTTTCTCACAAAATTGACGTATTGCACAACTAGCCCGTCAACATCCCCAGCATCGTTTTCAACATTCATGTCCGACCAACATCCCCAGCAATACCAACAAATCGTTGGTAAAAAATCAACAAAGTAGCTGGCGAGTTGACGGGGTCGAAAAAGTGATGACTCAAATAGAAGGGCATTTCGATCCCTGTAAAAAAATACATAGCCGGGGGTTTGGGGGGGGGGGGTGGCAGCCCCCCCCATGAAGTTTGCAGACGTGATGATTCAAAAGGGGTGCAATTAAATCTCTGCAAAAAGTCTATGATGTTCGAAGAAGTGATGATTCAAATGGGTGCAATTAAATCTCTCTGTACAAAATCTACAAAGTAGCGGGGGGTTGGGGGGCCCCCATGATGCTCGAAGAAGTGATGATTCAAATAGGGGTGCAATTGAATCTCTGTCAAAGATCTAAAAGTAGCGGGGGGGTTGGGGGTGCGCCCCCCCGAAGAAGTGCATACATACAGACATACATACATGCAAACATACACAAACAAAAATTGTAAAGAACACTTGCCGGAGAGGAACTGGTGATGCTGAGGATGCGGGAAGCCAAAGCCAAAAACAAATGAAAGCGTACAAAAGCCAAAAGAACTGGGAAAGCAGAGGATGCGAAAGCCGAAAGCCACCAAAAGCCGCATAAACCAGCGAAAAACCGCAAAAACCAAAAAGCCACCTGCCGAAGAGGAACTGGGAATGCAGAGGGTGCGAAAAGCCAAAGCCAAAAAGCCACCAAAAGCCGCATAAACCAACAAGAAGCCGAAAAGCCAAGAAGCCGAGAAGCCAAGAAGACGAAAAGTCAAGAAGCCACAAGCGAGAAACAAAAACACAAAAAAACATCATTAAAAAAAAAAATATACCAATCCATGCAACAATCGCCTTGGAGAAAATATCTTGGGAAACCTGTTTTCTACAAAGTCTACAAACATAATGCGCGACCTAAATTTCGGCAAAGTATGTTTCTACAACCATACTGGATACGTGGTTTTCACCAAGGTTGTTTAGAATGTTTAGAAGTCTAAGGACTTACTTTTTTCATCTTGTCAAGCTCATGTTGAAACTGCTTAATATGTTCAATCACTGGTCGAAACATTACCAAAGTTATGCTCACCAGTCAGTGTTCAAGTGCTGAAAAGTCAGCGGCTAGCGCCTCACAAAACCTTTTTGTTGCCTCAACTGCTGTGCGTTGTGAATACGGCATGTGACGTTCCTCCTCCTTCAAGCCTCGTGGTTCTTGGTTTGAGGTTGGGGTCTGGGCTTGGGTCTTGCTTCTACATTCCCGGCAATTTGCAATCTTCTACTGTTTTGCACACAACTGACGTCAGCAACAGTTTTCTCACCAAGACATCTATTACATGTGAAGAATTCACCGTAATCGTTCTTCGCCAAAGCGCCGCGCCAGCCATAAATCTAAACGCCGAAGCAACAAAATGCTGCGCCTGCCACGCTATCTGTACCTCAGGTCGCCAAAGTGCTGTGCCTGCCACGCAAAGCTGACATCGCGAAAAGCGGCGACAAGTGCGCGCGTCTGTGTCAATGAGCCCGCGCCGCGCCCGCTCCGAAGACCGTCGTCTGTCAGTCGACGCGACAGAGGTAGACTTCAGCTTGCCGGACGCAAAGGGTCACTCTTTTTCGCCCACCGCACGCGCACGCATGCTTTCTCACACGTTATCTTATGGAAGTTCCCTCCAAACTTCCTCGGGCAACCAGGCCTCGCAATCACTGTTAAGCTGTCTTGGATATGTCACGATGTTGTAAAGGTACAGTATGGTAAAGGATTCGTTCGCTTCACTCTGACGCAAGGCTGGCTCGGAATTCTCATGGTGGAACTAAAGAAATCTGAACAACCAAAACCAAGTTTGATGTTCGTAAACCCACAAACTGCATCACAAGTTTTGCTTTACTCATTCTCACGATGATTGAACTTCCTTTATTGCAATCTGCAGTTCCTCTTTGCTGCTATCCTCCCTCCCTCCCTCCCTCCCTCACTCCCTCCCTCCCTCCCTCCCTCCTTCCCTCCCTCCCGTCTCTTTCTCTCTCTCTCTCTCTCTCTCTCTCTCTTGACATCTCTTTCTTTCCTCTTTCCTCTTTCTCTTGCTCTCTCGCCCTCCCTCCCTCTCTTGCTCTTTCCCAATCTCTCTTTCTCTGTCTCTTTATCTTTCGTCTTTCTCTTCTCTCCCGCCTTCCCTCCTCTCTGTCTCTGTCTCTGTCTCTGTCTCTTTCTCTTTCTCTTTCTCTTTCTTTCTTTCTTTCTTTCTCTCGCTCTCTCTCTCTTTCTGTGCCTCTCCCTCCTCTCCCTCCTCTCCCTCTCCCTCTCCCTCCCTCTGGGCCCCTCCCTGTGTATCTTGCGTAGGTAGGGTGCCTAGCTGGGGTGCCCAAAGATGAGGCCTGCAGAACACACAGGCCAGCTAAGGCAGTTCGCCTCACCAAAAACGAAGACGGTGCAAGCCAAGTTGTCTTCCACTGCATGGGCTGCGCTGATCCATGGTTCTTCTCCCGGTGAGCAGGCACGTTGCAACAATTCTCGGTCCACAAGCAATGACCGCAATCCGCATTGTGGAGCCGACACTTTCACGCCTGTCACCTTTGCAGGCAAGCAGCCACATGAGATGCATAATAATGAAATATGACGTTCAAGCATCAAGTGTCATCTGCATCCTTGGTCCTACTGATTTCTAGCAACTGCCAGCGTTGCGCCAACCACCCTGTGATGTGTATGGTCTTCACTCATAAGGTTTCAAGCCACTTCAACACGCTCCAAGATTTGTGTGTTCAACCTGGCTTCTCTCTTATTCGATGGTTCAAGCGGAGGCAGGCAGGAAGCACATCCGTTACCTTGCTGGCTTGGCCGGTTTGACCAGGGGTTTGGAAAGCAAGACTCAAAAACCACATGTATCTTGTAATTTGCCGCCAGCAATGAAGAATAGCAACCTCCCGCCCCGATAACATCCGAAACATTCCGAAACCATTTAGCCGTGTTGACTTGGCTCGCATTTGCTTTGAGGCTCTATTGAACATGACATGCCCACCGACCCATCATTCCTGATTCCTTGCCATTCCCGTCAATCCAACAAGGGAAACTTTCAATCACCCACAAAGTATACCCACGTGTGATTTCAACAGCTGTGGGGGAATGAGTGGCAAATGTTGGGCCGACATTCTCCTTAAGCATCAGCAAACCGTTGTTTGAGTCGACCCCAACCCATATGGACAAAACGTGCAGACAAAACGCCGCCCAGCTTTAGGTAGGCTGCCAAAAAGTTCAAAACAGGCCCCAGTTAAAACACCAAAACGGGGTTCCACACTTTGTTGGGCCGTCCGCTCTTTCGCCGCCACAAACGCCGAAAACGCTGAAATTTCCCTTGACCCGCTGGGGATCGGGGTGCCTTGACCGTCCCCAGCTTCCGCAGCGACGCTGCGGCAGCAGCCTTCTGGCCCTTCCTCAGCGTAGCGACTGGTCGGACTGGGGTGACTGGCGGCTCACCTCCCTGCTTTGCCAAGAAGGCTGGAAGAAGGGGGGGGCTGAAAGGCACTCCGTAGCAAATTTGATTTTTAATCTCTCATGCAAGTTTTCTAGCGCAAGTGTGCTCGCGCAACTCTGCTCGTGCGAAATTGCCCGTGCAAGTGTGCAAGTTGCTTTGCTCAAGCGCTCGCTCACATCCTTATGGGTTTCTTGGAAGGCTTGTTTACCGGGGGCAACCAGGCAAGCAATGCTGCACCACCGTCACCAAGCTTCCCGAACATAGCTCAAAGAAGCATGAGACCAATCCAAGCCTCGGACCTACCAACGCTACCAAGCCGTACTTAGTGGTTGCGTATACCCCTAAGTGAGCCGAAAATTGGGGAGGGGTGGTGGTGAATGTTAAGCCTCCCTCCCCCAGGCAAAAACAGGGCAAGCACTTTAGTTTGTCAAATATTCTTTTGACCCTGGAAAGCGCCATGATCAGTCGGACGCTTGGCAGTATTCGGTCTAGCTGTGTTTCGAACAACCATGGAATCGAAATGTGTGAGGCATCCAAATACTATGAGGAATCTGCATTGACCAACGCATTGACCAACATATTGGCAACTAGCCAAGTTTGTTTTCACAGTAGCACAGGGGCGGCTTCGATCGGGTTCCTTTCAAGAAGCATTACGGAGAATCTCGGCCACACCCTTCGCGTCCTTTGACTTGGGTTGATAAAAATGGGCGTGTTCAAGGGGAGGATGCGGGGTGCTTGTGTCATCACTTGGGCCTTAACATCATGCAAAGGTCACTTACAATCCACAACACAGGCTTCTCAGGATTGTCGAATCTTGGACGCGCATCTATTTTCTGAGAAGGCTAAAACATTGACCCAAATCATCGGCGTCCAGCCCGCGAACCCTGCTGCCATGCCTCATAAGCAAATACCTGAGTTCGCGCCGACCAGTTGCCCCTGTCAGCATGTTGACTGGGAATCGATGGGTTGCCCTCGTGACAAGTGTGTTGTGTGTGTGGGTGTGTAGCACCTTACTCAGACAGGCTACCCCGCTTGTCGGTTCAAGCATGGCCACGACACATGATTTACAAGGGAAAGTTGGTTTGATCAACCGTGGAAAGGACGCTCTGATTGAACTTCCGCTGAAGCCCAGTTTCATGGAGCGGACACTTGCCGAATTAAAGCGTTGCACATGCCTTCACGCGGGACAGGACGATGCTTGAGGAAGTAACTTGGCCAAGGTTTGCCACGTTCCTAGGACCTGAGTTCGAAGATGGACCTGAGTTCGAAGATGGCCGACTCAAGCAGTCAGTGATACAAAAGCGTTTCCCATTGGCCACCTGAGCGAAAACATATTTAGCCCTCATAAGGCCAGAAAGCATATGAAGTCCTGCTGCCAATCTAGGAACCAGACGTAGGGCCACTTCAAACCCAGCTGCTTTGGGGACTCGGGCAGCCAGAAGAGCAGCGGCAGCAGTGCTGTTGCCACCAGCAAAGGCCCAAGACCCAGCACAGAACGCCACGGGTGGCTGGCCAAGAGGATTCCCGCCTGACCAGAACACGCGGTGTCAAAATAGCGGAGCCCGAAAAAAAGAGGCACGGATGCTTGGGCTGCCGTTCAGCAAAGAGTGGCCAAAAAAAGGCACACCCGTGCTGCGCGCCACGGTCAATCCCTTAGCTTTAGACAACGATAGGTTTGAGTGAGCCGTAACCATGCCCGGAGTTTTCACCATGGCGCGCGCTGTGGGTGCCATCCCCACTGGCTGGGGCAGGATTTTTTTCATGGCCATCCGTATCAACTCAAAACAAAGAAGTCGCTTATCCGTGGCATGGGGTTTACAAGAAACTTCACGGAAGCTACCCGTTGTGGAAGGTTTCCTTCTTTACACACACACACACACACGCAAGGGAATAGTCTGAAACGTTCAAGTGGGTTCAGTTCGAGTCAGCAGCTCGAGCGGGTTCGTTCAACTCAGCAGCTCGGGTTGGCTTCACTCACGTAGTTCTAAGGGTGCACCACCACAGCCTTGCAAAACAAAGACAAGCCCTGCAATAGTGCCAGCAAGTACGTTTGCGCAGCGAACTGGATGGGTCTCTCTTGGCCCACGCCATCCAGTTGCCCACGGGCTCCCTGCGTATGTCCACAGCTGCGCATGTCGGCGTCAGGGTTGATTCCTGGTTGGTGTCTAGATCCATGGTGCTGGGGAGCTCCATCACTACAAGCAGCTTGGCGTTACGTGTTAAGGCAAGGCAAACGGGCAATCCAAATGCAAGTGGAGTCAGCAAGATTTTGCAGCCAAACGCGCTCTCACAACTCATGGGTTACCCGGAATAGACTGCAACGGCCGTCTCGGGTGGCGATCTGATGATGATGGTGCGCGTAACGGCGCAAAATGTGATCAAGGATGATGGCCAGGGGTCGGGAGCGTCATATGACACTTGCCAGGCAGGGGAACAAGCAAGGCGATCCAGTTGAGCTGTGATGTCATCCCAGGTGCCGTCGCGCTTGTGGTTGTAAGAACTTCTAGTAGGTCATGAGCTTGCTGTGTTACTTGCCTGGCGGCGATTGTTATTCAAAGAAATCCGGGCTGCTCACAAATTGAAACTCGACAACCCTCAGCGTTGTCAAAAATGCCTGCAGGAGACCGTGATTTCCACTCCCGACGCACGTGGGGCTGAGGGGAGCTGCCCGATGCTGGGGACTCCCTATAGGTGCCGTGATCAGGTAGAACTGGGAGCGTCCCGAAGTGTATACTCTGACCCATTCATTAGCTTCGCCATTGGGTACCGCGGAACCAAACGGTTTGAGGCACGACATGACAAAATGCAAACCAAGCTTGCACATGCAGGTGATGCAACTAAATGCTGAAGTTGACAAAATCACATCTTATCGCCATCTATGAGCCCAACATTGGCAGCGAAAGTTTGCACGGCGATGCCAGGTTCTCAGAAAAAAGAAGTGGAACACCGAAATGTTCCAGCGAACGGTCGACCGTTGTGACTGCCCGGACGTTCCTGCTGTGTGCAAGGTGAAAGCACGTGACAGCGTGTGCTTTCAGCACGTTTGGTAGAAGACGTCGAAGGCGAAAGGAGAAGACCACCGCATAGTTGTTGACACGCGCCAGGTCATGATCTACTTTAGCAAAGAAATAGCCTTTGATGTCCGCGCGGGAAGACGGCGAGTTGCGTCTCAAGTTGCTCAGGTAGACCACGTGTGCGAAGACCAAGTTGGTGTCCGACACGATGTGCTGCGTTTGAAGGGAAGGACTGCCTTCCGGGTTCGCCTGTCAGAGAGCTCAGAGACAGAACGTGCCCGATGAACATCACGCATCAAAAGATGAGCATGGGGAAGCAGGCGGGCCCTTGCTATGGAGGTAGGAGAACGTGATGTCGTTCGGTCATTGATGCGAACCGCCACCTCCTCAATTCACTCGCCTGATCGAAGCTGAAACTTGTGCTCTCCCAAAGGTGGAATAGCCCGGCCACCTTGGAGTGGCGCAGAGGTTGTGATGGTTGAGACCATCATCCATCATCGTCAGCATCGTCGATCGAAGACGGAGCGATGACCGGTTCTGCGCCGCGCGGCGACTCGCACCGAATTTTGCCGGGTGTCCCTGAAGGAACAGCTGGTGGGTAGCGTGTGAAGGCTTGCAGGTTACCAAGATTTGCTGACGCCCTCGACGCTGGCAAGGGTCACCTGGGGTGAGGTTTCCAGAGTGATGTCTGGGCTCCACCGTGTGAGGGCATAAGCTACAGGTCTGGTATACGCGGAACCCTCGTCTTGATGATGGCGCCCAGGTCGAGCAAGCGCATCCGAAGGACGTGGCACCACATCAAAATGATATCAAAATGATTGAGTTGAACCTCAAGCAAGGTGGCATCAAGGGATGAATCTCAACATCTTCACCAAACCCCATCCCCAACCCGATCCAACCCCATGTCGCACGGCCAAAATTCCTGCTCCAGCTGCTTCCAGTCCGCCTGAAGCAAGCCTGGAGGCAGCTGGCCCTTAGGGCCGGGAGGTCAGATCCCTTCGTCCCTGATCCGGCATACCCCACAAATCCCTCCAAAAACCTGTCCAACTCCCTTAAAAACCGATCAAGTCCCCTTAAAAACCGTAGACAGTTTGAAACGGGTCAACTTCTCAACTTCATCCTCTCAAAGCTTGTCCAACTCTGGTCGAACCCCCCTAGAAACCGGCCAAATTCCCCTTCGGAAACCAATCAAATCCCCCCTCTAGCAGCCTGTCAAATCACATCTCCAAACAGGTCCGACTCCCGTCAAAACCGGCAAAATCCCCTTTAAAAAAAAAACAGTCAAGGAATTTGGACCTGCGCTTAGCCCACGACCATTCTGTAGGTCTCTGCAGCTCTCGTTCTGGCCCTTGAAGCCAGGTGGAATCGCGCGGACATGCGCCCAACCTCTAGCTTGGAAACCAGCTCACGCATTTCGGCGCCGACTCGCTCACTTTCACAACACTTCAAGGCAAACTAAAGCACAGTATGTACCTCAAAGCCAGCCAAAAACGGATTGGCCGAGGCGGGCAACGCGAAGCATCTACAATTAACCACGATCTGGAGGACCAAGAAACTGTGCATCATTGGCGCTGCGTGCTCCTTTGATCTGACAGGACTGATTGGGAAGTTGCGGAATGATTGCGTGCTGCGAAAACGCAGAGGTGTCCGAGCACCTTCTGGTCATGTACTTCTTCATGCAATACTGGTGGGCGAAGACCTGAAAAGTTAAAACGGTTTCAAACAGAACGCTCATGCCAAAGAACGCTGCACTCAGAAAGCTGATAGTTGAGGGAATTCATAATTTGCTGTCAGAAGAAGTCTTGAACTTTGAGGGGGGGCCGCTGGTGAGCCCATAGCGACACCATGTCCTGACGAAGCAAAACCCGAAAATCTCAAATGACGTCAAGCAATTGGTAGATCTCTGGGTGCGCTGGCACCATTTTCCTTTCAATATCCTCTTGCGGTAGTTTGGATTCGGCCTCATACACTGACCTGTCGTACATTGCGAAGGCCGATCCTGACACCATAGCGCTGTAGTAGCATTTGCAGCGCTTGTCGAAAAACATTTGAAGTTCCACTGGATGTGAAGAAGCCTGAGAGATCCTGAGAAATGAGCTGCGCGTTCTCTGCCGGGTTCGCTGAGGATAGAACTTGACAGAGCTGAACTGATCGGACGTGCCTTCTGCCAGTTCTTGGATGGGCTCTGCTTCTGCTTAAAGCGAACAGTGGGTAGAGGTGCTTGTAGACGAAATCCCACGCGTAGTGCTGCTTCTGCAGCCTTGCAGGAACTGCAGTGATCACATAGTCACGAAAGGTGGCTGCCGGTTGCCGGCAGAACACAAATACATCGCGGCACAAAGTGGATAGCAAGTGGATAGCAGTGGGCAAATAACGTGCGCACATGATGGGAAGTGGTCCGCGCAGGCCACCCAGTGTTTCAAGAGGCCAGCAGTGCTAGACATGCAGCGGGTAACATGGGTGAGGAAAGTTGTGTGAAGGGTACGAACTGCCGAATCCACGAAAGGCCTGATCTCATGCTTCATGACGCCTCCAAGACTTCCGAGTCAATCCCGGAAAAAAACTGCACAGAGTACAGTTGCATGGAAATGAGCTTGGAGAAGATGATGATCAGCGGAAAGGTCATAACGAGAACATGGAAAGTAGTGCCGGGGCTCCATCGTTGTTGCCACCGTCTGTAGTTGAAGAGCCGATCACCGAGTGTTGAGCTCCGGGTTTTGAGGATACGGATCTTGGGCATGAACAGTGAACTGATCGCGATGATGGAGAACCCATGTGCGCAATCACCTGCAAATGATCTTTTGCCAACCCGGTACGGCCAAACGTGGTAGTAAGATGTTGGAAGGTAGGTGGAATATTCAGCTGTCGACATTTCAAAACTTGGTGAAGGGCGCTTGGGACGTGACCGACAGGGCTCATTGACAAAGTCAACCAAACGAAGTAAGTAGCGGAGTCCGACCGCCGGGAACGCTGATGAAAGAAGATCACACACGGGTAGTGTGAAACGATGCTCCAGTATTGGAGCCCGAGCGATACAAGGGATCATAGTCTGATCAGAATCCAAGGCGCGAAGGCTTCGAAGGCGGACCTGACGTGGATGAAGGCGGCGGCGAAAGCGCTTTTGCATTGAGATCGAGGAGGGCATGGTCAGTGAATGGCGGCGAAAATCTGTGAGATGTTCTCGGAAAGCAAGTTGACGAAGAAGTCGATGTATGCAGGCGCGTTGCCATTTGCCTTTAAAGGGCCAATTATTGAACTGTGGCGAGTGGGCTTCAATAGGAAGGGCACAATATAGCCAATAATTCTTTTGCACGCCGCCAATAGTGGAATGGAAGGAGGGCTCAAAGAATACTTGCTGAAATAATTGAACCTGATGAAACTTGCAACAGTTCACATTGGAGTACATCACGGTCAGTGGCACCAACATAGTCAGGACAAAACCATGGTGAGATACGAACATACGCACCGCTGACGAAAAGTAAAGCAGAGATTTCAGGCAGTTTGGCACATAGTGAACGGAGATGAGATGCAAGGGACGTAGCCATTGTCCTGGAGTAGCAGCGAAGCAGATCAGTAAATAAGCTGAGACGCGACATCGATGTAGTTCAAATTTGTGGTTAGACGGCGAACTTGCCGAAGTCTGGCAAACCAAAATGAAGACCTCCTCATGTTGATGTGGGCCAGTTGATGAACTGCGCTACATTCATGCGCCTGCGGAACCGGTCGAGGCTGGTCAGGAAACACAGAGGACCACATGCATGCAACCGACAAACGCAAGAACTCAGACATGAAGAAAGTGAGTCCCGGCACGCGGTATCATCAAGTATATGCCACTGTGCTGACATTCGGACCACACTTTTGCTCATGTTTGCGCCGTGTCGCCATGAGTGCAAACAAACCGCACGATCAGTGACATGCAAAGAAACAACGCAAGCACCGCAAAGCACATGTAGTTTTGTGCAAAGCACCGTCCGTAATCATCTGCTCAACCCACCACCATGCGCGCAGTCACAAAAAGGATGCACAACATCGCGGCTCTTGAAGCAAGGGATCGCCCATGTACTGAGGTCCTTGCTGATGGCGTCGAGTCGACTGGGTTGGCACACCCACTTGACTCCACTTGACCAAGGAAGGCGAAGTGAATGTGGTGGGTGTTTGTTTGAGAAAGAGCCGAGAAGCACTGCTGCTCGTAACCATCAAGAGAAGCGAGGCTGGGCGATCCGTTGAGTGACTTGGCATAGGGTTTGCCATCAAGCGCGGAGGCACTTCCCATGCGAAGGTTGTTCTTTGCGAACGGGGGCTTTGGTCTGGCGGGAGGGGATGCTGACGTAGCGGTCGCGCTCTCTTGTTCTTCATACAGCTTCGCCTGCAGAATCCGATTTTAGCGCTGCAAGTTGCGATGTTGGGGCAAAATCCCTCCGGGCCAGGAGGTGCAAGAGAGATCGCTGAGTGTCCACTAAGAGGCCGAGGATGTGTCCAGCAAAATGTTCATGCACTTTGATGCGCCAATGTTGAGGTTGAGGGAAGCTGCCAACTCTTTCTCGAGGTTGCGAGGTTCAAAGCACCAACATGGGATCCGAAGCCCTCCCAGCTCACGAAGCTCCCTGTCGATAACCTGAACATTGCAAACATCTTCCAATCGGGGGGAGTGGCATGGTGAAATGGTAGAGCACATTTGCGGTCGCAGAAACGCTCTGATGGCTGCCATGTGTCAGGAGGCTGAAGGTCTCATTGCTTCCGGTGGGAGATTGTGTGATGGGAGGTGACTTGGGTGGTTCACGAGGAGGAGCATGACAAACATTCCCCAGGTAGCATGGCGCTGCCCGGGAACAGGGGTGACAAAGAACTCATCGCGCTGGCTGGCACGGTGGCGGAGGAGGCCTGAACGATGATGCGTTGTAGTGCCAAGGAGGGACGTTGATGTGGCGCTTCACGGCCTTTGTCGCGCTTGTGCTTCCTTGTAGTCATAGATCTGCAACGTCGATGCCGGGGTCGAGAGCGGTCACGACTGTCATGCCTGGGCATTGTTCCAAGGAGGATCAAGCAATGCAAAGCATGGCGCGCCGGCAGACAGCCATCCCAACACGCTCATGCTTAACCAGAAAGTAGTCACAAATTGTTCAACGAAGATCCAGCAGCAGAACCAAAACTTACGAAGCACAGAAAACGGCATAGCCGTCCCGGGGTCACTCAATGGGTGGGTTCGTTCGATTCAGACGCTCGAGTTGGCTTCACTCCCGTAGTTTGAAGGGTGTAAAACCACCTCAGGTTCAACAGGAAAGAAGCATACACAGCTTTGCGAGGCACCAGGCCTTGCAATAGTGCAGCAGGTATGTTTGCACAGCAAACTGGGTGGGCCTTCGTTGGCCCGCACCATCCTGCATATGAAACGTGCGCAACTGCACATGTTGGCGTCAGGGTTGTTGATCTGACGCTCAGGACACACACGCGCACACAGCACGCACGCACACACACACAGAGAGACACGCGCACACACACACACAGACACACAGAGACACACAAAGACACACAATGACACACAGAGACACACAGAGACACACATACACAACACACACACACAACGCACACAGCACAACACACACACACACAGCACACACAGCACACACAGCACACACAGCACACAGACAGCCCACACAACACACACACACACCACACACACACAACACTGTGTAACACACACTCACACAACATACGCACACAACACACACACAACACAAACACATATATATATATATATATACACACACATATATATATATATATATGCAACCCCCCCAAAAAACGCGCCTGCTGCTTCTGTAAGGGAAGTCAGGTCATTTTAGATGGATGCTACCAGGAGTGGGCAAATGATTCACTAAGACTTAGCCACCCATACCAGTAGAGCCGGCAAAGCCGGTGGGCGGAAGCTTCAAACATATCAGAACTATAGTTATCTTTATCTTTATTTTCTTGACTCGTTTTCTCTTCGTCTTGCTTTCCTACATTCCTTTCTTATTTGCATGTGTGTCTGCATTTATTCCTTTATTTAGTTATTTATTTCTGTCTGTCTGTCTGTCTTTATGTCTTCATATCTCTCGTTCTTTGTTCTTACTTGTCATTTGCATATCAATGTCTCTATCTATCTATCTATCTATCTACCTATATATCTATCTATCTATCTATCTATCTATCTATCTATCTATCTATCTATCTATCGATCGATCGATCGATCGATCGATCGATCTATCATTTTTCTATCTATCTACTACCTACCTACCTATCTATCTAATCTAATCTATCTGACTAGCTATCTATCTACCTACCCATCTATCTTTCTTTCTCTACCTATCTATCTTTCTTTCTCTACCTATCTATCTTTATTTCTACCTATCTATATTCCTACCTATCTATCTACCTACCTATCTATCTCTCTCCATCTATCTATCTATTTATCATATGTATATATATACATCTCTATCTATCTATCCATCATCTGCTACGCATCTTCCATCCCTCATCTCGACTCATCTGCAAATCCCCTTCGCTTGTCAGCTTGCAAACCTTGGCCAATACCAAAACATCTGCTCACATCTAATATGCATTGACCAGCGCCACACTCTTCCAAAACAACTCATTTCCCTGAATGAAACCTGTTCTGCACAAAACCTGCTAGGACGCATGCAACACACTGGTATTTACAGTGTTTTTTTCAATATCCAAGGGTTGGTGTGGATTTGTTGAAGTCAGTTATTGAAGAATTTGTTTTCCAATGTCCATATGATGAAATATCAACTGTATTTGTCGCGCACAAGTTCAAAAGGAAAATAAGGTGCACACACACAAACAGGAATGGCTAAAAGCAGATGCTTCAAAGCACTTTTAAAGCACTGTTGGATTCAAGATTCAAGATTCCCAGGACTCTAGATCTGGAATCTGTAATCCAGCCTGGGCCCCACAAACCGCTTTAAAGCGCTTTAAAGCACTTTTGGATTCAAGATTCAAGATTCTCGGGACTCTAGATCTGAATCTTGAATCCTGCATGGGACCCCCAAACGCTTTAAAGCGCTTTAAAGCACTTTTGGATTCAAGATTCAAGATTCTCAGGACTCTAGATCTGAATCTTGAATCCACGAGCCACCTGGATGAACACGCTTTAAAGCGCTTTAAAGCGTTTTGTGGGGCCGAGACTGGATTCAAGATTCCAGATCTAGAGTCCTGGGAATGTTGAATCTTGAATCTTGAATCCAAAAGTGCTTTAAAGCGCTTTAAAGCATTTTGGGGGGCCCAGACTGGATTCAATATTCCAGATCTAGAGTCCTGGGAATCTTGAATCTTGAATCCAACAGTGCTTTAAAGCGCTTTAAGCTTTAAAGCATTTATTTTGGGGGGGGAACTGGATTGAAGATTCCAGATCTAGAGTCCTGGAAATCTTGAATCTTGAATCCAAAAGTGCTTTAAAGCGCTTTAAAGCATTTTGGGGAATCAAAGTTGGAGTGCCTGAAAAGAGTCAAAATTGAAGGGCCTGAAAAGGGGGTGGAAATCACACAAAAGTACTGCAAATACCGTCAAATTTTCTTGGGGCGTGGGTTCTTTTTTTTGGGGGGGACCATATATATATATATATATGTGTGTGTGTATGCATGGATTGCCGTGTCTATTTCACATAAACTTTCTCGCCTGAAGCAAAAGGCGGGCCACCCCAACCCCTGAAACGGTAGGTGGGGCCTTCTGAAAGGTTCTTAGAAAGGATCTGAGAACCTTTCTGGTGGGGGACCCTAAGTTTGCTCTACATTTGCTTTTGGAGGGAACTCATACATGGGTCATGCAGGCAATAGTTTGGATGCAAAAAACACGTTTACATTTATTGCCTGATGGAAGCGGACACCATTGGGCAGACAGTACAGCACACAACTTAACATATCCAACGTGATGAAACAACCAAGGTCGATGAATCCGGTACGTGTTCAACTATCAGCACCCGCGGTAACCCATTCAATCATAATTGTATCTCTCACGTTTGTCTGTTTTGTTCATTTAGTGCTGGACTTGTCAATCCCTGTCACATGGTTTCAGTTCAGAGGCGCCCTGTTGCATTGGGCCATGCACCTGACATCATGATGACAAACATGAAGTTGAAAAACAGGAGCCGGGGAGACCCAGGATCGAGGGGATCCCTCACTTGCGGGAAAACACTCAAGCAAACGAGCAACCACCACGCTTCCCCACTTGCCCAGTGGCTAGTGCACCCAAGGGCCAGCCGCTTGGGTAAGTTGCAAGGTAGCCCTGCGACGAAACGGGACCGGGACGAATGGGAGTTTCCTTCAACGGAGGCTGAAGGATGGTTGGCTCCAATCCCAGCGGGGTCATTATGGACATATTCTCTTTTCGAGGGCTATGGTTCCTTCATGTTCTCTCGAAGTTAGCCGGAAGCCGGTGACTGAAGGAAAATGGCACATCTGCAAAGCGATCCAAATATCAGTAAATTTATACAGTCCATGTGCCAAATCAAACAGCAGGATTTCCGGCTGAATTACCTGTTAGGGGGAAAACATACTTTCCCCTGCCTCCACCTTGTCAGTTGGCAGGCCCTCTGCCAGCAGCGCAGGAACTGTCACGAAGAAAAGCCCAGTGGAGAGGCCCAAAGCAGCGCGCGCCAGCACCAGTATCTCGAACCTGCCGTTAGAGAAGCCCAATTTGGGGCTGCTTAAAGGGACGCCAAGCATTGGAGAAGAGCATGACAAAGTGTTTTGTCCCAAAGAAAAGCAAATGAGAAAGTCAAACATGGCCTTCCGTTTTGTTTGGGTCTTGTTTAAGCCTACCCCTTTTCATCTGGTGTCTTTAAGCAAGCCAAGACGAAATCGACGCCGACCAACATAGTACACATTGGAAGGCCCCCTTGAACGGACAATGGCCTTCCAAGTACCTCCATGTCAGCATTTTTCACGGTAAGGGGAAAATGTCCAGCTGCATTCGATGTAAATCCGTCGGCCTCACTTTCTGACTGGATACGCCCAGAGTCTGGCCTATGTCAACCAAGTGATCTTCCCCAAAAGTATTCAGCCCAGGAACAGGGCGAGGAGCACTGCGCAGCACCACCCGGACACATACAAACAGAATGCACATCAAACTTGCCTGGTCAAGGGCCAAGGCAACACACACACATGATTTGTGTTGAGCGCCCGGCTGGGTAATGAACAACATCGTCAGCACGCCTGCAACCACCCCAACCAGTTTCTTGCGGGAGCTCTTTGCAAAGGGTTGTTTACTCTGGTCACGTGCCAATGTGGGCTGCAAAAGTTCCCACCGAGGAGGGGGCTTAAGGTCAAACAATTGAACAATTGTGCGACCTGCGCCCAAAGGCGGCGTTACTCAGGCTCCACAAAACCCAAAGTATTCGGGGGTTGCCCCCAATTTGTGGATTTTGATCCGGGTGACAAGAGGTTGGTGCCCTTTTTCACAATTCTCGAAATCAGGGAAACAACACAAGCATTTGCCAGACATCCCAAGCCTCCCCCTGCCCGCCTGACGGCCGTAAGGATCGTTGCAGCGGCGCAAACGGCGTTGACCAAACCGAGCCGGGTCAAAAAGCGGCGGCCCAACGTGTCGCCCAGGCGGCTGCAAATGGCGAGGCCGAAAGCGATGCCCAACGTATATCCGGTGACCACCTGAGACCAAAAGGCTTTCGGGGTCGGCGATTCAGGTAGGGGTTGGGCCCCTCGTTAAATCGAGGCACTTCCCTTAGGGATGGATGCTTGATGGGCCAAAAAATGGGCAACAAACTGGGAGAAAGGAAGGCGCTCAGCCAGAATCAAACTGCGAAGAAATGGGCAGTCATGTGGCCAGCCGCTGGCTTGGACTTCCAAAGTCAGCTCCCCCACCATCGGGTGGAACTGGGCCATCATGGCCATCTCTGTGACTGGTTCATCGTCGTTTCTCTCACTTGCTGAGTGGATGGCCCCAAAAAAAAGTTCAAACTTGATATTTACCACTAAAATGGTCTTCCCAAAAAGTTTAAAAGTTCATGAACTGAGGAAGTGAGTTTTTGTGGTGTAGGTGGCAACCGAAAATCCGTGGACCGGCGAGTTCTTTCTCATCCGATGCCAACAACCTTTGGGGCCCCGGCCAGGCTGGCCTGAGCAGGGCTCAACTCGAAGTCCTCCACCAGCTGCCCTAGGAAGAGGCCCGTCACCTCACGAAGCCGAGGCCCGTTGTCCGATCATTGTCTCACACCCAAAAACAATCAACACATACCCCATGGATAAAAACATATGCGTGACACCCTTCGCTTTGGCCTTTGCGGTTTTTTTTTGGAGGGTACCGTTGTGGTTTCGTTAAGGTTTTGAAGGGCGCCTTATTTCCCTGGCCTCTGCTATGTGAAGCCAAGCATTCGGAGGGGCCAGGGGGGGAATAAGGGGGATCCTGGGGAGTGGTCAATGTTTCTGGTTGCCATCCTAAACCAGGGTCTCCCGATTTGATATTCTTGAACGGCAACGTTTGAGACATCTCCAGTCAATATAAATTGTTAGCATCATCTGACAAGTAGCTTACATAAATACCCGGGTTTGAAGGATCCCAATTTTGCTGTGGGTGTCAATTGAAGGAATCAGCAATGAAGACATGTATGGAATGATTGAACAGGGAATGAGAGGGGGCATGTGTCAAGTTAGTCATAAACTGGCGGTGGCAAATAACAAGTATAGCGGCCATTTTTTCCGTGTAACAATGGGCGAGCCCGAAACCGTACAAGTCCGTACATAAGTCCCGAAAGTTGTCAAACACATGTTTCAACAATGAACAAAAATCCGAGCGCAAAAGAAGGTCGTGCTACTGCCCAAGCGTCCTGATGTCCGAAGTGCTTCTGGGTGCGTTCGTAATCCTTATCGCTAACGTTCCTTTCTCAATTTGGTGTGAAAAGCTTGAATACGTGGCAGTTGCCTTTCGGTAAACCTCTCGAAGCTAGCAAGGTAGTCATAAGGATAAACACCGTTATCTGCCAGTACATCCAAACCCGCATCAGTATTACCATAGGTGTCTAACACATTCTAACACTGTATCTAAAAATTTTCTTCCAGTTCTCACACTTTGTTGATCTTCGTATTTGCTCAACTTGACCAACTTTTCCAAAGAAAATTATAAGAAACTGCTTGAAGCACATATTTGTAAAACCGAAGGTGATTCATTTCTTGCTGTTCTGCGCTGTTCTGAACGATGCGACCGATTTGTGTTCATGTTCAGTTCATGTGCATTTTTTTTACGGGGGCATTGTAGATTGAAAAGCTATGAAGAAACACGGGGTTGTAAGTTGTAGCATAATATCTCAGACTAAAAGCAAGGTTACAATCATCGTGAGCACAACCTGCGTATTTACCCCCAAAATGACCATGGCTGCAAAACTTATCATCATTAGGCTCAAAGTGCAAATAAACACTTCGTAGCAGTTTCAAAAAATCAACCTCCTTCGCAGTCTGTATTGTCTCTTTTACATCCTTCATACTCTTCAAAACATCATCTCTGACTTCATTGATTTTTCGAAGAAATCAACCATACAACCCATGCCTCTATACAAATGGGGTTCGGTGCTTCCAAATATGGCATTGGTCACGTTAATCATGAAACCGCACGGGCGACGGTTTTGATTGGAGGTCGTTTTCGCTTTTGCTGTTTTGCTCTTGCCATCCATTGGAACGGTCAAACATTCAAAGTCGGCACATACTACGAGTTGTGCTTTCAGTTTCTTGAAATCCCTTTTCTTCGATGGGAGCAGGTTCTACAATGATGTTTAGTTATTTTCTTTTTGTTGGTTTGACTTCCCATCAACCTATTGCAGTCCTTGATATAAGCTGAATGCAATTTCCTGCCATCTTTGAAGTTCATCTATGTTATGCTGCGCTTGAGGATTGCTGTTTTTTTATGTATAATAAAACTGTGAAACTATCCGTGTCGGGGCTGATAAACAGACATTTACCGATATGGTTGGATTGCTTTTCAACACAACCCCATTTAAACAAGTGTCATCAACATAGTTTAGACAACGGTACATCTCGCAGGGATGGTCTTTTGGCAAACCTCATAAAAACAACATTGAAGGGATACTTGAAACATAAATCGCCTTGGTTTGTAATATTGATTCACGCCTTTTTGTTTGCCACCCAGTCGGGTACTGGAATAAACGAAGCACCACGAGTAGGATTGTATCTGTCATAACTTATGACCAGAGTTTCAACTTGAAGGAGAACGAGTCCGGATTGAACCTGTTTGGTGAGTTTCATTTGAGCCTCCATATCGTGAGCAATTCTGTTCAAAACGCGTTCAACCCATCGGGGTTATGAATGCTGTATTTCCTCCTTCTTAAGGAAGGGACGAAGGGGATTCCTTAGCAGACATCCGAACATGAAAATATTCGTGGAAGTGGATTTGTTGTTTCAGAACCCCAGTAATGAAGTTGGAGCTGGCGTGTCCTTGGAACGCTTGTCGTTCGTCTGTGAGTTTGGACTTGAAAACGTTTGACATAATCCTGTAAGGGTCTACTGCGTTAGTTTGATGTCGTTAGCACCTTTCATCAAAACAAATATGCTTTCTGTATCCATCACTCCTCGCCACTTCCTTTGAGTTTCGTGTTCCACTCCTTTGAATCGTCTTTCCATCTGATGCTTTCTTCTCCATCTTAGCTGAAGCGGTATCTTTTTCAAATTTCAGCAAACAATATGTTGCTACATACCGCGTTGTTTGTGTGTCTGCTTCGTTGTCTTCATACAGCTGGGAAGTCGGCGCTAGTTGATCGAACATGTCAGGAAACAATTCATGTCGTAAAACTTGTTTACCGTCTTAAACCCTTGTATTTGGTCTTCGTTCTTTCGTATTTTGAAATGAACAAAAAATCAATATGTCTAATGCGTGCTTCAACTCCCTGTCTCCCGGCATGAGTTCAATGTTCAATCTATGCGTCATTGTTTCCTTAAGCATCTCGTGGGACGTGGTCTTAATCTATGAGTGTTGACAATTACCATTGCTAGTTATTCTAGCTGGGTATTGAACTTCTGCCCGGATTCATATTCATTGAAGAATCCATTGCGGTTGGTTGGGCTACCGGTTTTTCTTTACTGTTGGTGGAAAACTGCATAATGAACTTTCTCATTGGGAAGCCTGACTAGTTTCAACCTGCTTTCCTTCTGTATAAAACCTCCACCGCTCCACCACTATTAACTGGTCTTTAGTCCTTCTAAATCCTTTCAGTTTGTCCATAACTGGTTTCATTTCTTCTGGTCTGCTTGTTAGATACACGGGTTTTGACTGTGGCGCTCTCTTCCCAAACCCGGCGTATGTGTCAGCATTTCAGCTTTCTCTTCTGAAGGCATGTCATCGCCTCTTGCTACTGAATAAGCTTTAACTTTTTGGGTGTTGCCCTTTCCGGTGCTTTCCTCAAATCTTCGGCTATGCTTGGTCTTAGTTGTTCCCGCTTCTCGCCTACTCGTCTCTCGCGTTCTTCTTTTTGTTGTTTTTGGATAATCTTCAAACTCTTTTTGTTGTGACCTTGTGCTGACTTATGTGGAGAAAGCAGATTTTGAACAAGACCGACTGGTTGTTCTGGGGGAGGATGACGACGGCTCTGCTTTGGTTCTTCCTCCTTTCTTTTCATTGTGTCCTGAGTTATTATTGCAATCCTTCTCTTCCTTGTTGTCCCACTGGCTGCCCTTCTGGCTCTTTCTATATATCTCGTTGCTTTCCTGTCTACTACATTTGCAATTGATGGCGGTTCTCGTTCTCTTCTACAGGTTTTTTGTTAGTGCCTCAAAACTTGGTCTGACATGTAATTGAGCGTTTAATGTTCTCACCATCATCATATACTGATCTGATATGTTCCTGACTGAATTTCATTACGCTGCCGCAAGGTGATTCGTGGCTGTGGTGTCATCAGGATGCTGTGTTTACCATCCCTCTGATGCTGTTTGCATCACCATGATGCTGGGTGCGTCATGGTGGTGCTGTCCGCATCATCGTGATGCTGTCCGCATCATCATGATGCTGTCGAACTCATCAGGACGTAGTCGCTGCTTTTTCTGCTAGAAATGTAGCGCGGAATCGTTGGTGGCTAGTGTATCTATCAGCAAGGTACTGTCAACATCATCATTATGCTGCTGAACTCATTGGGACGTTGTCTGCGCGTCTATTTAGCGCACCATGCTGAGTGGCTGTGGTATCATGGTATCACCACGATGCTGTCAACATCACCATGATGCTGTCAACATCATCATGCTGTCAGCATCATCATGATGCCGAGGGAACCATCATGATGCTGCGTCATGTGTGTTTTATATTCAACGTCGTCTCTATGACTTCTCAATAACATAGTTGTTGTATACTTAAGATTTAGGGTTTCATGCAAAAAGGAAAACGTTAAGTTGCCGATTGTTTCTTCTTTGTCTTGTCTTTTCTTTCGTCTCAGTTCTTCGCACTGCTGGGTTAGTAATTCTGTTGCCGTGGGTTATTGCAGCATGTCTTGTTGTCTTATTTAATTTTCTATTGGGTTCTTCTTTAACTTCAGGTTCTATCTTTCTAGATTCTAGTAGGTAGATAACAGCCTTTGCAAACTTTGGGGAGTGCAACATGAAGGGAGTTGGCACTCATTTTCTGCGAAGTATTGGCATTCCACTAATTAACCTCTGTCTTTGTCCTTGGTGCCAGCTTGCGTGGTCCAGGGTCTTGTGCGGAAACTAAGGGAAGGGTGCAGCAATTAAGCCCGAATCATTTCTGGAACGAGAAGCCTTCGGCCAGTGACCGACAAGGACGAGGCCAATCACGGCACCGAGCAACCAATCCAAGATTTTACCAACCTGTTGCCAAAGCGGAGTTCTGACCACCCGTATTTCTAAAGCAGAAGTCCTGCAAAACTTGGCCCGACATCCTGTCCACCCAGGGGTGGGGTGAAGGGGTTCGCGCCTCGTTGGAGAGCCCGCCCATGGTAAAGCACAGGAGCCCAGTGCCGAGCAGCGCCAAGTGGCCCTTGGACACCTGGAGCTCCCACTTTCAGCATGGGGGAAAAAAAGCAACTGGAGGGCTCCAGCTTCAAGGCCCCATCTAGCCGAAGCCCGAAGTAACCTCCCAGCAGCTAACACGCACAGGCGAGAGGGGGAAAGGGGCAACCAGCAGTTACCCCCCCCTCGCAAACAAGGCACGGCGCATGTAGGACGCCGACGCTTTCGACTGTTTTCAAGGAGTTCATATTGCTCGTTCAATTTGAAATGCGCAAAAAGCCTGTCTTGTCGTACGGGGAATCCAACAATCGAACGGGCATTTTGTTGGATAGAATAAGCCCCACGTTGTTTCCCTCTCAAGCTGACCGTCATCTGCTTCCTTTCCTCCTGCCAAAACCCTCTCTCTTCAAGGGCCTTGCACGCCGTCCGGACCAAAGCCCACAGTCATGATCGCTAAGGCGCCCTCTACACAGGCAGCTTGTCCTAAAAAAGGCCTCTTTGATAAAGCATGTAGCCATCATTTCGCTGGACACGCGCTGCAAAAGCTTTCCCATGCATCAAGCCCAGCCCAGTCTTGGCCTTACCTGCACGTTTCCAACTGGAGGATATCACAACAGCTGTCTTGCATCCTTCTTTCATGTTTGTCAGCATTGGCAAGTAGCTTCTCATGCAATTTGTCCTCCCTCAGCCAATTTTGAGAGTCTGGCCCACCCTGGTAGGTGATACACACAAATGCAATGCATGGCTGGTGCAGCTTTCACAAGCGCAACCGAAGCAGCCTTGCTGCTGCCACCAGCAGCAAGCTTACGCTGCAGAAGATCCAGGTCATCCTCATCACAGCTGCTACTATCAGCACTTCCATCGCTGTGTTTCGAGTCTTCTTCTCCACATTCGACTTCTCCTTCTCCTCCTCACTCCAGGCGCAGCGCAACGCTCACTGGACTGAGTTCCGGGAGACATGCAAGAGCCGGCCTTACCCCAAATTAGAAGCATCGTTTAAGAGACCCGGCGGGCTTTCATCGCAGGGAGACATGGCAGTGAGATGAAGGCCTAAAACGATTTCTCCTAGCGTCGTGAAAGAACTAAACCCCGTAAAGGACCTGCCTCACGGGTGAGACCGCTTCAATTCGCCAAATTGGTGAGCTCGCAATAGGCAACCGCGCCAATTCCCTACCCTTGTGTCAAAGGCTTGAATCAAACCTCTGCATAGGAATTGTCAAGTACCCACCCACCCACTCCAGCAGCTACGGGGGCGAGCCTCTATGCTTCAAACTGCTTGGATTCGCCGAACTAACCAATGGCAAGCCGCGGGGCTGGCAACTGCTTTCAGGGACCGGGGCCATTGGAGGGCCCACGGATGGCAAGCTTCAGTGGGTCTTCCCTGTTCACTTTCGTGATTTGCATGAGATTTGAAGCGAGAAGAATCGCCAGGCAGCTGTGGGGTTTTCAGTGTTTGTTTCAAAGCGCGATTGGCTCCTGGCTTGCTTCAAGGGTCCAGTGCTTTCGGTTGGGCAAGTCCAACGTGGTTCCCACATTGTCCCAATCTAATCTGGCTTTAGACCGTGCAACAGAAACGCTTTGCTGTCTTTGCTGTTTTGGCGAAGTGGCCATTTTGCCAAAGAGTCAAAACTTAGTTCGGGCGCAGCGGGCAAACACAGTGAGAATGACCCGCGACCGAACTCGAATTCCGACTGAGGCTCGCCATTCATTGGCAAGCGCCAAAGGCGGCTCGGTATTCGCCCAATTGAAGGGCACCTGGTGGGAAGCGAAGGGCTTCATGGTCCCTGTTCGTAGCCTCGCCACATGTCAGGAAGGATTAGGCCCATGGTCATGTCGAAAAAGAAAGCTGACCCCATGGGTGATTGTTCATTAGCAGGCCAACACCCTCCAAGCTCTAAGCAACCTTCAATAACCAGTAAGCTTGTTTGGGCCATTTACACATCTAGCAGCTTGTGGATGCTGGCAAACTACATGCCAACGTGTCAAAAAAAACAGGCAACAACTTTGTCGGGTCCTTCTATGTTAAGCACACGGGACTAAGTTTTAGTGACGCCCTTTCGGCGAGAATTCGGTGTGAATGACTGTTTGTTGCGTAGTTGTTGCCCTTTCCATGATAGAAATCAGGATCTTTGCTAACCTGGAACCCCGACCATGAGGGGATGGTGCTTGTCGTATGTTAATGAGCTAGTGTCGCAACCATTTCGAAGTGGCTCAAACTCTGGACGGCTTTCATGCTACCAATATATCTGTGACATGTTTAGGCAACCAATTTGTTGCTTTTGCAATTCCAGATTCAGGAATGGCCGATGTTGCTATTCCACAGTTTAACGTGGAAGCCATCAACAAGCAAATTAGCATGGAACCCCAAAAGTCATTTTTGCCAAGGAAACTCTTGGGGAGGCACCCAGTTTGAGTTATGTCAATTGGTAGAAGAGTGGAGTCCTTTTTGGGGTGTTGTGCAAACTTGTGAGTGAGGAGTGTGTTCACATGGAATCTGACATGGACGTTCTTTGCCTGTTCCTTTGCACACCTTTGGGGACCGTGGGCCGGACTGTGCCATGTGGAGATCACATGCGAGTGATTGACGGACGGCACCACAGAACCTGCGCGAGTTGGCCTGGGGCTTCTACTTTCAGAGCATGTGGCAGTCGTATTTTCGGTGGACATTTCAAGGCGACATGCTCGAATCTTAGGATCATGTTGTGCCGGATGTCACTAACATGGAACCTGTTCTGGGATCACAAGAAACCATCCTTTGGGATAGAATGGGGTCCATGATAAGTAAATCTGCTAAGATCACTGTGCACAACATCTTGTGACGCGCTTCCTGGCTGGGTTCTATGTTAGTCAGTTGTCCCGCTTTGTCCACATCTCGCGCCCCGATCCCTACATTCCCCAGGAACTGAAGCACGAAATCTGTACGCCGCGGGTGCCATGCAAAGTCTTGTAACTTTTGGCCTGCGTGTCTACGTTGCTCTGTTGGGGTGTAATTGACCATGTTGGGGCAAGGAGCCATCTGGAAATCGAACATACTGTTGCAATTTCACAGGTGGAATCGTCTGGTGGGAAAGCATCCTAACATCAAACAGCATGCTGCTGCGGGGCGCCTGCAACAAGAGAACATCATGCTAAGCACGGAAATGGACATGCTTGCTACGGAAGTAAGTGAAACTAGACAAGTGTGGACATTTTAGAATTTTGCCGCTAGTCACGTCTATAGGAAGCCATGGCAAAATCAGCACATTTCAGTCAGGAAAAGCAGGACATCCATGCCAGCAAAGAAGGCCTAGCACCAAACGCCCTGGTATGATCCTGGGAATGCGCGCGCAGCCAGTCACTCGGAGGACTCTGGTGTCGCCGCATCTCCTCCCCCATTGCCCAGGCCTGCCCAGCCTTGTGCAGCGGCCATCGGGAAAGGGATGTTCCTTTTCCAAACAGGCGGATGGCGGAATCATGCTCAACCACACTTCTGGGTAGCTGGGCGGCCCCTTTTTCGGGAGGTGGGGATCCCTTCAACTCTGGCCGCCAAGCCATATTCATATGGTGCTCTAGAACTGTTTTCCTGGGACCTTTGGTGTCCTTTTGGAACAACAAGTCGGTGCCACTGGTAAATGGAAGTCGGTGGGAAAGCAGGCAACTTCAGGGAATGACTGGCCCTCCAATGTAGGACCCCGCCACTCCATGGCTGCGCAACGGCTTACCCATCTTGAGGCCCGCGTTCCCACCTCCCACGCGCCTTGGCCTTTGGGCATGAGCGCGCTCCTTGAGGCTGGGGCGCCAACGGCGCTGCCAGGTTTGAGGCGATCATGGCGCCCAGGAAGACGTGGGGCGAGCTGGCAGCTGCGACACGGCGGGACTCGCACGCGGCGCGAGTCCAAGAAAGAGCGCATTGAAGCAGCACGCCCAGAAAGCGGTCACTGCTCTGGGGGTCAAAGCCCTGGATTCGCTTCCCAGGCTCGAGGCGCTTTTGCTGGAGCAACGATCAGAAAGTGGAGACATTGACCATCATATAATCTAGTCACAATCAAATGGGTGTGGGTCAATATTCAGGTGTGGAACGTTCCGCGGTGACGCGGACGTCTGGAACGAGTCAGTTACGTAAGGTTGGTTGTTCCGGACATCTGGGAAGACATGTGTGGAGTCCTCAAGCACAGTTCATTTAGTGTAAGATGGATAGATGGATGGATGAGTTGATGGATGCGTAGATGGATGGATGAAGCGACCAAAAGCGCGCGGCCTTACCATACGGCACCTCCTTGAAGGCTTCTTGGGCCGCGTAAGTGCAGCTACTTACATGGGGCATGTGTGCGCATGTGGGCTTGGTGGCAAATTGCTCCGCTGCGTCTGGAACACGTCTGGAACGGGTCTGGAACGGGGTCTGGAACGGTTACGCGAGTGGCTTGCACTTGGGAATGCTAGCAAGCAGCATGTAAACATGGTCGTTTCAACCATGTGACGACTGAGAGCGGTATCGAACCGTTACCGTATCGTATCGAACAAATAGCGGCCGGGTTGACCCTAAACACATCTGTCAACAGAATCGCTGCCCAATTCCATCCAAGTCCCAATGATTACAAGCCACGCAGCCCTAACCACCAAAGCTCAACAAGCAAATCCCATCGTTAGCACCTCAAGCTTCTCTCGAACACCAGCTTTAACGCGTAGTATTGGGGGGGTCAATATCCTACCAAATCACCTGACCGTCTGAATCAATACTCTAAACTAGACATATACATAAACAAGGTCTGGAACGGAAGGTCTGGAACATGTTTCTAGGCAAGGTCTGGAACGGAGGTCTGGAACGGAGGTCTGGATCGCATGTGGGTTCCGGACCCTGTTCCGGACCTTATAAATTGACTCGCAGCCAAATAGACATGGATGGTATACGAGTATGAAACAATACATGTTTGCTTCACTTTAGTCCCTCCCGTGTTCTTTTTGCCCTAACACGCTCACATGCAAAGTATGTTGTTGAGCTTTGATCAAACATAGTATGAGAGGCGAGATTCCTTGTGGAGATCCCCCCTTTTTGGGTTCCATGCTAAATCGGACGGAACCATAACTTTGCTCAAACACATTTTTTGCGTGGAAAGGCCAGGATTCATCAGTTCTTTCTCTTTGCAAGCCTCGGTCTTCTCCTGCTTTATTCCTCACATACGTGCCTTCGAAAAAGCTCTACTCCTTGAACAGGCCAACCCCAACAGCGTACGGTTTGTAAGTTGGTCCTTCACTGCAGCTGATGGTCAAGGTTCGCAACGTACAAATTGACCAACGCATGAACGTGCAAATGTATGTATACTTTGAATACACGTCTTCCCATGCAACCATGCATGATACGAACACATGAATGCTTCTCTGACATCTAACTAGAAAGGGACCCTGACCAAGGCCTGCAGAGAGCCGAACCTGAACTTGGAAGCCGGATTGAGTTTCCAAAGGGCCACGCCCTTTGTCCGGCCCAGTCCGTGTCAAGCCGATTGGGTTCCAACCGCATCAGGCAAAAGGATTGAATACGCAGCAAGTGACAAAGCTGACAACATGCGATCAAAAAACCAGTCCAACAATTGGAACATGCGCGGGCTGAACAGGCCCTGGCGGAATCTTCGGCTGACACGCAAAATCACCGCCCTAAGCAAAATCCGCAATGCACCCTTTGTGCTGATGTCGATGCCGTATGCACGAGACCAGTCTCAACTGCGTGATTAGTGCTTTTTGTCCCAGGACCCGTGTAGCTGAAGCCAATAACACATAAATCCAGGAACTCTGCAAAACATCTGGCATCACAGAGCGGACCACGCCCGAAAACTGGATTGCCCAAGCGAGGTAAATTCAATTGCGCTGGAATTCACCTCGCTTGGAGGAGGCAGGGCCTCTTCTCGGCTCTGAGCGTCCAAAGTTGTCCTGCAAAACATGGATAGGCTTGTGTTTTTAAAGGGTACCGGGTTCACCTTGGTTAAAAAAGACTGCAAAAGGAACACTGCTGTTGTTGGGGTCCCCCTATTTGGACAGTTTAATTGAATACACCCCCAGCATACAGCCAGGGTAGTTTTCCTAGTTCATTTCATTTCAGGCTTGTTTTAGGCCATCCAACTCCGAACCCCCGAGGCGACCTCGCTTGATCCCACGCCTTCGCAGGCTGTCAAGCATGTCAAGCACGGAATATGCATGACTCCGATTTTCGCCTCAGAGCCGCAGAGATAGCCTCTTGTACTGTAACAAGACCGCGAGGGGCTTCACACGATCGATGAAGCAAACCGGCCGATGCCTGCTGTACTATCGGGCCATGCTGCGGGAAGGCATGCGGCGCGTAGATAGTCAATGCGTCTTTCGGTCGGAGCGAGTGAAGCCGCAAACTCTGCTTGATGGAGCTTCAGAAGTCTAACACAAATGCCCGCCCGGCTGCCCATCATTGGACGTTGCTCCACCAATGAATGGTTGCTCTACGGGCAAATTTGGGCTCTGAACATGCCCGGATTGCAGCTCAACAGGCTCCAAGGATTATGCAAGGCTGCCGGAACATGTTCTATCCCAACCCGCGCTTGATTCTTCTCCAACATGGCCAGAAGGAGTCGCTCCGAAGATGTTGCACAAGTCTCGCAAACTCAGGTGCGTTACCAAAGGGAGTCCGGAAAGGCTGTCTCCTGCGAAGTCCTGCTCTTCAAGTGGCAGTCTGGTCAATGCATCCCTTGCCATCCCCTTTGGTCTGCAAAATGTTTAACGTGTCTTTTGTGGGCCCCAGCTGAAACTGCACAAAATCAAAATGTTGATGCTTCCATGGCCAGCGAAAAAGAAAACTAGAACAAAAAAATAAACAGCCGCACAACGCAGTTGTGATCAAGCCGAGACTCACTATTAACCACCCTCACTCCCAGTTCTTGCATGCTTCATTGATCCCATGCTCTCAAAGTTATCCCTGACTAGTGGAATGTGCCAGACACCCCTCGCAACCCAGAGAATCTATATAAACATTTAAGGGGTGGTTGGAACCCACCTTCATTTCTCTTCAAAGCCAGAGCCGTTTCCTCCCGCAAAGTTCGCTTTCAGCACTCACTTGCGGGGTGTGGTGAACGCACCCACGCCGTAGAGCGCGGCAGCAATTAGGAGCATGCGGTGCACGTTGTGGAAGACGCCGCCATGGACAGAAACCAGGAGGCCTCAGCCGCTAGGCCGCTAGGAACATGAGCGATGAAGAGCAAGCCAAAAACAAAACATGCTGGCTTGTAAAACAGTCGAATGTGACACCATTTAGTAAAGGATCTCGGTGGTTCAGCCTTACGCATTGATGTGCGACAGGCTGATGTCCAGCAAACGCAGTAAATTCACAGACTAGGCCTACACACCAGATTGCCACACTCGCCCTAGAAAGGAATTTGCCATGCACGTTGAAGGTGAAGAAGCTCTGTATACCTGTTTGCTTCTGTTATGAGCCCCCTGTGCGCATGAAAAGCAGGGCTGCGAACCACCCCAAGCCATCTTGTTGGCTTCTGATCAAGCCACGCAAGCGGCTGATTACAAGCGCAGTCCTAGCAGAACACAACTTTGAGCAGGGTGGAAGCCGGAACAGCTAAAGCCGCAAAAGGCACGAAAGCCAGAAAAGCCAGCAAAAAGCCACGTTCCAGCGAGCCGAAAACCAAAGAACAAGCCTGAGAAAACAAACGAACCAATCCTGAAAAGCAACGGACCCCACAAAATTGACCTTGTCCTTTAACTAACCGCGGAGCACGAGAAACCCAGAAGGTTTCAAATGTAGTGTCTTTTGAGCATGACATCTTGTATCTGCAACTACCCCATTTTTCCTTGTGGCTGTATGGTGGCATATCCCTTTTCTCCCCCAAACACATTATCTGAGATCTGCTGAGATCCCAAAGCAGCCTTCCTGAAATTCAGACTCTGGCACATGCTCCTCCGTCACAACTTCACTGAACACCTCCGCCACAAACTGCCGAGCAATCTGCGGGCTATTCTACATCAATCCAACAAGCCTAACGGATCCCCAAGTAAGCACTGACATAGATTGTTCCAGGTGCAAACCCCCCAACGACAACAAAAAAACAATAAGCTCAGGTGATATCCCAACAGCATACGGTGCTCTTTTTAGTGCTTGCACCACCCTGAAGCCCTCGCAGAACGTCGTGGAACTCTCGTGGAACCCTCGTAAAACCCTCGTGGAACCTTACCTCAAGGCCGCCCCGGACCACCCTGGAGCCCATCTGGGCTGAGACACCAAAGCTTTCAGCTGTTGGGAAACAACAAGTGCTGACAGTGGCGATTCTCGCTTCCCTGCGGAAACTGGCATCCTTGTTGGTGATTGATTAAAGCCGGCAATATCATGAAGCGGGGGCGGGGGCTCTTGCAAGTTTCTCTTGGCATGAAGGGAAGCCAGCCTTGTATTGTCATCATGCCAAAAATTCTCGAAACGGAGCAAACCCCACCGCAGCCCTCAGGCCATCGACCAGCGGCCCCGTAAGTCTTTTCAGCCATGGCGCCCACCAAGGACGGAACAAGGCCTCGCGGAAGAGGCTCGGACTGAATGGCGCTTCCCTGAAAAAGAGCACCTACCCTCCCACCAGCTAACATGGAAGTGCACAGACCCCTGTAGAAAGACTACTTTCCTCTTGGAAGGGGCTTTTTGCACTTCCATGTTAGTTGGCGAGAGGGTAATTTCCTCAATGGGATGATCCGGGATGCCGCCTGAAGTGGGAGCTTGCCGGGTTCCCATTGAATAAACTGAACCTGGCAAGCGTGAGGACTAGATTGATGCCGCTTCCTGATTCGATGGCAGTATCAGTATCTTGAGAATGTTCCGAGCGGTCCGTTGCAGCCCTGTGGTCACAACTGAGTAGCTGTCAGCAACAAAAAGCACATGGAGCCTCTGCACTTGTTGCAGCAAGTCGCAACATTCATCGGCCTTTTTGCAGGGCAAGAAGGTCTCAAAAAAACCAAGGCAGCCAAGTCGCTGCCGCTCAGAAAGCCTCAGTTCCAAAACCCTACGGGGGACGTTTGGGGCATATCTCGACGGATTAGTGATATGAAGGAAAACATACTTGTTTAAAAATACAATTGGATGCACCCATCTTGCCTTCAGGGCAAAGTAATTAAATCAAATGAATGTAGCACCAAGGGTCAATCAAACAGCAAAGAAGAACAATCATGATGATAACTAAATAATTTCTTCTTAAATCAGTGTTTCAACCCCGTAACCAAATCACACAATTTTAACAACCGACACCGGAAAAAAAAAAGTGTTTTATTTGACGCCTCTGTCGGATACACATGTGTGTATATATATATATATATGTATATTTATACACTTATACAGTATACAATGTACTCCGCGTTATTGTAGGAACCCCACGGAAGAACCTGGGCCGATCTCCAACCAGAAACGGGTGGTTTCCCCTTGAGCTAAAGCCAGAGGCCCTCAAAAGAAAGGGTTCAAACTTTGGACCCGTCATGTTTCCGTTTTAAATGGTCACATGCCCCTCTTTGACCAAGCCAGAAGATCAAAACTTGGTGCCGAATATGGCATGCGGCCCCGGATTTGCGAAGGAAAAATGGAGCGTGTGTCTGCGTGTCTTTGTGAGGGTACCCTTGTTGGCGCTGGTTTTTCCAAGCACGGCATCAGGAAATCCGCATAGTACGTCCACTTTTGAAGCGTGCCCGAAGGACGCTTCAAGGCCCGAAGAAAGCCGGCGAAGCGAAGAAGCGAAGAAGCGATCCGCCGCGCGGCTGAGCAGGTTCAGCCGCGCAAGCATCTTCCCCCGCTGTGCGGCGCTGGTGGCGCAGGTGGCGTAGGCGATCCTGGGGCTTGGCTCGGGCTGCGTTGCTGAGTTGGGTGAATTGGTTAAAGACAAATTCAGTAGAAAAATGGTTTGCTACCGAAAATGAGACTCGGGCAATAAACCAGCCTGCAACCTGATTGACTCACGGTGTCAGACTGTGACCGATGCATTTTAAAGACTTAGTGACTCGGGGCGGCGCGTCCCCGTAACAGGGACCCCGTCAAAGTCGGTTTCCGTCCGGTTCCCTTTTCAACAGCAAAATGGGACCCTCCTGAAAGTTTGTTTCCATAGCCAAGTGGGTATGGGTCAAAATTAAACCACCAGGGGACCGCAGGTTTTAGTCCATGTTTCCATTTAAAAGGGTTCCGTTTTGGGTACCTATTTTTGACCCACAGCCAAGTGGCAGCAGGTTGCAAGCGTTGGCCTGCGCCACCAAATGCGCTGCACCCAGCAGACCAGCTGCTACCACGTGGCCTGTGCGGGGTGGGACGATTGGTTCTCTAGATCTATATAGCACATGTTTTGCTTCAACTCACGTACACCCTGGGCCGTCAACCAAGAACAACATACCAAGGCGCTTTGTTCGTGACAGTCCTCCTATCCAAGTACTGCACTATGGTTCCACAGGGAAATCTAGGGGAACCTTTGCAGTAGCGGGCAGGGATACGCACAAAATGGCGTTTTTTGAGCTCGGCAGCTGATAAGACGGGCAACCCCCCCCCCCGCCCCCCAAGCTGCAAAAAAGCATGGTCAATACCTTCACAGGGTTTAAGCGAATGAGTGCAAGAGGACAGTACCCGCTCACTTCACTCGCTGATCCCAGTCCTAACTCTTGGGATTTCGCTAGTCAGCGACAGCGCGAAGAATGCGACCAACTCAAGACCGATGCTTGACCACAGTCAGAGATCTTCGTAACCGGTAAAAAAAGTAATTATAATAATATTATAATATACAGCGCGCGCGCAAACCCGAAAATCCCATGTGAATCCTCCTGCCCTTTTGGGGCGCCTTTGCACAGCAGGCAGCCCAGGGTCGCTGCACAGCCTGGCAGGCTTGAGGCTCTGATCCCACAGGGGTGCTGACATGTTCCATTGAGTCATGTGGCTGTGGGTCAAAAATAGGTACCCAAATGAAACCCTGGCAAATGGACACATGGACTAAAACCTGCGGTTTGCTGGGGTTTAATTTTGACCCATACCCATGTGTTGAACGGTGGTCCTGAAAGCATTTCCCTCCTTTCCCCTTTGGCACTTATATAAGCGATGTAGGCCAAAACGGTATTTATAGATTTAAATGCAACCGGGCAAAGAGGGGACATATTTCAAACCCCTAGTTCCTGACAAGGTTTTCAAGAGACCGAAACAACTACCCAACAACCCGTTCCCTTCCGCAATCACTGCAGCTTCCTAAGCTTTCTGGTAAGCAAGTCAGGTCCTTTGGAGGCGTTGCAAAATCTTGGCTTTGGGGGCCTTGTTTGTTTGTCTGTCTGACCGTTTGGTTGCTTCGTGGCTGTCTTTTTCGACCTCTCCGGACAGGTAGAAACCAAATATTCAGCAAACAACTATGAGATATAGTTCTTTGCTTTTCAGTCGCCAAACAAGTATAATATGCATCCAAACCTGCCTGATGCTTGAAACGCTGCCATTGGTTCGTTTGCTCATTGCTTTGTGGCATCATGGAAAACTCCACTCTTTTCAAAAGCCAGCCAGCTCTAGTTCGACAGGTCAGAAAATGCCGCCGAAATGGCATTCGCTGACCGGAAACTGACCATGGAATCTGCAGAAGGGACCCCACCAGCAGATTCATGTACTTGGGGCTCCTCCTTCGTAACCTTCAGTAGAGAGGCTTGCCCGTGGACCTGGAAATCAATCGAACCACTAGGTCACGATTGGCCGCGGATCATGCCGTGTAACCACTTGTCAGCAATAAGTCCGGCTGATTTATCGAACCGTTTCTGCACCTCTCAGACCCTGCGTCTAGAGGCTGGTACGAAACTTAGATTGCCAAAGTCCCTGGATTTACAATTGGACCCGGGCTAAGATTTCCTCAGAAAGCTCTGAAGATGTTGAGCCTTGCTTGGATCTAGCGCTAAATCAAGGGCTCTGATGTCTGAATCCCTGGCGTTAGATTCGGACACCTGGAAATTCAAGTTGCCTCCTTTCGCATTCGGCAGAACGAAGCCGTAACATGGGTCATAGTTGATCGACGTGGGCCCGTAAACATGACAATCAGCCTCTGGTAAACCTATGTGTCTCGCAGGACTTCGTTCCAGCCTTGTCCAAGATGCCTTTCATCTATGACATGTTTCTTCCAGTGGCATTCCAAGCCTGCTGCCCAAACCCGTATGGGCCCATTCCCGGTGTGCAGAAATGGCTCGCAGAAATCGTTCGCTTGTGATGCATGGCTCAGAATGGCGCCGCAGCATTCGGAGCAATTAGAAAACTCCGTGAATTGGTGTCTTCGCTTAGTGCGAACTAAGCGCAAACATCGCTTTGTTTGTGCGGCAAAGCTTGCAGCTTGCAGGCGCCCACAACCCGACCACCCCATCTCTCAAATGCCGCCTGCGATCATGCTGATGCGCGCGCCCTTTACCAAGGTACTGTCGCTGCTGTCGGCTGCCACCAGACGGGAGGTGGCCAGGATGCCAAAGATCTGGGAGGGAGGGGTGGCCTGGGCCCTTGTTAGAGGGCCTCCTGCACTGTGTAGGGTCACTTCTTGGACGAGCCAACTTGAAGAAACACAGGATGGGATGGCCAGCCAAAGTAGGGGGCAAGGGCTGGATATAACAAAAAATCGTAGCGGTCTTATTGAGTAAGGAGGTTGCGCTTGGCTCAGTTGGTGATGCGCTCAGTTTCCTTCAGGTATCATAGCAGTTCTTGGTCATTTAGCACCCGCAAAACATGTGAGCCAATGTCGCAAGTTGTGTCCGCAAGCCTCACTTCCTCATTTGAGGAAACCCTGCCCCCATGTGAAAAATACCAGTAGGCTTGGGGCCTTTTTTGGAGGTGGGAGGAGCCGCGCTGGCAGCGGGCCATGACTCAACAAAAACGCAACTCCAATCCGGGGTCCACTCGTTGGGGCACGCCTTGCCTTGGTGCTTCACGGGGGAGAAGCGAAACAACATGAGACTAACCACCTTGAGGGCTCCAACTTTTTGGCCAGTTGGACTAACTAGTTTGAGGGGTTGTTTGGAGTTGTCAAAGGGGGAAGCCCACATTTGTGGCGTCTCCTTTCGGACATAATTTGGCTCGGGGCCCAGCCTCCACCACGTACATCACAAGCATCGCTGCGATGGCTTTGGAAGTGGAGCCCACCCAAATCTCAGCTGACCCGAGTCCGAGTTGCAATCAGTGACCCTGGCACAGCGAACTCTTTCTTTCCGGGGTTCACCATGTTGTGCAAGGAACCGACCAAACAAAAAGCAGCAACAATAACTTCGGGGTACCTGTCTGTTGACATTTGTTTTTGTAAATCAATGCACCTGGAAAACCAAGTTGCTGGAAAAAATGGGGCACCAACGAAAGTTGCGAAAACATACACAACTGTTGAAATAGTGGTGTGTTTTTAATTCTCCGACTGGGCTAAGGCAGCTAGTCTAATGGCAACGACTCCTTTGTAGCAGTAACCAGAAAAATTGTCCTCATGTTGGACGATAGTTGCTTGCCCAGCAACTGTTCTGTTGTGTTTGCGAGCGCTGCAAATCTTGTTTTTTCAGCGATTTGATGGGCGGGTCACCGTCAGCGCCCGAAATTTCCGCTGCGTTGGCTGAAACGCTCGTGGGTGACAAGTGTGACGATGTTCGTACAACCACGCTGGTTGGTGCAACTATCAGTCGCACAGTCAGACAGTGTCGACACTCCTTTTTCTTTTTTTTAGCTAGCCGTGAACAACGCACACTTCCAGCTTTGAGCATGATGTCTCCTGTTAATCTCCGCTGCAAGGAAGCTTGCGATGGAAAGAGGAGGAATCATGAAAGTTGAGGCGGAGAGCCTTTGAATATTCTTTGCATGAGCTTGAACAATATCTTTCAGATTCATCCAACGGATGATTTGCCGGTGTCTATCCACGCCAGCCACTTTTGTACTTTGCCATTTGCGAAGCGGCCTGGGAAGAGCTTTCAGCGTGACGCCCATTGTTGTTTGTCGCTGTGAGGCATAAAGCTGTCCACCTTGTGCGACCCGTGGCTTCTACCCCACTTTAAGCAAACTGCCCGACGCCACCATGAAAACACTTCAAGCAAGACTCTGGTATTGCAAAGTAACATCTTGTCGGTTTCCGAGGCCAAGGGGCGCAAGTGGATCTGAGAACTTGCGAAAATGGCAATTGTTTGGCAAGCATGGCAAATTACTCCACTTTCACGCGAAAAACACACCACTTTACGCTTCGTTGTGCTTGCGAGCGGCGCAATTTCCCACGCAGTTGCCCCGCAATTACTCAAAAGGGATCGTCGGTGGGCACTCGGTGGCATCGACTTTTGCGCGACTGGCTTTAAAAGATGTGATAACACACAGGTAAACACATGATTAGATGTTTTCTTCGCACCCGTTGCATTTGGATGAACACCGGCGATGCCCCCCGAAATTTGCCCAATCCTCAAACACAAAACAATTCACAATCATGGCTGCCTCTTGGCAGCGTTGCCCGTATGTGAAGAAAATAGCTCCTACCATCAATTTCGATCTGAGATCACACGTCGTTTGCTGAGTGGAGACAAACAATTGCCGACTCTGTTCACCGCACCTCGGGTGTTCATGTTCAGCATTGCGATTGCTGAGTGCCATGGTCCCGAACATGTTGATGTTATATGTTGGCAAGTTGCATAGACTTAGAACAACCTCAGTTGAATTTGACATGCGCAGGCTGCATCGTAATTTTCGGGCAGGATCACCAAAACGATGTGGCCTTAAATGTATAGATTTGTTTTTTTGCACGCAAACATAAGCTGTCAGTGCAACAGGCTTCATAAGAACTGAGCAATCGAGCAGCTTTCGCACGCAAAAACGATACACAGAAACAAAACAAGAGCCCAAAATATAGGGGTGCGCTCAATACCATTCGTTAATACGCTCTCATTGCGCCCGCAATGCACGATTGTCCCCCTTTCAGCACACCCTTTCGCACAAAGTCGAAAGCTGTAGCTTTTCAGTGAAAGTTGTATGTTTTTAGGAAAGTTGTGATTTGTTGCACAACTTTTGGAAAAACGGGCAAACTTTTAAAGTTGTACGAAAAAACCAGCAACTTTGGTCCTTCAGGCATGCTGATTCGAGTGTCGATATGTGACTTCATGGTTACTTCTCCTGCACCGCTACGTCGGTATTCCACGTTTCACCTTTCACATCCAGGTCCCTCTGGGAGCTTTTTCAAACCGCGGAAGGCCAACGATCACAAGTCCAGAGTCAAGACCTGAAGGGCCTACACCGGGCTTCCGGAAATCGCGGTCTGGCTTTATACCCCTATCACCACCGTCCAAGAAACAATAACATCTTTCTACCCTCAAGTAGTGGCTGAGCGGTCATGTATGTCATATGTCGCACATTCTCTTGGGGCACCGGGGGGAAAGTAATGTGTGGGAAAGCAAAGGGGATGGCTGAAACAACAATTGAAAATTGTTGTAGTGGGGGGGAAGTAGGGGACACCATGTTGCTGTAACGAATTGCCAACGCTGGATGAACGAACCAGTATGCCACTGCTCTGGGGAATCTTTCAGCTGGATATTACTCACATGCCACAGCTAGAGTCGGATCGTTGTCAAAAAAGAGTTAGAATGACGTAAACATGTGGACATTAAGAAGTACCAAGGGCGATAAAGTCTGGTTGAAGGAGTTCAGGCCTCAAACGGATTTTCATGCCATATGCACGCAACGGGGAGTCCACATGATGCGAACATCGGATGGGGTTCTCACAAATAAATGGGGGGGGGGGGGGGGCGGGGCTCTTGCTTCACAAAACCTAGCACGCAAATCTCAATTTAGTGGTTCGTTGATCCCTTGCTAAAAGCTTGACTTTGAGCGGGATATGCCACGAATCCCTCTACATGCTCGAAGTCTACAAGTCAAAGGTTGTGGCTGGAAAGCGCCAAGTTAAGTTGGAAACTCCAAGCATTGGGCGGTTTCGCAAGGCTCTGGTAATGGCAAGCCCTGATCAGATCAACCCTGGCATGTGCTCTGAAATGGGAACGTCTCATATGGCAACAAGGTGGGGCTTCCAGACTTGTAGATACAAGCTCAAGCCTTCGAGATCGCATCTTGGCCGCTTGGCCAGGTGGGGGCGAGTAGCCTTCAAATGCTCAGAACAACTGAACACTCGAAGTAGCGCTTGGCAAGCGGCCGGCAGCCAAATCTTCACCAGCATGGATGCCGCATGGCGGCACATAAAGGTGGCAGCCATCCTGGGAAAGGAGAACACGCGGCACACGGAGTCGGAGCGGCCCCATGGCTCCGAATCACCACAAGCAACGTAGGACATACACCGAGACTACACCTGAGGCCAAAGGTCTCGAAAGGACATCCCAAAAACTACCTGCCTTACACGAAAACTGATTGAAATTCGGTGGTAGTCGGGTGATTTTTCCACTGGTCCCAGTTGGTATCCTTTGAGGGGCACTGCCGAATGAGCACTCAGCTCGTGGACTGCCCTGCAGGTCTCCCCGGCTTCTGGGCTGCAAATTAACGACCCAAAAGTGGGTGCCCAACTCCCACACGATTCCTCCAAAACCGGCCGAAGCCCAGGCCCCAACCCCAGGTCCCCCCCTATCCTGGGGAAGGACACTCGGCTCTCGGAGTTCGTGGTCTCCTTGGGCCCCTCCAAGGCCTAGCGGAAACCCCCCGCAAGCCGAAACAGGACTCCTCAAATACACCCAAGCCACCTCCTTTGAATTTGGCATCCTCACCGGCTACCCCCATCTGCTGAAGACTTTGGGATCCTCACCTACTGTGATTAATTGACTGAACCATGCATCCGCTAAGGGACTCGGTGCACGTCAGGGCGCCAATGCTCGTGGCATGCCTGATAGGTTTACATGGACCGGCATTTGGCCTCAATTTCCCGTTAAGCCCAAGTAGCTAAGTAGCGTCCCTTACTTGAATGGCCATAGCCTCTTTCTCTATCTCTTTCTCTCTCTCTCTTTCTCTCCCTTCCTCCCAGCGTCTTTATCTCTCATGGTCTCTCGCTATCCCCCTCCCGCTGGCCCACGCACCCCACGCACCCCTGTGTTTGGCTCTTTACGTACCAGGTGTATGTGCGACCAAATGTGAGGTATTTAGACCTCATGTTGCTTGCATTGGTAGTCGTACCTAGCTGGAGTTCCGTAGATGAGGCCTTCTTTTCGCAGCCAGCATCAACGGACTCGCCTTGGAAGTGGGTGTGGACTTCCCAGCAGAGGCAATTTGCCCCAAAATGGAAGGCGGGATCCGAAGCTTTGTCTTCCGAACTGCTGCTGCAAAGCCGTGGTTATTTCCCCGTTGAGCGTGTAGCATGACGCAACGCAGCAGGCTGCGACAATGCTTGACCTTCAAGCAATGAACGCAATCCACTGTGTTTGAGCGAACATCTCCATGTGCATCACCTTTGCAGGTAAGCAGCCACATGAGATGTATAATGATCAAGTGTCAAGTGGCATCTGCATCCTTGGTGCTACGTACGGCTTCTGGTAACTGCCAGTGTTGTGCCACCCACTCACCATAAGTATTGTCTTCACCCATAAGGTTTCAAGCCAGTTCGCAACGCTGCATCAATGCGTGTTCAACCTGGCTTCTCAAAGCGGAGACACCGCTATCTTGCTGGCTTGACCAGGGGTTTGGACCCGTCTTCTTTAAGCAACACTCTTAAAACACATGTATCTTATCTTGTGATTTGCAGCCAACAGTAAAACAGCATAGCCACCTCCCCTCCGACAAATCCGAAACCATTTAGCCGCGTTGACTTGACTCGCAATTGCTTGAGGTGCTATCGAACATGAAATGCTCACCCATCATCGCTGAATCCTTGCCATTCCCGTCAAACCAACTGGCGAAACCGAAGAACACCCCTAACGTACATCATATATACATGCGTGTGTTCAATAAACGTGGGAGGGGGGAATAACATGTTGAAACATCAGAGAACCCTCTTTGTGTCAACCACCTGTTTTCGTCCCATGTGCAAAGAAGTGCCCCCAACGACGTCCAGTTTTAAACGGAGGCTACAAAAAACAAGTTCGGAAGAGACCCCAGTCTAGGTCCCCCAGTAGAGAGGTTAGAATAAGGGTACCCTTTTTCTGTTGTCTATTTTAGTAGGGGAACCCTGCCCCAAAAAAGGGTAAAAGAGCACTACTGAGGGACCTTGCAGTTGAAACAGCCACTCCGACGCCGAAGTTTCCCTCGAGCCGCCGACGGCCGGCGCCTTGTGCGTGCCCAGCTTCCGCAGCGACGCTGCGGCGGCAGCCTTCTGGCCCTTCCTCAGCGGGGGCGACTCGGACGGGGAGACTGGTGGCTCGCCTCCCCGCCGGAAAGGAAAAAAAGAAGCAGGCCAAGCAAACAGGGGTGCTGGTGCATCTAAGGTTTTCTTCGTGATAGAGTGATAGACGGAAAGCTACCCCGACAGTTACGGAAGAAGACAGGAGGATGCTTGGAAGACTACCATCCTCGGCAAAATGCGCCTTGTCCGCTTCCAGGGTTGTTGAGAGAAGGGATTGCCTGAAAAGCATTCATCATACAAAACAAAGGACAGGCAAAGTGTTTTGTTGACGCGTATGTGTTAAAAGTATGCTGTCCAGTCCACGCACAGGCCATCAATTCCATGTTTTGTGCTGCTACACGTCACCTTTGATTTCCAATTCAAAGTGAATGTCATATTGGTAAGGTTTCAATGCTAGTTTCAATGTCGGTAACAAAACAGCAAACACACAAACCAACAACCCGCAAACCACTGGCCCTAGCAGTGCGCATTCTTCGAAAGCAAGTGCATGTTGCATCTGATTGCGAAAACAACCCTCCCCAGGACTGACGAGTCTGAGATAGTCCGAGCCCCCCCCCCCCGTAAATAATGACAAACTTCCGACTAATCATGACACTTTCCCACACTAAAGACAATTGCAGGCCTTTTGGTCGGAAGGGGACCGGAGAGTGCTAATGAGATCCGGACAATCACGACAGCTCCCAGAGTCCCTCCAAAATCTCGCCGGTTGATGAACTGCTTATGTTATCACTTTGGCCTTCACATCATGCAGAGGTCACCAACCAACATCAATCCAGGCTGCTTCAGCATCGTTCAGCTTGTCAAATCTGGGCTGCACATCTATTCAAGAGAAGACAGAGACATTGACCCAAATCATCGGCTTCCAGCCCACGAACCCTGCCGCCATGCCTCATATGCAAGTACCTGAGTCAGTGCCGACCGCTTGCCACTGTCAGCATGTTGAATAGGAATCGATGGGTTGCCCTTACTGGCAGTACGCGACAAGTGAGTGTGTGTAGCATCTTAAAGACCACCGACTTACTCGGTTTATGCTGTGGCCATGCTCAAAGTCATCCCCAGCGGTACATGACTTACAAGGGGAGGGCGCATTGATCAACCATGCAAAGCTTCGATCCAGACTCTGATTGAACCTCTGCCGAAGCCCAGTTTCAAGAAGCGGGCACTTGCGAAACTAAACGGTTGAACATTGGCTCATTGCGGGACAAGACTATGAACGAAGAAGTCACTTGGCAAAAGGTTCGCTGGCCAACCAATAGCAGTGCGCACCTTGAGTTCGAAGATGTTGGACTCAAGCTCTCAGCGAAACATGTCTAGCAGTCAATGATACAAAACCGTCTTTCAGTGGGCACCTGACAGCTCAAACGAGTAAACTCCTTTCAGGCTGCCGCAAGAATCTAAGACATGGCAAGGACCTCCCACTTCAGCTGGTGTGTTTGTTAGATCCTTGAGAGGGCCATAGTCCGAAAGGGTGGTTTTCGTTTTGCTCTGTCTCTTTCTGCTCCATGGGGATGTTCTTCCCCTTTGCCCACTCAGAGGTGGCCCTGAACCATGGGAAAGGGCGGAAAGCCTCACCCTTGCTTGAGGTGTTGGCCTCTTTCTGGGTCCGTTTTGGGTTTTGACCATCTTTGGGATTTAGAGGGTGCCAACCCGCCCAAATTGGATCAGGCCGAGCAAGACAATGTCCGGGTTCCCCTCCCTCGAAACCCGAGCTGCTGTGGGGACTCGGGCAGCCACAAGAGCAGCGGCAGCAGCGCTGCTGCCACCAGCAAAGGCCCAAGACCCAGCACAGACCGCCAGGGGCCGCTGGCCAAGAGGACTCCCACCTTACCAACATATGGATGTCAAATTAGCAACGCCCTCCCCCAAAGAACCAGAAAAGCCCCCCCCCCCAAAAAAAAAAAACTTGGAAAAAAAGAAATAGCTCGGATTCCCCTTCGGATTCCCGGTAAAAAGAACAGCCGAAAGGGTAGCCTCAAAAAGAACACCCATATGTGCCGCGGTCAAACGATCGGAGGTTGATATTGATGGTCACCAATCCGCTAAGTTTTCAACAACGACAAGGTTCGAGGGAACTCGAATGGCCCTTTGTTTGCACCATGGCACATTCTGTGGGTGGACAATATCCTGCGCCATTGAGAAGCTTTTGCCACAGGTTTCCACGCTGCGCAGGGTGTTCTTCCATCCCAATTGGGGCAGGACTTTTGTTGACGCCATCCATATCAACCCGAAACAAATTAACTTTTGGGTGTGGTTTACAAGGAATGATGTTTCCATTTTTGGGACCCACACCCACCCAAACCCAAATGGATTGCCCTGTCCGTTTCACATAGATGGCGGCTCCTCTGAAGCGGAAGGTGGGCCACCCCAATGGAAACTCAAGGCCGCCCCTGGAAAGGTCCTTGAAACCTTCTTGGAAAGGTACTCAGAACCTTTCTGGTGGGCCTAAGTTTGCTCTGCATTTGCTCTTCGAGGGAATTCAATCATGGGTCATACAGGCAATGATTTGGCTGCAAAAAACACGTTTGCATTTATTGCCGAATGGAAGCACACAACATTGCGCAAAACAGTGGTAAACTTTACAAAGCCAACGTGTTAAAACAACCAAGGTCGATGCATTCGGTATGTGTTTAACTTTCAATTTGAGAACCCGCGGTAGTCCAATAATTGTAATTGGAGTACCTCTCCTTTGTGTCTCTCTTGTTCAATTACGGTTGGACTTGTCAATCCATGACACATGACTCTTTCTCAGAGCCGCTCTGTGGCATTGAGCCATGCAGTACTTACACGCAAAGTGTTAAGCCATGACATCATGATTGTGGGCATAAGGTTGAGCAGGACCCAGAGAGAACCAGGATCCGGGGATCCGGGGATCCCTCACTTTCGGGAACCTTGATGAAACTCCTGAAGGCTTGTTTATCCCACGACCATGCTTCCCCACTTGCCCAGTGGCTAGTGCGCCCAAGGGCCAGCCGCTTGGGTAACTCGAAAGGTAGGCCTGCGACGAAACGGGGCCAGGACGAATGGGCGGTTCCTACAACGGAAAATTTGAGGATGGTTGGCTCCAATCCCCTTGTGAGGTATCATGATTAAAGGGATGGATCAACAGCGGGGTCATCATGGGACATATTCAACTGAAATGTTCGCTCTTGCAATTGGGTTGTGGCTCCTTCGCGTGCTCCCGAAGTTAGCTGGAAGCCGGGGACTCATTCAAGGCTTCCGGGTCCAAGGAAAAATCACCTCTGCAAGGCGATCCGGAAATGGGGATGAGTTACAAAATATCATAGAAAACAGCTACAGGAAAATTTCTACAGGGCATTTGCCAAAGACCCATCAAACAGTCGACTTCCTGTTGAATTACCTGCTGGTTTTTTAGAACATGGCGACTTTCCAGCCTCCACCTTGTCAGTGGGCAGCCCCTCTGCCATCATCGCTGGCACTGTCACGGAGAAAAGCCCAGTGGAGAGACCCAAAGAAGCGCGCGCCAGGAGCAGCATGTCGAACCTTCCGAAGGTTCCGCACGTTAGGCCCGATTTGGGGCTGCTTAAAGGGAACACCAAAAATAAGGCAAGCAGCTTTTAGTGTTTCTGGTGCATAAAATAGGATTGGTCCCAAAGTCAAGCAAATAAGACTGTAAATGCCCTTTTCATCTGGCCTTTAAGCAAGCCAAGACGAAATCAACACCATACTTATCAAAGTCGGCTACTTGCAAAGTGCCTCGCACCGACCAACATAGAACGCAATAGAATCATTAGAAGCCCCCCTTGAAAGGACAATGGACTAACATAGATAGAACGCAATAGAATCATTAGAAGCCCCCCTTGAAAGGAAAATGGACTAACATAGAACACATTAGAATCATTAGAAGCCCCCCTTGAAAGGAACATGGACTTCCAAGTACCTCCACTCAGGGCAATTTTGCAACCAGGGGGAAGCCTGACCGCTCATGTTCAGCTGCATTGTCCATTCCACGTAAATCCGCCGGCCTCACTTTCTGACTGGATAGGCCCGAAGGCTTGCCTTTGTCAACCAAGTGATCTTGACCAAAAGTATTGAGCCCAGGAACAGGGCGGGAGCACTACACAGCACCCAAACACAAACACAACTAATACAAACATAATGTACATATGCATGCTCAAGGGCCAAAGCAACCCACATGCTTTGCATTGAGCACATCGTCAGCCCCCCAACCAGTTGCTACGGGAGTGCTTTGCAAGGGCTTTTTACTCTGGCCACATGCCCATGTTCAATGGTTTACCTTCAGCAAAAGTATGAAGTCACCTTAAGCTCTTTGGTAAAGGACACTGGCAGGCTTCCTGGAAATACCCGGAAACAATCCGCAACTCTGGGCAAACAGGGTCTCTAACTCGAATACATTCGGTTCCTGTGGAGCACCCTAAGAGCCGCCTTTGAGCGCAGGTCGCACGAATTACTCACCTTCAACCTCCCCTCCGCAGTCCTATTTGAAACCTAGTGGGCGCCCTTCTTCAGGCCATTCCATTCGCGAAATCAGGACCTCCGAAGCCTCCGAAGCCTCCCCTGCCCGCCTGACGGCCGTAAGGATCATCCCAGCGGCGCAGACGGCGTTGACCAAACCGAGCCGGGCCAAAAAGCGGCGGCCCAGCTTGTCGCCCAGGCGGCTGCAAATGGCGAGGCCCAAAGCGTTGCCCAACGTAAAGCTGGTGACCACCTGAGAGCACCCAACGGCCCAAGGCCTTGCTGAATCTGCACATGGGGGGGGTCTAGTAGGCCTCACTTGAACCACGCCCTTTAGGGATGGATGCTTGATGGGTAACAGACATCTCAATGACTCTTTCATCATGTTTTGGGGTAGGGGGGTCCCTTGGTGTAGCAAGTGGAGACCCAAAATCAATGGAGCAACCCGCCGGTCCTTTTTCCTCCCATGCCAACTTGGGGCCCCGGCAAGGCTAGCCTGAGCAGGGCTCACCTGGAAGTCCTCCACCAGCTGGCCCAGGAAGAGGCCCGTGGCCTCAAGCCAGCGAATGCCGATTTGGAGGCGTTTTGGCAGTCTAAACCCTCCACGGTCTCATGCCCGGGGAAAACTCATGAGCCCTACCCCATGGACCAGAAGAAGAACATGATGCCCTTCTCTTTTTGGCCCGTCTTCTCTTGGAGTTCCGTCGAGGATTTGTCGGCTGCCCTTATTTCCCCCTCACCTATGTTGAAGCCAAGCATTCGGAGGGGCAGAGGCCTTGCCGCATTCCCAGGTGTAACATTTCAATATCTTCTACCTATTTGTGCTCTCACTGGGTGGGGAGGGGGGAATAAACTGAGCTCACCATGATGGCGGTCCTTCACTTGAGGATCCCTGTATTCAGGTTTTCTAAGTTGCAGGGAAACAAAGTAAACCACCCAGCTTTGGTTCATGACATGCAAACCTGGCTTACCAAGGCGACTTGGAGGTTTGGAGGCTGGGTGTGGCGAACACACACAAAGATCCGACATCACAACAACTAGCAGCCGAGTTCACCCGAAAGGGGACCCGCCTTTCCAGGCAGCTACTGCAAAAAACTGGCAAATGTATGTGGTACAAAAAGGTGTGTATATATATATATATATATATATAAATATTGGTTTTAACATCGGGGAAACAACATATGGTTGCTGTCCATTTGGTCTCCATTTAAAACTACCAAAAAAGGGTACCCGCAACAAAAGACAGACAAACATGGGACATGGGGTGCGCGCTCCAAAAGGTCTGGAAGACAGTGGTCCCTGCATGGGATTCATCGAGGGATAATCGGGCAAGGTTCGCTCACAGTCATTCCCTAGTGGAATTCCTTTGGAAGATGTATTGCATGTCACAGTCAGGGGAATGGGTATCATTGAAAGGGTGGTTCTCCACCACCATGCACTGATAGAGCCCTTACCCTTCGGTTAGTCTCAACCATTATTCCTGTTTGTTTGCGCATCTTTCCTGGCAGCAGAAGGGGGGGGGTGAGTGGATCTCAGGCGCCCTCCAAGCGGCAAACTCGGGCGTGCAGCTAGCAAATTGGCTGGTGAATTGCTTGCCACCTGGAACTTCTGGAAAACGTAGCCCTTAATAGGCGTGGTCAGCTCAGGGAATCTTGAATCACTGTCAAAAGCCTGCAAGTTTTACGGCAATTCCAAAACATGAAGCAAGGTATGCCTAGATAAAGCACCACCGGTGAGCCCGCCAACTTGGCAGAACTATCCGAGCGGGTCCAAATACTGCACCTAAAGGTCTTGGCTCGAGGGTTAAAAATCCCACCTGGGAAGGTAGTGCCACTTTCACCTAAACAGGCAGCCTTCAGCCATCGCCTCACTGAGAGCCCACCAACCTTTTTATGACTCTCCATTTTATGTTTGTGTAACATCTGTCGAGAACAAGAAGCAGATCCCCACCTTTCTACGACAATCGCCAAAGAAATGCAGCAGTCTTTGGCGAAGGCACCGAGCAACCTGGCACCCGACAGCTTGTCCATCATGGAACTGGAGGCGGGGGGGGGTGCAGCCTCTGAAATCGGCTTCACGCCCTTTCCGGAGAACATCTACCGGAAAATCCCCAACGGTACGGTGAGCCTTCGGCCGCTTGGCCCCAGTGGCCCCTGCCTCGTTGGAGACCCCGGCCATGGCCCAGCACAGGAACCCAGCGCCCAGCAGCGCCAAGTGGCCTTTGGACACCTTCGACAGCCCCACATGGGACATGGGACGTGGGACAATGCATGGGATTTCGGGCCGGGGGGGGTTCCGGTAGGATACATTCGCCAGGATCTTTATGGATCCAAGTCTGGAAACCATGATTCCACTGCGAGCCCTCCCAACGCAAGCTCCCAACGAGAATTGCTCGCTTGCCTTCCCGGCCACTTACATGGTACACAGGAAGCCGGGTGTTAAATGAAGAATCTGGGAAAAACAAGTTGCGCATCGGTTCCTTTTTGAAACAACGTGAGCGGGCTTGTCCTCCTTAGCAAAATGCCCGTTCAATTGTTGGATAAATAACTTTGGGAAATGAGCAAGCTATGGGTTAGTTTATTGACACCCAGGACTGAAACAAAAGACTCCCCCTCCCCCGAAAGGTTGCGAAGAAACTTTCTTGGAGTGTGCTCTAGAAGGGCTCTGAGAACCTTTCTGGGGGCTTGGGGCTGACTAGGCCCTTTAGGGGTCATGGAGCGCCGTTCCTGCAACCTCTTAAGCTCGCATTGACGACGGGGTGTTTTACCGATTGCTTTATCGAGGAATTAGACACCAACAAGTCACACTGTGTTGCTTCACCATGTGTTTGACCATGTGTTTCTATCAAACAAAGTGTTTACCTTTCAAACATTCAACCCGGAAAGCAATGGTTTGCGTCGTTCACACTCGAGGAAGCCCTGCCCAGCTGCCTAGTGGACGCTGCTGACTTGAGCCATGCGACAACTTGCCCATGTCTCATTTTCTGCAGCTGCGTTAACAAATGCGCACTAAGACATCTGGATGACAGGGCTCGTGTGTGCATATTTATCTCAAGGGTTCTACGCTGGGACAGGGCACCCCAAATCAAACGGTTGGGGACTACGATCTGGTGACCCTCTTCAATGCAGACCATTCACTTGGGGACAAAAAGGACCTTAAGTCACCCATCCCCTTTTGGCTGTTGGGGAAAGCCCTTGCCCATTCAGCTCCCAACACACAAAAAGGACACCGCTTTTGACCAAACATTTCCCAACGCGGCCTGCTGCTTGACCTCCTTGACGCTCACCTTCGAGCTCCGGTGCGAGCCTTCGCTTGGGCGCGCTACCGACGACTCCAGGCGTAGTGTAGCGCATCACGGAAGCCCGAGAGACATCCAAAAGTCAGCTTTACTTAAGGAATCCTTAGAGGAGACATGGCGCTCAGGAAGCGATTTTGAGCGCCCAGGGATCGAGACTCATGGGAGGGCCCCAAGCACCGTGGAAGGCCGCACTGCGTTGTTGTTTTTGCAACGGGCAGGGACAGCGAAGATTTCGCGCAACCGGCAAAATTCGGACTCTCACCGAGGCTCGGCATGCAACGGCAAGCGCCAAAGGCGGCACGGTATTCGTCCATGTCAAGGACACCTGGCGATGGGAAGCAAAGGTCTAAGGCCCCTGTTCGTTGCTCACCACAGATCAGGAAGCCGTAAGCTTATTAGTCATGCTAAAAAAGATTGCCGAGACCTTGGGCTGCGCGTTTCGTAGGCCAACACCCTTCCAAAAACCTTCAATAACCCGTAAGCTTGTTTGAGCCATGTAAGATCTAGCAGCTTGTGGGCCATCGGGTGCTGCCAAACATCCGAAAGCATGTGTTGCTCCCCTACATGCTAACATGTCAATAAACAAAAACAACTTTATTTGGGCACTAAGAAAGCACACAGGAAATGTGCGACGCCCTCTCCGCGGGGGTTCTATGTGCCGTGGTTTCGTTAATTTCCATGAAAGCAGAAATATTCCAATGGCTGACGTTGTTCTTCCACAGCTCCACAGTTCAACGTGGAACCAATCAGACACTTCTTTCTGGGGGGACACCCCCTTTTGGGTTCTGTTAGCTTGTAGGAGAGTACAGTTCTGTTTGGTGTGTTGTGCAAACTTGTGTGGAGCGGGTTAACATGGAACCTGACATGGACGTTCTCTGCCTGTTCCTTTGGACACCTTGGGGACCCGGGGCCGGAATGTGTTTGGAGATCACGTCCGAACGATTGATGGCCGGTACCAAAGAACCTGTGCGAGTTGGCCTGGGGCTTCCACGTTTGGGCGGGAAGGCATGCTCGAATCTTGGGAACGCGTTGTGCCAGAATCACTAACATAGAACCTGTTCTGGGATCACAAGAGGCATATGCAACACAATTGTGTGACACGTTTCATGGCTGGGTTCTATGTTAGTCACTTTTCCTCAAAATGGGCTTGACAACGTTCCGCGCCCCGATCCCTACATTCCCCGGGGAACCTAAAAGCAAATCACGCTCAAAAATGGATAGCATGCGCGAAACTTTGGAACTTTTGGCCTCCGTGTCTGCATTACTCTGTGGGGGTGTAATTGAGCATGTTGGGGCAAGAAGCCATCTGGACATCGAACATACTGTTGCAATTTCGAAGTTGGACACGTGTAGTAGGGAAGTGTAAAACATCAAACAGCATACTGCTGGTGGGAGCTAGCAATAAGAGAACATCATGCTAAAAATAGAAATGGACATGCCTGGTAGGGAAGTGAATGAAACTAGACATGTGAGGACATTGCGCCGTTAGTCCTGTCTAGTAGGCAACCCAGCTGGCAAAATGGGGAAATGTCGGTCAAAATTCGCAGAACACCCGTGACAGCAAAGGAGGCCCAGCACCAAACTCCCTGGGCATGCGCAAGGGATGGCTCCCTTCCAAACAAAATAGGAAGAAGCGGTGGACTCCTCTGCAGCCTTTGGCATGACAGGGTTCTACCCGACAGAGTGTCAAGCATCGAGAGGGGTGTCTGTCTCTTCAATAGTAGCTAACAGGCAAATGGCAGAAGAATGCTCAACCACTCCATGGCTGCACAACGGCTTACCCATCTGGGTCCCTGGTTGAGGCTTGCTTGATCTCGCGTTCCTCCCACTGCGCGCCTTTGCCTTTGGGCATCGGCGCGCTCCTCGAGTCTGGGGCGCCGGCGCGGCCGGCGCCACGCTCGGGCGGCTTGGGGCGAACATTGCGCCAAAGGGAAAATGGTGGGGCGAGCCGGCGGCTGCGAACAACTTGGGACACGTTGGGCTCGCACGCGGCAAGAAAGAGCCCCAGGCAGCATGCCAAGAAAACGATGCGCTTGGGGGACAAACACCTGGATTCAGGGGGTCTGTTTGCCATCTTTTCTGAGAAAAAATGGGTGTGACCCCCAAAAAAGGAATCCTTCACTACGATAAAGGTCGCCCATTTTCTCAGAAAAGCGGTGGGGTCGCCCAAACTTTCTCAGAAAAAGGTGGCAAAAAGGACCCCCTCACTGCCTGGAATTCGCTGCCAAGGCTCGAGGCGCTTTTGCTGGAGCAGCTTCCAAACGATACGCCGTGCCTGTGGCTGGTCAAGGGGAGAGAAACTGACCAGATCGTCTTCTCGCAATCAACATGGGGGCTGCAAGGGGTCGTCCACACACAATCGGCTCTGCAAAGGGATGTTTTGAAGCAGCTGGCACCTGGGCGACGTTTTTGCCAATTCGAGAGGCAACTAGGTCCTCTCTAGTAGAGGGGTTAGAATAAGGGTACCCTTTTTCTGCCGTCTATTTTGGTAGGGGAACCCTCCCCCCAAGAAGGGTAAAAGGTACCCTTCCTCCCACTTTGCCATGGCACCTGTTACCTGAAAGATCAGTTTCCTCTTACAGGAACTCGCTGTGTGCCATGTTTGTGGGAGGGAGGGCACATATTGATGGTAAACGAGTATGAAACAAAATCCTGTTTACTTCAGTCAGCTCATTTCAAGCTAGTTTCTCCCTTCTTCTCTGTGCCCTGGCCCTAACGCTCTCATGATGATGTGTATCCATCTCATCCAGGAAGCCCTTAATCATCGAGTGGAAGTGATTACCCCGTTAATCGCACCCTTTTGCTTCCCCAAATGAGCAATAGAAATAACAAATCTACAGTCCTCCCAGCAAGCTCTGAAATTAATAAGCAAAAACCTGCACCAAATCACTTCCCCGTGAAATCGTTCTCCTAGGTTGTTTCCTGATCCCACCCACACACACACACACGCATAGTCTCGCATAAGGCCCCAGTGCCAGTGCAAAAAGCATGAACTTCTCCAAATGCCCCCTAAGCTTGAGGTGTTCCATATTATGCCCGGTACAAACTAGTGATGCTGAAGGATGGGTGCCTTAAATCGACGAATGGCCTCAATCTGAGAGGCAAGTTGGACAGGCAAGGTCCAAATTTGCCCAAGCAGGCCTCAGGCTTGAAGCCTGGGATACACCTAGCCGTACTCACCCAACATCTGAACGCGATCGCGTTTTGCACGCAAGCGTGTGTGGCCATTGCTGCACGTGCTAGGATTTCTATGGGGGCTCTCCACTTCCGCGATACCACTGGAAGGCATACTACATGGTCAACTCTTCCCTAAAATAGACTAACTGTTCCCTGGTATCAGAAAAGCGTCAATCGACCCCAGCCCTCCCTTTTTTTGCATGGTTCCGAAAGGGAATCCTGAAAGGACACCGAATTTGCCCCATCCTTTCAAGGCAACATGAGCTCACCCATGAAGGTCCTGCACGCGGGGATGAAACTATTATAGGATTCTTTCACTGACGGATACCATTTGTGGAATATGCGGGCCACTTGCGGGCCTAACAGAAAGACTGTTTAGATGCCCCATTTCGAAGCGTACATGGCAGCGTTTTCCCTGCCATAAGCCCTGCCCCGAGGACCACTGCTATCAGCTCGGCTCCTTTTTATTTCACCCGTGGAGGTCTGGCTAGCACGATCACACAGCCCATCCAAAGCAAAACGCGGGGTGAGAGTGTGTTGGGGGAAATCTCTGGGTGTCGACCAGGCTGCCTCGTCTTCCTCGATCATCCCGTTGCCGTTGAGGTCGAAACTGCCACAGAGCATCCCTTTGCCCCGGGTGCCACATGGGGCCACCCGTTTGCAAACCGTTTGGGTGTCCGCTTGAACTATGACTATCGAGAGGGACTAGAACCAACTTCTCAACTCCTTGTGGCTTCCTTCCGGTTCTTTCGGTCAGCCCCGTCAGCGTCCCCAACCACGCCTTTGATGCCATTTGCGGGGAACACCGGGGCACCCTACGTCTCCCGCGACAAAGCAGCCCCCTTCCGTCCCGACGCACGGGGCGATACATTTGCTGATTTCCTTTCGCTTCTTTGCGGTTGGCAACTTTGAATTATTCTTGTGAGCGAATCCTTCAGCATCGTCCGGGATATGTTGAGTCATGCAATGTCGAGCCCATATCAAAACACTCCGCGGATTAAAAGGAGGGTCATTGTCATCGCCCACAACAATCCGGATCCTCAAACTTAGCTAACAACATGAGCCGCCTCTATTTCGCATCCCCCACTTCTCCAGTCCGTGCACCTTTTGGGAAGACAGCAACCAATCCGCTCAGAAGAAACGCATGGTGACGCTGTCGGTCCGCCTCTCGCAGACCTTCTCCGCCCCAGCGAAGAGCCAGGCTGGCAGGCCCAGGCCATGAGAGGTGAGGCCCAGGACCTCCTGGCGGAACGGCGCCCGATTTTCCTGGGGGAAATGGAAGCGGCCGGGGGGAATCAATTCCATGTTTGAGTATTCTCCATGAAGGAAACCATATGAATGGAATTCTCGGGGTTAATTCCATGTGCTCACTCGTGGGCGAGACGTACTCTGATGATGGAGGAAACCTAAGGCCTCGTGCCCACATCCCAAAGGCAAGGTTCAATCAATCTTCTTGGAAGGGCGCCCGAGTGTTCTGAGAATCGCTCTTGAGGCTGCAATGGCTCCAGTGTCCCTCCTGGCGTGGAGCCTGACCAAACGGTGGTATACAAGGCTTCAACATTTTCAAAGAAGACACACGAAAGCAGCAGTTCAAGCAGGCTGCAGGCAAGGCAGGCAAGAAATGCCTAAACTCATGAAGAAAGAGGCTTGCATAAGTAGTCTTTGGTGTATTTCATTCCTAGGGGGAAACAAACGTGCGCAATTCATCCATCCCCTCTCTGGGCTTCCTACAGAAAAGTGACATGTAAGGGATGTTGCCACCATCCAGGAGGGCGTCGCAAGATTTTGGGGATTCAAAGTCTGAATGGTTTGAGCCACTCTGACCTTATGTTTTGTCAAGGCAATCATGAAAGCTGTGGAAACCCACTAAAAAGTGCTCACTCAGGTGCGCGAACGTGTATTTCACGAGCTCGCCCTGTCCTGCAACTTTACATGTATATTTGCAACACCTGCTTTTTAGTGGACCCTCCCAGCAGCAAACATGGAAGTGCACAGACCTCTTTGGGGAAGACAACTGTCAATCTCAAAAGGATTCCATGTTTGCTTGTCCCTTTGCCGAGGGTGCCAATCGGAAGCTGGCCCTGCTTCCATGGGCCAGACAAGGTGAACCAAACCATCGCGGGACATTGAATCACAAGGCTAACAAAAGGACCCGACCACAAGCAACCATGGAAGCGCAAGGGCTTCTTTTCAAGATGGACAGTAGTCTTCCAAGTCTTTTCTCTACAGCGGTCAAAAGTCAAAAGGCCGGCCGAATTTGGAATAAACATATCCTTCCCCTACGCCAAGATGCCTGCAGCTCAGTGATACCTCGCAAAGCGGCTGGACATGCTCGGTCATGAGTGCGCCGAAAGAGGCTGAGAACCAAATTGATCAAAGCGACTTTTCACATGCTCTTGGACTTGCTTGGGGGCTCGTAAGTCCTAAGTCCTAAGATTGTGTGATGGTTTGTACAGCCCGGGCCGCAGGAAAACATCCCATGCTGCGGGGCATCAAGCTACAACCATGGATAAGTCCACACATATGCAAGTACGCTACCGCGTGACACGGCTAAGGCAGGTAAGCCGCACGGTATCACTTGCAACAAGGCAAGAATGACAAATGACTATATTGTTCTTTATGCTTGGCGGGCAAGAAGCAAGGCATGTTGAAAGGATACCTCCCATGCAATCAGTACTGTATGTGGACTCTTCAACATGTCACATTGCCCCCAAACCGTCATTGGCGTGAGTGCCTCCTCACCCAATTCTGGTGGTGTTTGAGTTGGTTTGCCCAAGTGTCTTCCCTTTCTCATGGTAATTGGCGGTGAACATGTTGCTCGTGCGTTTCGCATGTGAAAGGCTTCGATTGGCTTTAGAGACAAACAAATAGCACTGGATTGCAACGTCAACAGGCCACCATGTCTGAACCCACCTGCCAGTCTGTGCCAGTGAGGCACGATAAACAAGGTGTGCGCTCCAAAGCTGCAATGCTTCTACACCATGCTCCTCCCTTGGACCTCCGCATGGTTCCCTGCCTGGGCCACCCCAACATTCTGCACTTACCCAAAGCGGAACGCGAGTCTGGGAAAGGGAGCTGGGCGTTCTGTAGAAATGAAGCCAGCGCTGCAGTTGCTAGGATGTATCTTAAGGATGCCAACAGAGTGTGGCTTCCAGGACACAGGGCCCCTGAAGCATCCCGACATCACCTGCTCCGACTGGCCAGAGTGATGCCAACATAAACATGTATTCTAGTTGTGGACATATATACAAATACTTTATATGTATGAATAACAACGTCTACACCAATTCCAAGACCTGAAGAGAGGGATCCCCAAGCAAAGGGACACAAAAGTGGTTGCAGGTTTTCCAGCTCAACATGCCAACCAGCTCCAAGGCGCCAAGGGCCCCATGCCTGGCGGCGGCAGCGTAGCACTTGGACACCTCAGTGCGGACAAAACAACTGGGCTTCTCAACAGGGTGTCCATTTTAGGAAAGTGGTGGTTCTTCAAACATGGGTGTTGCTCAAAAAGGGTTGCCCTTTAATTTGGTTCTTCAAAAATGGGTGTTGCTCAAAAACAGTTTGAGACACGACCCTTGGATGCGGGAGAAGGTTGCTTAAGCACCTGCTGGTGGACCCGTGTAATTTGAAGGGGACCCTGGTGTGCAACTAGCATTTTGCGTGCCCCATGTTTAAAGAAACATGGCCACATGTCAACTGCATTTCACAAGGGGGTCAGAAAAGAGAACGGCAAGGGCTGGGAACCAACGAATGTTCTCAATCGACCAATGAAAGGCAAATCGGCAAATCAACAAACAAAAAATGAGCATGAAAGGGCCGCAACGAAACACAGAAAACGATATAACAAAGCGCCCAGCAAGCGACGAAAGGAACACGAGGTCAAGAGCCAGACTGAGGCCAAGTACCGGGGAGTACAGGTGATGTTTCATCACCGAAGAGGAAATTGCCCTAATCAGCCGCTGAAAAGTCGTGGCAATGGCCAGCCCAATCAATGTGTTCGAAAAGCGCCTCCGGATGCCACCGGGCATCAGCATGGATCTTTGGGCACATACCCCCGCCCACCACCCCAGGAAAGGTTCGGAAAAAGTTCTGATCGAAAGGCTCTTACATCCTTTTGTGAGGTAGGATATTTCGTTCGTATGTACTAAGAAATTTAAGCAAAGAAACATGAAGCATGAACAAACGCGCAGCTTTAGGCTGTTTGCGCATGAAGATTGTTCATGAAGTCGCGTACGCGTCTACACTTCGGCAGATTGGACCTGGATACATAGTTCCGTATCTCGGTATCTTGCTCAAAGGGAAGATGTACGCTGCTAAATGACAAGTCACGGTGCTCACCTACCAAGTGCAGAATTGTCTTCCCGACGGGCCTCAGTTGCTATGAGTGAGCCAAGCCAGGCCCGTCACGAGTTCGGACACTTGAGGAAACCGCTTTTCGAAAGCAGCTGCTTGCAAAACAAGTGGCTACGCCACAGGTGGCATCCTTCCTGCAGCGCGCGAGGCTCATCTTGAACACAAGTCCAGCTGACAGAGCGAATCACGGGATATATTCGCATATATATCATGTATAGTTCGCTACCCCCAAGTCAGAGAAAATGCATGGTTCACGACTTGGATTTGGCCAAACAAACCCGAACTCTTGCTGTCTTCCCAAAAAATCAAGTACAGGAGCTCAGTAGAACTCAGGGAGTGAGAGGTGCCTCAAGCCTACCTGGTGCGCCGGCCAGCGATGGAAACCGGGGTGAGTTTTGGGAGGTGGGTCAGGAAGAATTAACCGAAGGTCAACCAACTTGCGCGAATTGCTCCTGGGGTATGCTACGCGAAATCCTTCTCTCTGCGTGCTCGCGGGGCGTGCGCCTTGCAACCCAGATGCTGGTCCAGGCACTTGTCGATTGCCGTCACCAATGCAGCCTTCTCCCGCGACATCTCTGGAGGCAGCGCTCCCCCGTGCTATTCTGATACGTAATGGTTCCGCACAATGTTGAACAAACAGGATTTGGAATTCTCTACTAAGCCGAGGAAAACCGTCTCAAGTCGTGTAGCTGTCTAAGTCCCTCAAGAGTTTTAGAACAATGAATTTGGTGGAGGGTCGGCTTCAAGCCAATTGCGCGCGTGAGGGTCATTCGTGATTCTGACAGAGGTAAAGCTCCGTCACGTTTAGCTCACGGAGAACAAACAATATCAAACGCAACTCCTTCCTGAAACCGCTTCTGACATCCTCTGGTCCGCCCTTGGGAAAAACATGGCTTGTGCATTGAACCACCTTGCCGAGCAACGGCATGCTCCCAAAAGATGGCCTGTCTTCATTCAATCCAGCCCTGCAACCAGTTACGCATGATGGTGCCATCAGGCTACAGTATTTCTCTCATGCCCCACGCTCCGCGCGGTGTTGGGGTGGAAGCTGGCCTGCTGTCTGCCAACAACTGTGCTAAGCAGCGCAGCGAATGTGGCGGCATCATCCTGTTCAGAGTGACCTCACACATGCAGTCAGCAAGGGCTCTTACAAAACCATGTTTGCCATGGCATTCAAAGTGCACGTGTGCAGTGATATCGTTGACCTGAGTTGATGCCAACCCTGTCCCAACCAGTCAGTTTCTGCATCTGAGCTTGGCCCAACTTGGCCATGGATCTGGCTAACTGAAACCAGCGAACTTCGCTGATGTCCATGTTTCTTTTGCTGGGGCATCCTTTCGGCTTCAGCCCACTTCCATGTCCAATTGCGTCTGATGAATCCTGAGGACCTAAGAACTTCTTGGGGCAAGCCCCCCCCCCCGTATACATGGAGCATTTGCATGCCAGAACGAGCTCATGAATCAGCAGCGGACATGATACGAGCCCTTTGCTCACTCCCAAAACGGAATCAACCTCAGCACTCAGCAAGAAGCCTTGGACTTGCACGTCAAACAACTTTAAATCAGCGATCCAGAACACACAACACAAATCACGACGAGGTCTTGACCTCTGAAAACCGTCAACCGTCTCAACCGTCTCCCGATCTCCCCGCGCTCTCCCCGCGCTTTCCCCGATCGCGCACGGTGCTTCAACCTCAGAAGGTCTCGTCTGCTCGGCCCAAAGCCACTTGGAACTCCGAGGGGTTCGCCTGATCGACGGGAGTCGGCGAGACCGAAGCCGAAACAAATCCAATGACCGAGGAAAAAGAACTCGACCGCCCACTCAGAAACAAACCTTGGACAGAACCTTCTTTGAAGGGCTCGTAAAAGGACTTGAACCTTCCATCTGAAGCAAATAGAAGAAGTGGCGCTTGTCAGATCCCAACAAGGAATGCACTATGGGTTCCTGGGATCTCTCTCCATTTGGATTCTTGCCGACCACCCACCCCACGCCACCCCCCAAAACCAAGGCGATGTTCACAGTTTTAACATGGGCCCTTTGCCCAAAAGATGCCCAAAGCACCGAAAGAAAGGCTAACCTTGTGGGACCTTCATCGGAAACTGGTTCAGCACCCTTCCAGTGTCTGTTTCGCAAATGGGGTGGGTGCGTCTCAAAATAGTTGCCCCTCCCCCAAACTGGCCAGTTTCCTCTAGTTCCCTCTTACCCCGCCAGAAACACAAGGCCCACGATTTTGAGACCCACACCCCGGCCTGTGCCTCCCGCGAAAAACGTGGAAACGCCCCCCTCCCCCCCACGCCTTGAGCACTTCACGAATCAGCGCCTCCGCGCTGGAAGTCCTGGCGATGGCTTCGCGGGGGCAACTCCTGCCCCGAGGGTGTCTGGAGGGAAAAAGGCGCTGTACCCACAAACAACACGGAAGATTGGAGTTGACGGGTTTTTAGGTCAGGGTATTCTAGCGTGTAATCCTTCCTGTCGTTTTTCGGACCCGCTGCAGAGTAGTGTTCCTGCCCACGGTGCGGAGAGCAAGTTCAGGTGGACTGAGCCAATTCAGAGGGGAGCATTCTGCGGGAGAAACAAAAGGGGCCCACTACACAAACTGGATTAAGGGTTCCCTAGTCCTGCTCCCTCATCTGTAGTGGGGCATTGATTTTGAACAATCCTGCACCTCTGCATTTCCAAGTTCCAACACGTGAACAACGTATTTGAAGCCTGGCTCAGAGCAGCCACGCTCGCTCCTCCTGCCAAAGATCTGAGACAACAGGAAGCGAATGAGTACACACAACTGCTCTACAACAACAGCCCATCACAATCCTGCCAAAGGGGACGATGGGAATGCAGAACCGGGACTTGCGGTTGGGCACAAAACGAATCGGCGTCAAGGACAATCCTTGCCATGGTCAAACCTTGCAATGGTTGCCCCAAATCTCAACAAACAGCAGGGCATGCAACAGGTGACTACCTTACTCGATGTTGAGCACCAGGTTTAGAGCGATCTAACATGGTGATCCTTTAGTGTGGATCTTTAAGCAAAACAACTTCACTCTTCTTGGGTGCAAACAGGACGGCAAGCCCATGATTGATAAATCATGTTCTCATCTGTTCCCATGTGCTGCATGTCAGGGTGGTCCCTTTGCCAGGCACCAAGTTCGCAACTGGAGGAAACCTGCGCATTTTGGGGGGCATCAAACATTTGTGCAAGCAAAAGGTCCAAAAGGGACGGCCCTGGAAGCCACACCCAGAAAATCAGCTCCCCCCCAATTTGTGGATTGTGGTTTGAAGGTTAGGGGGTGGTTTCCCATTTACCTTCTACAAGAGCCAGGGTCCAAACTCTCCCAAGCCGGTTACCTCGAAAACCTTCCCCCGATGGAGAGAAGGGAATGGAGGAGATTAAGCCCCACCCACCTCACAACCCCCGGCAGGTGCCTCCCCAGAGTGGCGCGCAGCTTCAGCGCTGGGCCCTCGCGTTCTCGGCGGTTCCTCCGCCAGGGTTGCGGTTGTGGAGATGGCACTTTCTGCGATATTGAAATGGGAAAGCTCAACGACTAATCCCATTCCCCGTACTAGTAATGGAAAGGGACCCCCTAACTAAAAACAGCACCTTCCCATGAACAGAAAACAACACACAAGAAACACAACTTTATCCAGAGGCCCGAGTTCTGGGCTGTGCTCTTCGGCGCTCGTCTAAATACGGTCTCCCCTTTCCCGGCCCAAACCAAAACAGCAATCTCCGAGTAAGGAAATTGAACAGCTGACATGGTTTTTGGACTTTTGTATTGGTTTAGTAATGGCTTTGTGTTGGTGTCCTAGGCTTCGAATTGGCTATTGTAAATTTGGCATTCCCGAACTTGGAATTTTCGGGAAGTCTGAAACAAATTATAAGGGGAGGACCTTTATGAGGAAGAAGGGATTGCTTTGTCACTTTCAAGGGATTCACTCTGTATCTTATGAGCCTAAAAACCTGTTTCCCACAACCATGCTGCTGGTTCCCTTTGTAGGGGACCAGCTGGTTGTTCCAACCAATTTGGCCCGTGTCCTCCGCCCCCCCGTGGTTGGAGGATCAGACGGCTGCAGGCGACTAAGATCGCAGGGCACACGGATGCCGTCACCCTCCGCCAGATCCTTGAAAGCGCACGCCCAAGTCAAGTTGTTCAAAACCCATGGGTTGCATTGAGCCCGACACCCCAGCGCAAACAGTCGGCACAACTTGGAAGCTCCTTTTGGTTGTGGTTGATCCAACCGGATGTTTTTTTTTGTGTTTGTTTAATATATATATATATGTTTTTTAGTGGGAAGGGCAGGGTTCAAGGTTTACAAGCTTACCGAGCTTAACCTATTACCTTGGTTCCAGCACTGAACAAAAAACAACGATGAACGATTGAAAGCTTGCTCATCAGCAAGTGTGACTGTTTGGATGTGTCCTGAATTGGGGGCCAGCGCGTTACCCTTCCCTTCAAACCCAAAAGGGGACCCACAAAACATGGGGTCCCATCCCCGAACATCCCAAGCATACTTCTCTTCCACATTGTCCATATAGCCAATCAATGATGATAGCCCGCGCCCTCTCATTTCAAGGTGTTTGAGCAGGTATCCTGCCAAGATATCCCCCCAGTCAGAATACATACATGCATATATTGATCCACTGCAAGAACGTGGTGTGACCGGAAAACAGCAAAGCTGTCAGCTCAAGGAGTCCTCCTTGGTGAATGTCGACCCCGGATTCCCCTAAAAAATGGGACAGTCCAAGAGCAATCCAAGCACATCACACAAGTTGAAAATAACGAATCCTGAAATAGACGGTTGTCATGGGTAAGCTCGTCTTGCACCAGGTGAGCTCTGCATACTGTCAGGAAGTGGATGTACGCACTTGGATGCGTGATATTGTGGGTTGTCCTAAATTCTCGTTACGATCACGTCTCGCAAGGACGGCTTGCAGCTGGATGTCACTTGATGTCTAGCAACCCGAAACCTGTGGGGAATTGCATGTCTGGCCGCGGTCTGTTGGCGTTTTCCCAATTGTGGGACATACCCCCTTGTATGAGAGGGTGGGTTTTTTGAAAGCCATGAAATATATGCACATGGGGCTTGTGTATGTTTAGCATGTATGTAGCATGTGTGGTATGCTGTGTAGATGTCTAACTTGCATCCTGTCTGTAGTTGATTTTGCTTACCTGCAAGCTATCCAGCAAAAGGTATGTTCGAGCGCAATCGAGCACATGCTTTGCAAACCTTGCACAGTCCCAGCATACCTGGTCTGTCACTGGCATGTCTCAGCAATATTCCTAGCTTGGACATTCTAGCTCCAACTAATTTGCAGGAATTAAACTTATCATGTGTTTTTTAGTAGTTGCCTAACATAGCCCTAGCGTGTGGCGTCTAACATGTCTACTGCATGTCTAGCTATTCTATCCGTGCCTACCAGGGTCAGCTCTTCCTTCTATTGTATGCACAGCTCTATGCCAAACTCACAGCATGTATGGCTACTAAGTCTAGCATTGAGACTTTGGGTGCATATGTCTAGCCTGATGCCCACGTATTTGCAGCGTGTTTACCATGCATCTAGCACATAGACGTCTCAGCATATGACTGCTGAAGTTTCTGTTAGATTATTGTCCATGATGTGCATGCCCGGCGTTGGTCTTGCATCTTCCTATCATGTCTTTGGTATGTATCAAGAACTCGCGTAACTTACACGGGTTGAATCGATTACGAAGTATGTCCAGTTCAGTCACTTCCCAAACAAGTCTACCATGTGCCAAGCATGGTTCTAACATAGTTCTAGTTTCTAAAGTATTTGCTCCATCACTTCTCTGCTATCCGACTTGTTTTAGCACTGTCTAGCGGCATAATGCCGAACTTGTTTAGCACATATGTGTGTGGTATGCTCCCATCATTCGGATAATATTCTGCTAGCGTCATACATCTATCATATGTCTAGCGCATGTCTACACTGTTCAGCACATGTCTAGCTATGTTGTTTGAGTGCAAGCAATGAAGACCAAACCAACCTTTCAGACCCTATGTATCCTTGGCTGACATAAGGTCAGAAACTGTCTTTGCATTTTTGGGAAAAACATGTTGCGTTCTCTATGAATAGCTGGAACAATGCATGAACAAAAACCCACTCCCCACCCCTTTGCCATGAAGGCCCATAAAAGGCCCCTCTGTTTCAACCGCGGCCCTCCATTTCTCATTCGCGGCGCCCAGCTGAAGTCCGCCGGCACGGCGACCAGTGGCCGCACCTTGGGCAGCAGCTGCTCCAGCTTCAGGGGGAAGAGCTCTGGCGCAGCATCCTCCTCTGGGCACAGCTCCCGCAGAACCGCCTAGCGCCCGAGACGGCTGACCCCGAGACGCTTCTGAACCTCGAACTCCAAGGAGGAGTCCCGAAAAGTCGGCCATACCCTTGAATTTGTGAGAAGGTATGAGAATGTCCACTAAATGCGGCTCCGCTGAAAAGGACGGGCTTCTTTCTCCGCTTTAACCTGCTAAATCTTGCCTCTGGACCCTCGCCCTCGAAAAGTATTTCCTCGGGTACTTGGACTCGGGACAAGGACCACAAAGCGTGGAACTTGTTAGGCCTATTCCAAGGAAAAATTGTGATTGACTTTGGGGGCCAACCTGCAGGGGATATATACACAGTATATACATCCTAATAAGTATATATATATAATATATATGTATAAATACATATATCAGTTGTACAAGGTAAAAGTTGACAAAAGGAGAGATGCTCCTTTCACATCTCCCACTCAAGGAACCCTCTATGGTCAATTGCTGCTTCCGGTGTTCAACCACTGAATAGGAGCTGGGTGCAGAAAGTCTGATTGCGGACCCACTTTGGTGCACATCAGTTGCATGGCATGCAGATCCAACATGTTTGGAAGCAAACCATGATTGCTTGTTGTTTTTGTTGGGGGGTATGGGTCCACATCCTAATGGGGGAGAACTCCGCTGGGTGAAGGCAACAACCCAAACGTCATTTTGAGAAACTCGAAACATCTTCAGTTTGTGCGCAAACCAACGCCAGTTGCGTGCTTTCAACCAAACGGCAAGCCCTCCATGCTGAAAGCCCTGCCGATTTTGACAAATCATTGAGCTTGTGCATTCTTGAGAAGACCCTGTTCACCTTGTTTCTTGATCGGGCAGCCAAATGGACAACCCAACTTTGGGGGGCTCACACCCTCCCACCGACCAAAATGGGTTGGTGCACAGACCCCCTGTAATTAAGACAGACTTTCCTCTTGGAAACAGCCCCGCTTTGCCCTCCCACCAATTCAAAGAAACTCCCTTTACAAGGAAACTCTTCCAGGACCCCCCGAACGTCAGGTTCCACAAGGCTCCCAATATTTCCCCTTAAAACATCACCCCCACCAAGGGATACTCGCCTTTCATGGGTTACAACCACCAAAAAGTGAAATACAGGGACGCCTCTTCCATGTTAGGTGGAAGCTTCCCCAACGCGCCCCGGCGTCCCCGGTTAAGACGCGCGTCGCCTCCATGGAGAGGCGACCCCCGCTGAAGGGCACCGCCTGTGAAGGCCTCGGCAGCGGCAGCACCAGGTCTCGCAGCTGCCACCGCTCCTCGCAAAAATGTCTCACCGCCTTCCGAACGAGTTTTTTGCGTGGTGGTTCTTTGGATGGAGGTGTTAGGATTTTAGGCCCTTCGGAACTCACAAAGTGAGGTGTGGAAAACGAAGGTGAAAAGCCTCCACACGTGGGGAAAGCAGTGATTCCTGAATGAAGCTGGGTTCTTCAAAACGAAGCTATGCGGAGGATGCACTACACCATGTCGGGGGGGGGCCTTATGCTCTCTATCAGGGAATTGCTTTGTGGCAAGCCAGCGAGCAAAGTGTGTTCAGAATTGGCGACTGCGACAGATTGGCGAAATTTGGCAAAACAGCTCAGACCTTCCCAAGCTTTCGCGCACTGTTTTGGGGGGTTGTGCGCAAGTTCTGTGATTTCCTGTCCAAAAAAGATTCAATTCTAGCACCTCCCTTGTTGGTGGGAGGGTACCCTTGCCAAAGGAGGACAGTAGCCAGCGAACATGACTCAAATAGTGATGCCTTCCCTATTTAAGAAACTAGGGGTCCCTTTGAGACAATAAACTTGAGTCCCACTAACATCTTAGAACCAAACTGAGCTCAGCGGCATCGAATTATGCGTTGAGCCCAAAGTACACCTGAGCCATGCACTTGCCCACAGAAAAATGCGGCCAGGCGAACCTTTTTGGGCCGTGAAAACTGCGGGCAACCAACCGTTGGCGCCCTGGTGAGTGCTCCTGCTACTGCTGCTACTGCTGCTACTGCTGCTACCGCGATTGAGATTACGAAGCTTAGGCAACTCCCCCCTGCATCCAAACACGCAAGCTATATGTCTATATATATATACACATACACATATACATACATACATAATAACATAACACACAACATGACATAACATAACATAACATTACATTACATTTTATATATATACGTATATATATATATAATGTGTATTATACAGCCACATGCCAGGGGCAAGCTGCGTATATACCTCCAAAGCCCTGACCCTTCGCACGCTTTCGCAACAACTGGTGGCAAACAAAGACCAAAATGGGCAAAACATAGATCCTGTGGGCACTTCTCTCGCTTGGGTGACCTTGTGCTTAGCCCCAAGCCCGTAGAGGCCTATCAAACTAGCTGGCTACGGACCCCTCACTCTCTCTCTCTCTGGGCTGGCTTCATGTGGTTGCCCATTGGAATTGTTCGAGCATTGGTGTTGACACCCCGCCAGACATCAAATCACATTGAACCTATTGTCTGTAAACACCCCTGCCAGGCTCCCCGTCCTCATGGACTTCCTTTGCTGTAACAGGACGAGGCTCGCCAGCTTTCCTCGGCTTCGCAGCTTATGTGTCCACTAGGCAAACAGCACCTCTCATCAACCGGATGCTCTTCCGGGATGAGGGCGGCAGAAGGCCAGCTCTTCTGATGCCGAAGTGGGCCAACCTCATGGCGACCCTAGCAGGGTAAAAGGCTGCCTTCGTGGCAGTCTAAGGAGGAAACAAATTGTCTGCGTGTCGTTTGCCAAGAACCATGTTGAACAAAAACTGGACACAGACATCGCGCTCCTTATCAGAGAGGTCGGCCTTTGCCTCAGGCAAACCTCACTTCCTCTGCAGATTGCTCAGAACAAGTCCATAGTCCAAAATGCCTAAGGTCCAGGGGAGTGAGAGGGGCGAATGGGGTTGCGGAATGTGAGTCATAATCAACATCTAGCATGAAACTGGTGAACCCAGAACCATGTAAGGAGGGAAAAAGGCCGCTGCACCCATTTGTGATCGGGTTTCTTCCTTACTAACCTCCATCTACCCGGGCTTTGACTGTGGCAAACGCGCGCTCCCCCAGCTCCAAGCTGAGGGGCTCGTCGAAGACCAGGTCCCCTGGCTGAGGCTTCAAAGGCAACGACTGCAGCCGTAGCGCCGCCGCGCGGTTCCACGCCAGGCCTAGGGTCAAGTTGAGAGCGCTCCTATGCTGCCAATGGCCAGTTGCTCAACATCTGGCCGATGAAGCTTCTCCAAACTGTAAACCATGGAAGTAGGCAAGGGGCTTCCACAAAAGCGTCTTCCAAGGCTCTGGCCAAAAGATGCCAGCATGTCAAGCTCCTTTTTGGGGACCTGCGCCTGGGTTTTCATGTGGGGAAATTCCCTCAGCTGCATGAGAAGGAATATTAAACGCGGGGTGCCACAAAAAAAATCCACGACACCCAGGTCCCTTCCAGCGCATTTCTTTAGACCCCACCAAGCCCAGCGCCTCCCCCAATGGCCCAAGCCGAGGGGCGGCTCACGGCGCCCAGGTAGCGGCTCCAGTCGGCCCGGCTCAAGGACTTCACCAAGGCTTCGTGGGCCGAGCGTTTCAGCAGCCTATCTGATGGATCGGATCTCAGGCAAGCCACACGCCAAGCACCAAGCAAACAAAAAAAAAAAAAAACGATGGAGATTTCGTGATGTGTGAGCTGGCTGATTTTACGCCTTCCTTAGGTAAGTAGCCTTCGTCATGAGCTGGTTTTACGCCTTCGTAGTGTGTTCAGGTCAGTTCAGGTCAATACTCAGCACTTTGGCCTTGTTTGTAGGAGCTTCCGCCAAAAGGAGCGTCGATGCCCAAACATGCATGCGTAGTTTGGGGCTCAATTAGGACAAATGCAGGGGGTGCTTAACTCGCTTCCTCCCTTATCATTTTAGGAGAGGGTCAGTATTTAGAAAAGTACCAACGGCCACGGGTCGACCCAGGAGAGGGCCCTGCGTGGAGAGTTGAAGAGGGACTGGCCGGTTGAGTTGACTTATCAAAACGAATGGAATTTGTGGGCCTGTGATGATGAGGAAACCCACTTCCCCACCAACTAACCTGAACCCTGACTGAAGAGTCCTGGCTTGGACCATGTTCCTCTAAACGGACATTCTGGCAGGTTCCGCAGTGGAAGGGTCCGCCTTGACAGGAAAAAGGCAAAAGGGCCTTGTGGTCCAAAATCGGGGGCCTTTCCTTCAAGGATGTTGGATGGTCATTGGTCAAGCAGTGGTGACCATGGCGAGTTATCCCAGCCTGCCCCAAGCTTCCTGGGCCTGCGAATCATAGCCTATAGCTGGCCCTTTTAAGTGAGTGAGTGGTCCAAAGCGATGTAGTATGTCAAGGGTGGCAACCCAATAGACAAGAGGGACAGTGGTTCTCATACCCCAGACGTCCACAACGAATGCAAATGAAATGGGAACACACAACAAAAACACATGACTGAACATCGTGGAAGGAAGGTCAAGGGGTCAGCCAAATGGGTAGGTCTCAAAATAGGGAGCCCGCCATTTTCGTGTTGGAAAAAAAACCTGAACAAGGGTATCGTGCATCGTGTGAAAGCACTGGAGCGCCCGATAGGTGGAACCAGCTCAAGTCTCGTCCTCCGGAAGGGGCTTTGCTCCATAAGCCCCTTGGGCCGTTTTCCACTTTGTGTGCAACATGGTTGATCCTATCAAGTGGGATCCCCTTTCCACTGATCCCTCACCCGAGTCATACTGTGGATGGAGACAATCCTGCACCACCTAAGAAACCCTGGAATGATGCTTCCCCCGTAAATACCAAGAAAACAATGGTTTGCCCTTTCCAAGTGGTGCAAAATGGATTGTGTCCATCCACACTATTCATGACCCCCCCGACGTCTGACGTCCCTGGGCGTCGAGTGGCAGGTTCATGGCCAGGGACCTGAGACCTTTGCAGCCGCTGGGCAGCAGCTCGAGGCCCCGCTCGTAGTCGTCCTGCGCAAAGGCCTGGCCAGGCACCGAGGCACCGAGGCACCGAGGCACCGAGGCACCGAGGCACCGAGGCACCGAGGCACCGAGGCGAAGGTGTGGGGGGTGGGGGAGATGGTCACTGCAAAAAAACGTGGCCCAGACGAATCTGAACTTTGTCTTCTGCCTCTAAAGTGGCCTTACCAAACAGTACAGAAAGTCCAGAAGCTGCAGAAGTGAAACTGATATAGGGGTAAAATATGGTGAAATCGCCATTCGGCTAAACTGTACGATTCAACCCCAGCGACGAACATAGAGTGCACAATCTTGTGGAAAAGCGGTCTGGTCCACCGCCATGTTGGTGGCAGGAAGGCTAAGCAACACTCTGTGTCTCTGTGGAATTCCCCCTGCGGCCACACCTACTAAGGGGTTCACAAGTAATTACCCCACCTTTCAATCACTAATTAATCGGCATTCCAAGATGAACCAACCCAACCCACTGCACCAACTGAAAACAAACAACCTGACCCATTTAGCTAGTCAAGTCGATCTATGATTTATGACTTTAGCCAAACAACCCAACCCAGCCGAACGAATCCAGGCCCAACCCGTTTCGGTCGCGCCTGTGAGGCGGGCGCGAGCTGGGAGCTGCGGCGATTGGCGGTGAGCAGCAAACGGCAGGCGTCGGACCAGCGGCCAGCCCACAGGCACGCCCCCACCTGCGTACTGAACAATGGCAAACTGGGTGGAGGCGGTTGCAAAGTTGTCTTTCAAGTATCAAGTCCAGAAACGGAAGTGAGGCTTCCAACCCCACCCTTTTGGCATCCATGATTGTTGTAAAAAGGTCGGTGGCTCCTCATGTTCCAGTCTTTCCTGAGGACCCTCTGAAAGAAAGGAATCCCCACCCGAAGACCCCAAAGGGTCCGCTGAAACTGCCTTCCGGCAGAGGTGCCCCTGTTCCTGGATAGGAAGGGAAGCAATCAAAGGGAGGCTATTTCACCCTTGCTGAGCCGCCCCTGAAGGAAAGGGTGCCTTCTGAAACAAGGGCCGCAAGTCAAACGCCATTGTGCCCTGGTTGCTTAACAGGGAAACCGCAGTCATCACTTTCCACCAGATCACTTTCCACAAGTGAGTGATCTGAGCCAATTTGAGCCCGTCCTCCGTGTCCAAATGGATCTGCCCAAACCCCTGGCCTCGAAGTGTCGGACCTCTGCCAGCCCGAAGAGCGCGAGCCTTGCGACGAGTGCATCAAGACTTGGAATGGCGGGTCGCATGGGCGCCAAGTTCAAGGGAAGCCAACCCCCCAAAAAATATATTTGGAGGATCCCCCATTTCCCAAGGCGACCAAAGAATAGCTTTGGAGGCACCAAATAACAGTAATTCTGACCCCCCCCCCATCCAAAATCAAAAACACCAACAAACAAACGCGGGACGGGGAGTAGCCTAGGTGACACCACAATGCTTCTCCTTGGTTCCAATCAAAATACACCAACTTGATGAATCCGGGCTTCCCATTACCCTGGGTCCAGGTGCTCGAAGAAGTTCACAAAGCCGTTGGACCGAATCTCCTGCAGCCCCAATAGGTGGCCATCCGTGTGTGTGTGTCGCGATATAAATAATTACATATTTCATATTATGTATATATATATATATAAATACATATATATATATATATATTATGTATATGTATTATGTGGCTCATCCAGGAAATTGAACGCGTGTTGAAGCTAAGCTTGCCACACCGACACACACACACACACACACCCACACACACACACACATGCAGGTTTGCGAGGAGCCTAACTCCAAAGAACAAGTCGTCAAGTGCAAAATCGTCTAAATGACCTGCGCTGTGGGAGGTACAGCCTGAAAACGGCACAGCAAACAGGGTGCTTTCAATTGAGTCTCGCAATTCTTCGAATCCGAGTGGTGCCAACAACTTGTTTGAAGATGTTTGATTCGCTGTTCTTTGCAGCTCCTTACTTCCCCATTCATCTGCATAGGGGCACGGCACGGCTGTTTGAACATATTTTTTGTTATCTTGGCCTGACTAGATGAGCAATACTTCAAGCCATGACAGAACAGGGTCAAACCGACCAAAACAAACAGATGATAGCACCAATGCAACGAAGGTCTGCGATCTGATCATATCCGACTTGATCCCCCCCCCCCCCGCCAATCTCCTCCACGCGATCCTCCAACAGCTCCGCCTCTCGTGGGTTCAAGCCACGCCTTGCGACATGCTAAGGTGAATTAGGGATCCTTCGGCACAGATTCTGTCCATAGAGGCTGATGTCCACAAGCCAGCTTTCAGGGATTCCCCCTCTGAAATTCAGAGCCATCTGGGCAGGGCTCATCATCAGGTGCCCGCAGCTCATGATCTAGAGTATATAGTATTCTGAAAGTATCCCCAGTGAGGTCTTGGCTGAAGCCAACACGTTGCTCAAAAATCCCCAAAAGCAACCTCGTTTTGAGGTGGAGACCTTTTACTCGGGCTTCTTTTCTTAGAGGGCGAGTTGATTAGCTTTGAGGTGGTCATCTGTTCGGGGGGTTGGTTGCTCGCACCCCCAGCATCAACTGCCTCTCTGGGGACCGGATTTAGTGGCAGTTGGGAGTTGCTCCGGCTGGTTTAGGGTGAGTAGGACGGGCCTTGGGTTGGTTTGTGGAAAGGGCTGATATCCAAACAACTGTTAGGAAATGTTGCGTTGCATTGAAACGGGATTGGGCCGGCATGGGGCTGATTTGCGCTAGGTTTGTTTAGCAGTGCCTTACAGTCGCTTTAGGGTGTGGTCAAGGCACCAGTGTGACCAGTGGAGCACTAGGAGTGATGGTTTCACCCGTCAAGGCGCAGCACCACGCTGAAGCGATGGGCCACGCTGCGCCCGTCTTCCGCGAGATCCGTGTGGCCCAGGGCGAGCCTCGCTGGGAAATATGGCTGTGGTCCTTCCCCTAGCCCCTGAGACGACCCTGACCAAAATTGGGTACCGTATGGTACCCTAGTTGGAGATGTTGAGATGTTGTTAATGGGAAGCCAAAGGAACATCACCCATAGGAGCTCCAAACCCCACGAACCCCCATTCAATTGGTTTGGGCGAAAGCCACGCCCATCTCTGCCCAGGAGCGTCGCATCCTCATCCTGCAGCAAGCCGCTGGTCAGTGTCTCGCGGGGTGGTTTGTCAGGAAGGCCTGACATCTGAATCCGAAGAGTCGGTTCAAAGGCCTAGGCCTTAAGTTGTTTTGAATTGCCTCCTTTTCCGAAACCGTACGTGGCTGAACCAACTTGGGCGGGTGAACGAAAGCTAGCCTAGCCAGCCCAACGACGACATGTACGACTCAGGAGTTGCTAGGATTGTTTTTGGTCTAGAAATGCCTAGAAAGACAGTTTCTCAGCTGCAATCATGTGGACGAGATTCTGGGAATGCGCGACTGCCGGGGACGGCACAAGGGGGAATCGAGCCCCTGGGCGGATTGGGGGGGGGTTGCCCTAGGTAAGGATTTGGTCTTGCGAATCAGGCTTTTTGGGAGACCCCCCAATCCCTGATTCAATCAGGCATCGTGGGAAGCTCAGCCCCTAAAGGAGGCTACAGCTTAGAGAACTCCCGCTAGCACGGCTAGCTTTCGTGATCAGCACATTTGAAGTCGTGTGAGGGTACGAGTGAACTTTCCCGTATTTGCCGAAGCATGTTGAAAGGGAAGCTTAAGAACGCCTCTGGCACTTCAATTCGTTGCAGGCCCAACCTATTCAAAGCCAACCCGACGCGCCGACCACTTCCGGCGCCAAAACCTCCGCGGCGCGCCTTTCGGCAGCGAGAGCAGCTGCACCGACACGCCTGGCTGGCGAAGCCGGGGGCCCAGCCGCAGAGCCGCCTTCGGCACTTGCAGCTCCTCACGGCTGACCCGGTTGACTCACGGCTGCCCCCATGTCACCGGCTTCGTGGCCATGAAATGGGACCCAAAGAGAAAAGATGTCCACCTGAAAGGAAGGTCGGAAGGTTCTTGGCCTACCTAGATGCGATCAGTGATCAGGTGTCCCAGTGCCCGTGGAAGAAGGAAGTCAGGCTTCTCTCTTGATAACAGGTTGGGGGCCCCAACCGATCAAAAGGGAGAAACCGTGCCACTGACCACCTGGGTATATGCACGCCTCACAGCGAGGCGTGGGCTCGCCAAATGCATAGCTCGCTCATAGTTCCCTTTGAGCATCATGCCACCAGAGACGAACTGGCTTTCAGTTGGTCCAAATGGTGATCTTCAAGCCCCCACAAAAAAGGAGTGTAGACAAAAATGCAAAAGTGAGCAATATGAGTGAACCAACGCACGCACTAGCTTCATTCGATCCTTGCGAAACGTCCTGGCTGTCTCCACTTATGCTGACTGGTTACCCTTTGCCACATCTGATGCCTTCCCTTCGCGCAGCGAATAACAAACTGTGTGCTTCGAAGGCTTGTTGAGAAGTTCACCATGCCGCCTTCCCTAAACCAACCAGATCCCTTGCACCAAACCAAAATGTGCGGCATAGGAGATCTTTACCAGGCGGGGCCGTACGTCACCTTGTTTCGCTGGGTCCAATAGGATAGGATCCTCAAAGTTATCCTCCGAGACGTGTTTCAAATACACACATACACCCACTATCAGCCCAGGTGGGATCCCCAACATCAACCCTGGAATCCTTCCAAGGCCCTTCCTAGCTCTGGACTCCGGAGCCCATTGGGCAGAGACCCCATGTCTTTCAGCTGACCGAAACTATGGCTTCTCCTGCGCTAGGCGTTCTTGCAAGCTGCCCGAGCCCCGCAAGTACACCGCGCAGTGGAAAGGCTTTGACGGTGACGAGGTCCCGGTGCCCAGGGAGGACAAATGCCTACGCTTGATGGTGGGGTTTCCCCTCAGCCCAGTGGCCACGGGAGAAAAGTGCACCCATTCTTGTTGGTTGATTGCAATGGGAACTGAACCGCGCCAAAAGGGACTGGGCGACCCTGCAAATTCGCATGGAACCCAAAAAAGGGGGATGGGGGGTTCCCTAAAAGTGATTGCTTTTCATTAGGTACTCCTACACCGTGGTGTTCCAAAGACCTTCTCACAAGGGTAGAACCATTGGGTGGCAAAGGGAGGCCCAAAGGAAAACGAATCAAGTTTCATTGGCATCAAAATGCAAGATGCGACAGCTGCGGCTATCAGTCAGTTTATCCCGTGGTCTTGTGGGCGAGGCTTGGATGGTCACGGTAATCGTCGTTTGTCCAAGCCTGTGGCTTGTCATTCTGGGGATGTCATCTGATCGCTTCCGCCGTAACACCGAGCGAACTGATATGACAAAGGTCATACACCTAGCAAGGTGCGAAGCTATCTAGCACATGGATTGCACACGAACCTGGAAAGTGCATTTATTGGTTGCAAGCGTGCAATGTTGACCCATCATTCATTGGGGGCGGGGGTGGGGGGTGTACCCCGCAAATAACAACTTGGGATCACGCAGGGGTCAGGTCAACAGTAATCAGCAACCATTGCTGGGGTCGTGGCGATTCAAGACCTTTCTTGGAGGTTAGATCCAGCCGCTAGCCGGGACACAGGACCTCGCCACTGCGCAGCACGTCGTGGCGCTGCAGGTCCATAGGGAACTTCTGGGAGCCTCGAGGCTAAGGCTGAGGTACTGACGATGACAGCAGGCACGGTTTCCGCGTCAAGGGGCCAACTTTCTAGGGGTTGATTCCCCATTGTGTTCAACCATCGTTCTTTTCAAAAACAAGCTTTCCTGGGTTTCCGGAGGTTTTCTAGAAAGAAGGATCCCTGGAAAGAATGGGGAAGGCACCCCTAAAAACTTACAACAAATCCCCGCTTGTTGGCCCGACTGCCCCACCCAACATTTCTTGGCGCTTGTCCATGCAAAAGGCGTCACGTTTCTTACTGTACATGTAAGTGCCAACACAGGGAGGGCTCAACCCATGTTATCCCAGAGACAATGGCAACAACAAGGGCTCTCAAGGGATCATCTTGTCCTGTTCCCCGCCAAAACCTGAGTGGCAAACAAGACGAGGGCCCCGCACAAAGATCAAAACAAACCAACACGCGCAGGTGGTCACCCATCCGTCTACTTGCCCGATGGTCATGTGAAACAATATCCGGCATTATACAACATGGTGCAGCACTATGCAACAAGATAAGGGACCACAACCAAACAACACTATTGTCCTACTTCAAAGCTGTGGCAGTTTGGGGGGCAGGTTCAACAGAAAAATGCATCCCACAACCGCCCGGTTTTCGATGATGTGGCTCCATATCTGCTGGTGAAACCGACCTTTTGCTTCTTGTTGTCAGGGATTTTGGGCCCTTTCCATTGAAAGTGGCCCTGTCGGGGCGAAAGAACCACCTGCTGCCAGGACTCGCAGCTGACCTTGCAAGCGCTGGCCAGCGCCGAGAAAACAGCTGAGGCCCACCTCGGCGGAGAATCCAACGGATTGCATCCCTCCCCCCCAAAAAATAGCGTGACGCATGGAACCGCTTTCTGGAGTGCCTGTTTAATACCGATATCCCCCCCCCCAAAAAAAACAACAACAGAACAAGAACACAAGTCCCTCCCCCGCCATGGATTCCGACGTACCATCTTCCCACCGACTTCTGCGGGTATCCGCCGGTTGCATCTCCCGCCTCCGCCTCCAAGGCGCGCAGCGCCATGGCCGCGGGCTGTGTTGGGTTCCAGCGGGCTGTGAGAACGTGGGCTCCGCCGTGAAAAACGGCATTGGTTGATGCATCCTGGGTCCCTAGGTCCTTCAGTAGAGAGGTTAGAATAAGGCTACCCTTTCTATTTCAGTAGGGGAACCCTTCCCCCAAAACAGGTAAAAGGGCACTACTGGGTAACCTAGCCTCTGTTCTGGAGACACATCAGAAAAAGTTGAGGGTTGAAGAACTGGTGCTGGTTGATGGACTGGCTGCTGGCCAAGATTTGATGTGTCTCAGGTCAGAGAGGTTTAATCCAAATGCTTGGGCTTTGAAATGCGCAAAGCGTGCCAACTTAGGCGGCAAATAAACCCTCCAGGGATGCCTCCTGAGCTTCTTACTAGCCTGGTCCTACCTGTCAGGCCAAGGCCGAAATCCATAGCGCTGCAGTGTTCGAGGTGGAGCCCATGCGCCGCCGTTGGTTGTGAGTGGGCTTGGGAAACGCCATTATATGCGTGCTTGTTTGAGGGTACCTGGTTCACTTTGGTTTAGAGGAAAACCAAAGGACAACCAGCATCTTGAGGCCTCCTATTTTGCCACATGGCTATTTAACGGGTGCCAGCATTCAAACACGCTACCTATAGACCAATTGGGTAGCGTTTGTGCACATGTCATGTTGTGCGACAGCATTATGCACCAAAGGTATATAACTCCGATGGCAAACATAGCTCCACCAGTGCAGTTGCTAATAAACACCAACCAAAAACACACGGACGGACGATGCCCGCCGTAAGATCACGCTCAAAGGGAAAGAAACTGCGCTGCCGTGGGCCTGATGGCCAGAAGCCTGAACACGGTTGTCGAGAACCCCCATTCGATGCCAACACTAGACCAACGAAAGAAGTTCTAGAAGCCCCATAGTGTACCACTAGAGGCGACAATCCCTCGATGTCACAGAACATAGGTTCTTCAGGCTGGCAAAGATCCTTTAAAGGGCCGCGACCAGAGAGATTCAAAAAATAGGACACCTTTTTGGGTTGATCACTGTCAACAGAACCCACCAGACGACATGGAGAATCGAATGGACCAATGAGTTGCCGAGGAAAACGGTCCCAAGAGGGTCCCGAGTTGGCCGATCAGATCCCCGATACCTCGCGGGGAAGGACTGTCTCATCGTCCAGACGTTGCAGTCGAGCCCTCAGCCAGGCTGGGTGCCGCAAAAACGGGTCTTCATAGGGGGATCTCAAAAAATGTGGTGCTTGCGCCCCTTGGGTTTCGCTTTCAACCCCTGACATGGCGGTTTCCCTTGGTTTTGGTGTAAACCAAGCTGGGTTCAGCTTGGCCACTGGGCAACCAAGATGAAACTTGAAGAATAGCATTTCTTTGGACCCTCAAAGTAGTCACCTTTTGAGGGGCTCGGTGTACAATCATGCTGAGCCAAAATTTAGACGCAAATTTGAGGATGTCACCTTCATGCAGACCCGTGAAAAAAGGGCTCTTCCCTCAACCCAGACTGCCCTTGATCGATGGTTTGAATTGTTGCAGGAAGAAATGAACCAAGTCAACAAAAACGATCCCTTCCTAACAACCAAGTCCAAGGGGCCCGGACTGGTTGAAAGTAAGCCACAGATCTTCAGATTCGGATTGGACCGGATTGACCGCAAGCTCCCAAGCACCAAACCTAAACATCAAAATACTGGAGGTAACCAGTCTCTGGGGGGACCTAGAGAATCCTAGGGACAAACATCGTACGCTTTGCTGGTCAAAAGTAGGCATGCGAAAACCTGGCGGCTGACATTCTGGATGCCCTAGATCCCCAAGAACCAATTCAGGACCTGACCAACGTGTCGAGTGCATGCAAAGCCATGGTACAACCAACTCGCGAATTCCTATCAAATTTCCACATGTTTGCCCCTCAGGATGGCATAAGAACGATCATTCTTGGCAAGGTAGCTTCCCCAAATGCTTCAATCCTCTGGGGCTCAAACATTTCAGGTGCTGGCTGAAAAACATGTGATGTTTGATGTTTGCGTGAAAGCAGTCGAGAATTGTTGGCTTTTGGTCGGACATTTCCCCCTGTAGGTTCGGGGTGCGCTATTTCAGAAGAGTCTTCGCCTATGTGCTGCTGCCCTGCAAGGAAGTAGGATTGGATCAAGTTATTTGCCGGACCGTCTTCGTTTGGGAAAGTGAGTGGTTTACCCACCTAGCGACATCTAGCCCAGTTGTGGTCCAGGTCAGCTTAGCCATGGGGCAATACCTGGACCTTCCTGCATGCATGAAATGCCTTTTGGGGCAACTTGGCAACGGCGCGTATTTTTTCCTGCGTCCTTTCTTGCTTCAATTTATACTCACGTTTCCCCTTGACCATTGCACACATGGACAAAACCGCGCGAACAAACAAAAACCGTACTTGAACACCATGCTGCAACATAGCCAAGAGTCAAAAGGTGTAAACCTCTGGCCTCCGTTCCTGGCTTGAAGGTGCAGTGGCAACACATGAAAGCCTAAGTGCTTCTTGAGGCCGCTGCGGAAGCTGCCGGCTCTTCCTGCATGGGTCAAGTGCAAACAAAATTGGCACAGCATTGACCACGGTCAGCTTTTCAGAAAATGCATTCAGCTCCATATCCTTTTTTAGGAAGGTGTTAGCGTTTTGCAGGGGAGATCGCGCACGGTGATCATGTTTTGTGAGTTCCTTATTGTTCTCCATTGATGCTAGCTCACAATGATGCGTTCATCAAAGTATGTGTCACTACAATTTTGGACCAAACATACACAAACAGCTGGACATTTGCCACTAGCAATCATCCCACCCCTCATCCCCCAGCCCGAGACAATTCTCAGTGTCCTGGTGTCCGCTGGCTGGCTCACCTCGGAGGCTAGCAGTTCGATCTCACCGCCTCAAGCCCTTGGTGCTGGCCCGAGTCCCGCGTAAGTAGATTAAAGGCAAATAACAAAAAAGAACTTGGCATCTGTGGATGAATACTACTCCAAAGTAATTAGAAACCGTCTTGAAGGAGGTGCCTTGGTGGCCCCACGATGCCAAAAGGAAAAGGGGTCGACAGCAAAGCCTCACTTGCGGAGCCAAGCAAGCTGAGTTTGGTTGGCAGAAAGAACTGGGCTAGGGCCAAACACGCTGTCATGTACCCTTGAAGCAACTTCAATACGCAAAATAAAGATGTCTTGTTCAAGCTAAGACACCAGCTGCGGAGCCCAAGTCCCCGGTTTTGATTGATATGTGCCGAGTTTCCTTCCTGATGTCCTGCAATTGGTGTCTATGTTCCAGCCCGCCATCGTGATTACTTGGCATACTTTTAGAGCCAGCTACTCGCGCGCAGCCAGGACAGTGGAAGCTGCAAAACACCACTTCAACAAAACTCGCGGTAGCCAAACGAATTGCCACGCGCTTTTCATAGATTTAACTGTTGGACAAAGCGGTTACCGCCGCCCGGGCTACATAGATCTGCATCGCGAACTTTGTGTGGCCTTGCAAACCATCAGGTTCCCACTACATCCGCCGTTTGGCATAAAACAAATTGCACAGCTTCACTAACCACATTGTATAAAACGATCACAAAGCATCTTCAGCTCTGTCTGGATCGACCTGGACCTGCTGGCTTCCATTTTGTCACCCGGATGAATGTGCAAGCCATGGGCTCTCGTAAGTTATTGAAGCTTCTGCAAGGACACTGGTGCGATCCTGGCTTTGAGTTTGCAGTGCAGTTTTGCAGCGCTGGCGCAAGGCCTTCGGTTCTGGACACAACATAATGTACAGTTACATGATAGGCCCTGGCACTCTCAAATGGTTGACGCTTTGCAAAAGCTTGGCTTTCAGCATTTGGGAGGTGTTTTCCCGCACAGTTTTGCCGGGCAATTTGCTTGGCCATGGTACTCGGGACATGGTAGTTTTGATGCTTGGCTACGGGAGGCGCAACTTTGCATTCGGCGCAACTTCTCACGAATTCCTGCAATCAAAGAAGACGTGATGCGGCATTCCTTCGCGATGTTGTGCAATAACTATGAGGAGACACCAAGAAAGCCCGCTGCCGTTTTGACGGTGGTAAAAAAGAGGCCAGAGGTTGTTTGATTCCGGCGGCCAACTCCGCGGCCGCGTATGGTGCGATCAAAGGCGCGGATCCGTGCCGGAGACAACTTCAGCAGTCACCAAGCCGCAGTGGACCCTCGTGAATTCCTATGCAAACGGCTAGGTTGGCCTCGAGCCAACTCCAGTCATCTCGAGGATGTCGAGGTTGTTGGTTTCATGCTGATGTTCGCAAACATGTGAGACTGACTTAAGGCGTTGGGTGGCCCAACACTTTAGTTTAGCACCAGGGGGGTTTCCGTGGCCGAACTTCCCAAAGGAGTTCTGTTACAAACGGACTCAACCCAAGGCTGTTTTAACCATTGATCAGGCAGCCAACGGCTGTGCTTACTTGGGGCTCGGAAGTGCGTGTACAGGAAGTCGGAGGTGCCTTCAGTCGCGACTAAAACAGCAAGGCCCCATTTCCATGCACTGTGCGAACTAGATGCCAAACATCTGGACAGCGCGGCATCAAGCCACTGACAGGGATCTTAGGATCCGGCTTGCAGCCGACCGGATCAGCAGCACAAAGTCCGAAAGTGCTTGCAAAGGCAGCGCCAACAGCATGCCCCCCAAGCATGATCCTACTGTCCGAGAAGGTATGCATCCGTATCCCAGCGCGCATCCGCTGAGGCTCCAGGCGTTTGCTAGAAGCATGGGCGGCAGAGTGGTCTCCTGCCGCAGATCACCATGGATGCCCAGCCTATCGAAAAGAACGGGTTGTAGGAGTGTCCTCAGTTCAGCTTTTGTCGATCCGTGTCGGAATGCAATGGGAAAGGTGCCTTTCAGCTTTGGCTGGTCATGAAGAAACATGAAGCAACAGGGAACCAGCGCTCTTTGAAGGGACGGGCTCGCGGCCACCGCAAAACCGGAAAAAGCTCGGGCCCTCGAGTGTTGAACAAACGGTACAGTCAAACAACAACACGGGTGCAACGAAGCGTCATGGGGCATGGTACTGGACAACTTGCTTCGTGTC